GTTGGAGCATTCACCGCTTCTGGAGGCAGGTTGTTCCACTGGTTAATTGTCCTCACTGTCAGGAAGTTTCTCCTTAGTGCTAGGTTGCTTCTCTCCTTGGTTAGTTTCCATCCGTTGCTTCTCGTCCTGCCTTCAGGCGCTTTGGAGAATAGCTTGACTCCCTCTTCTTTGGGGCATCCCCCGAGATATTGGAACGCTGCTGTCATGCCCCCCCTCGTCCTTCTCTTCGTTAAACTAGACATTCCCAATTTTGATTCTAACTCAGCGAACATGCTGAGTTCAAGCTAACACCACGAGCTATTGCCACATAATCTCCCCATTGGTTTCATGCCGTGGCATTTGGATCCAATTGCAGCAGCGGATTGGTCCCTCAGCCAATGTGACCACTGACCTATGGACAGGAGTGGGAGTTTCGCCCTCTTGTTTCGGAAGTCCTTGTTCACCTCTGCCTTGCCTGACACCTGACAGAGTTTCATCAGGGAGAGAAAACCAGCTGAATCGGGAAAGACTTTGATTTTTAGCCAAGACCAACCAAGTTTATTTTGCCATCCAGGACAAAAAAAAGGAAATGACTCTCTCTCACACACATCTTCTCCTCCAGAGTCAAAAGTCCAGAGGACCCTCTTTGCAAACAAGTTGTTTTCCCAATCAAGGGTCTGTTTGAAAAAAAAGACCAAAATGGTGGAGAATAGATAACTGCTAGAAATAGAAATATTACCATAACTAGAAAGATAAGATTTGTAATTAGAATATTAGATTTTGGTATGAGAAGGGAAACAGGAAAATGCTAAGAAGTTTGAATAAGGGAAGCTTTTGGTTACCCAAATTATAAACAATAGAGACATTTTGAACACTGATGGGAAATTACATTTTTTTAAAAAAAGCAAAAACAGGATACTGATTGAACATACGAATATTAAGTGCAAATGCAATTAAGATATGTTTTGGTTAAAAAGGTTATCGAAAAGTGACATTATTAATATCATGAGAAACATGTAACAAAGGTGTTGATATTCAATTGTGTATTTATTAATAACAATAAGAATTGTATTTGCCTAGTGTGAGAAATCAGGTACTACTGGAAGTAGAGAGGAAACATTTAATGGTGTAATATTGGATCTAATCTGAAGAAGTTAATATATACCATTGAATTACTAATGGACCCAGACAACACAGATTGGCTTGCATCTCTGGCCTTTATAAATCAGGAGAAAAACAAAATTGCACGGATGGAACTGAAAAAGAAACAGAATTACAATAACAATGAAGACCCAAACATATCTCTACCCTGGGAATGCAGCTTGCGTTCAGGAGATGCTCCAATGCTGGAGGATGAATCTCTTATGATCCTCTGACCCGCTGAACTGCTTAATTGCAATTCACAAAATAATCTGCAGTGGCCTGGGATTTAGCACAAAAATGGAACCTGGGATTATACAGCCTGTGAATGAATCCATTTTCTGAGTCTGCGCAATAATGCACGAATCATAAATCGAGCTAATAGGCAGGGCTTGTCCAAGATGCTAAATTCTGAGGAAACTAATCCAGGTTTAAACTAACCAAGCTTAGCAGGCTATGCAAACGCAGCTGCCAGTCGCTCACTAATCTGGATAAGCAGATCGGGTGGGCGGAGTGGCTCGGATGCCCTCTCATCGCTAAGTCCCAGCTTTACCTTTCTGAAATGCATTTTGTGGTCAATTCCTTCTCTGTTCTTCTGCTGATAGCAGCTTTCAGGAAGAAAAACAAACATAGGAGATAAAAACAGGACTGTCGCATCTGTGCAATCAAATTCATCGTTATTGTTGATAACTGAAATAGTGCAGAATTAAAAGCGGGGCGAAAGAGATGAGGTTTTGCCACTCGCTGGGGGAATGGGATTACAGAATAACAGAATTGGAAGGCACCTTGGAGGTCTTCTAGTCCAACCCCCTGCATTTCAGACAAATAGCTGTCCAGTCTCTTCTTTAAAGTCTCCAGTGACGGAGCGCCCACCACTTCTGCAGGCAAGTTATTCCACTGATTGTACTCAGTGTCAGGAAATTTCTCCTTAGTTCTCGGTTGGATCTGTCTTTCATGATCTCCCATCCTTTGATTCGGTTAATGCCACCCTGCTTACAAATGGAACTTCTGCTCCCACTTGTTGTAAGTTGAGGATTACTGTAGGACCGGACCTAAGTCTGCTGCTAACAAAAACTGCTGGAAACCATGTCTCCATCTCACTCCAGCAGAGAGGGGGGGAATGCTGGGAGTTGAAATTTACAGATAACACATTTTGCATGCATTTATTTATATCCCACCTTTATTATTTGTACAAATAATTCAAGGCATCAGCATGTCTTCCTCCATGTTTCTCCACAACAAGAACCCTTGTGAAGGTTGGCTGGGCTGAGAGCGAGTGACGCCCTAAGTCACCAAGCTAGCCTTCGGTGGGATTTGAACTCAGAGCCTCTTGTTTTCTAACCAGGTGCCTTAACCACTAGACCAAACTGCTCCACATGTCGATCAAACTAGAATAAAGTGGTCTGCAAACATTGCTGAGGTTGAGAAATATATCGTTCTACTGGACCCTGCAATTGAGCAGGGGGTTGGCCTAGATGACCTTCAAGATCCTTTCCAATCCGATGATTCTCAGATACTGTCTATGTGAGTGCACCCAAACCAGCAAGGATTGTGTCAAAGGCAAGGAGAAGGTCTCTAGAGGAAATAGCACACGGGGCTGTGTGTGCAGGTTGATTTCCAGGAATTTGAGTTCATGGAAGGCGGGCAAAACTGCTTAGAGCTGGCAGGAAAGGTTAATTGATCAATGGTTAGCCATGTTCTGACCATCCTTGGGTGCAAGACAGGATGGGCCGGGGAAGGCTGCTGCAAACTCATTAACTGGAACGGCATGGGGAGGGAACGCTCATCACCAATTAGAAGAACCAAAAATTTTAAGGAAGGCGCTCCAAAGTCTCTCGATAAATGATAAACGAAACAAAGGTTGCAGGAACAAAATGACGCATTTTGATGCACCGGCTTGTTGTGACTCTTGTATTATTAATCTCAAAGGCAGTTTTGTTCGATAAAGCGTGGCTAAAAAATATCCTGGCTTGGCAACTTCTGCAAAGTGTCTTGACGAGGGCGGAAGGTTCCCGTCACCAAACACCAGGCCATTCATTGGTGGCTTAGAATGATTTCGTATCTGGCAAGCGCATGAAATGAACAGCGCCGATGTAGAGGTTCCTTCTCAATTTCTTCCCAAATTAAAAGGGGGAACAATTTCTCCTGCACTGCTAAACCAGCATCTTTCGGAAAGTTAATGTTGATCCGTTCACTGCTGTAACCGTTGCACTCCCCTGCCTTTATATTTGCAGCCACTGGTTCAAATATTGGGGTGTGCGGTGTGAACATTCGCCACCAAATACAGTAACAACTATATTGTTTGGGTGCGAAAGAAATCTAAAGTCATTGCTTACAGACGTTCCTTACAACATTGATTCAGCAATCGTTCATTGTTGCAACGGGCATTGAAAAAAGTAATTTACGGCTGGATCTCACGCTTATAACTATCGCAGTCACGTGATCAAAATCCAAGTGCTTGGCATGTATTTAGGACAGTTGCAACATCATAAATGGTTGATTGCCATCTTCGACCTTCTCAGCCGACTTTTGACAAGCAAAGTCAATGGGAGAAGCCAGATTCACTTAATGACTGCATGGCTCACTTAACAACTGCAGTGGTTTGCTTAGTAACCGTGGCAAAATGTCATAAAATTTGGGGCATGACTCTTAGCCACCATCTTGTTTAGCAAATTCTGGTTCCAACTGTGATTGTCCGTCAAGGACTAGCTGTATCTGACCCCTAGCCAGGTATAGGATATCTGAAACAAACCAATTATCTTTTTTTTAAGATAGAAGAGATGGGGAAAAAAACTCAGTGTTGACTACTTGGCATTTATAAAAGGCTGAAACACATTTCTTAAGATGTGTATCTCATATTACAGGCCAAACCTACCCTTTTATCAAGATCACACCTCTTGGCTACTGTATGAATCATAGAAGGTTTACAGCAAAACCACTTCACACGGTCTAAAGCAGAAGTGTCCAATCTTGGCAACTTTAAGACTTTCCCCAGCCAGAATATATTCACGATGGTTGCCGTGTCCTGGGGTCATGGGATCCCCTTTTGCAAGCTTCTGACCGGCAAAGTCAATGGGGAAGGAAGCCGAATTCACTTAACAGCCATGTGACTAACTTAGTGGTTCTCAACCTTTTTAATGCCGCGACCCCCAACCGGTCATAAGTCGAGGACTGCTCAACCAGTCATAAGTCGAGGACTACTCAACTGGTGCAGCACCGTTTGCAGAATGGGGCTTTTGGCGGGCTCAGCAGGGCAGAGACAGCCTGGACAATTCCTATTGCCTTTTGAAAGCCAATAGGATTAGACTCTATTCAAGAGAGTCTATTCTATTGGCTTTCAAAAGCCAATAGAATAAAAGGGAGTAGCACAGCTAAGGAAAAGGGGGGAAAAAATGGCGGACTGCGTTGTTTGGCGACCCCCGTGAAATGGTCGTTTGACCCCAAATGGGGTCCCGACCCACAGGTTGAGAACCCACTGGACTAACTTAACAACTGCCATGATTCACTTAACAACTGTGGCAAGAAAGGTCGTAAAACGGTGAAATTCACTTAACAGCTGTCTCGCTTAGCCATGGAAATATTGTGGTTGTAATTTGATGGCTACCTGTGCATATTTTTTTTTTTTGGGAGGGGCGGGAGGAAAAGGGTCAGGGCAAAGCTGGGCAAATACAGGACAGGCCCCAAAAAAAAAAAAAGACATAAACACACCCAAACACGCACAGACCCTGCCTTCTTCATGGCTGCTTTCCCACCCGCTTCCCATGCCAGGGGGTGCCCGGTCAGCCGCAGCTTCCTGATGGCCATTCATTAATCCAACCTGCCCTCTCCATTTCCTCTCCTTGCTTATAAAAGGGCTCTTTTCCTCGGCAGTAAGAAAGAAGACAGAAAGAGCGGACAGACATGGCTCCTGCGAAGGGTCAACGCCGCCTCTCCCTGTGCCCAGGGCCTCCAGTGGCCACCATCCCCTTCGGAGACCTGCTGGAGGAGGTTGGCAGCATGGGCACCTTCCAGATTTTCTCTGTCTTCTTCCTCTCACTCCCCGTCCTGTTCCTGGCCAGCCACAACCTGGTGCAGAACTTCAGCGCGGCCACTCCAGAACACCAGTGCAGGCCGGTGCAGCCGGGCAACCTCTCCCAGCACGAGAATCTGGTCCTTCTCGGGCAGGACCTGAAGCCGGACAGTTGCCAGCGCTTCGCTGGGTGGTTGGCGCCCAACTCCAACGACACGGCGGGCAGGGAGGTAGGACTGGAGCCCTGCCTGGACGGGTGGCAGTATGACCACAGCACTTTCACGTCCACCATCGTGACGGAGGTATGTTCGGAGGTCACCTCCAGCCTTTCCTATTTATTTATTTATTGTTCATTTCTTTACTTATTTAGTCAGTCATTCTAGGGCAGTGGTTCTCAACCTTTTTAATGCCACGACCCCCAACCGGTCGTTAAGTTGAGGACTACGCAATCGGTCGTAAGTCGAGGACTACTCAACTGGTGCAGCACCGTTTGCAGAATGGGACTTTTGGCGGGCTCAGCAGGGCAGAGACAGCCTGGACCATTCCTGTTGGCTTTGGAAAGCCAATAGAATTAGACTCTATTCAAGAGAGTCTATTCTATTGGCTTTCATAGGTTCAAGAGAGTCTATTCTATTGGCTTTCATGGCGGACATAGGTTGTTTGGCGACCTCCGTGAAATGGTCGTTCGACCCCAAATGGGGTCCCGACCCACAGGTGGAGAACCGCTGCCATAGTTGTTAAGTGAATCACTGCAGTTGTTACGTTAGTAACACAGTTGTTGAGTCCATCTGGTTTCCCCATGGACTTGGCTTGTAAGCTTGCAAAAGGGGATCACGTGAACCTGGGACACTTCCGTGGCCCAGTTCCAAATGGTCCATAGACCAGTACTGAGCCGCAGCCCGGTGGTTGGGGACCCCTGCATCAGTACCATTTCCACCCTCTTTTGCTAACGGTTCTACAGTCTACAGGTAAGTCCTTGACTTACCACAACTGGGACAAAAAAATCCCAAGCAAGGTGAAAAGGTTGCAAAGCCCTAGTTAAGAGAATTACCTTGTTGTTAAGCGACTCTGACTCTCCCTCCATTGACTTCGCTTGTTAGAAGCCAGCTAGGAAAGTCACAAACGGTGATCACGTGAACCCGGGATGCTGCAAGCGTACTAAATGTGGGCCAGGGGCTCAATTTTTGTAGGGGATGCTGCAATAAGTCATAAGTGTGAGGACCTGTTGTAAGTCACTTTTTTTCAGTGCCATTGTAACTTTGAACGGTGGCTGAATGAAGTGTTGTTAAGTTGAAGGCTTTGGAAGGAACAACGTAGCCCAGACTCCCTTCTGAGATTCAGAAGATGTTGTATTTACTGTTTATCCTTCAAAGGCAGTGGTTCTCAACCTTTTTAATGCCGCGACCCCCAACCGGTCGTAAGTCGAGGACTACTCAACCGGTCGTAAGTCGAGGACTACTCAACCGGTCGTAAGTCGAGGACTACTCAACTGGTGCAGCACCGTTTGCAGAATGGGACTTTTGGCGGCTCAGCAGGGCAGAGACAGCCTGGACAATTCCTATTGGCTTTTGAAAGCCAATAGAATTAGACTCTATTCAAGAGAGTCTGTTCTATTGGCTTTCGAAAGCCAATAGAATAAAAGGGAGTAGCACAGCTAAGGAAAAGGGGGAAAAAATGGCGGACTGTGTTGTTTGGTGACCCCTGTGAAATGGTCGTTCGACCCCAAATGGGGTCCCAACTTGCTGATCTTTAGAAAAGCATTAAAAGAACGACTATTTTCACCCTCCAAGGTGTGAGGATCAGGATGATTTAAATTCCCGTCAAGAAGATAGGAATGCCTGGTCACCTCTTATTAAGCTGCTTTATTTTGATTGTTTCTTTATGCTACCCAGCATAAAGCATGGTGTGGTCTGAGCAGTTCCATCATTTCTTTAAAGCACTTTAAGCCTTGTGGACTTCAAATCCCAGAATTCCCCAGCCAGGTTTGAAGGCCACAAGGCTTAACGTGGCCAGTTTTGGAGAGCCCTGCTTTAAAGAAATACATAACTTTTTCCCTGGTTCCGAGCAGCCGAGCTTAGCCTGTTGCACAGACCTGCCACCTGGGTTTTCCCGAAGCGTGTCGTGGGAATGCAGCTTTTCTTCTGTATCCTCGCAGTGGGACTTAGTCTGCAACCTGCAGCCTCTGAAGAGCTTGGCTCAATCCCTCTTCATGGCGGGGGTCCTGGTGGGGGCCTTCATCTTGGGAGACCTCTCGGACAGGTAAGAAGACCCAGTGGCTGGAGGAAATTTCACAAAGAAAAAAAGCAGGTTGCCCAATACACAGAGGAATATAAATGGCAGAATTCTGCAAGGCTGGAATTCTAAAAATTAGGAATGTATTCTATGCAGCCCGACCATTGCCGCTTAGCATATTTATTTATCTTATTGTTTATTTATATCCTGCCTTTTTATTATTTTTATCAATAAGGCAGCAAACATGTCCAACACATGTCCCACACACTTTCCTCCTATTAGCCCAGTGGTTCTCAACCTTTTTAATGCCCCGACCCACAGGTGGAGAACCACTGTCCTAAGCCTACCTGTAACCCTCTTGGCCACAGATTCGGACGCCGGCTGATCCTTATTTGGTCGCTGCTGATGGTGGCCGCCATGGGCACGGGGGCAGCCTTCTCCAACAGCTTCCTGACCTATTGTGTCTTCCGCTTCCTGAGTGGGATAGGCATCTCTGGATTCCTGCTGAATTATATCTGTTTAGGTGAGTGCTGGGTAGACAGGATGGGAAGGGGGACAGGAGGGAGGATGGGGGTGAAGGTGGGTTAGGGTCTTGTGGAAAAGGAAAGGACTCTTACGAATTCCGGAGGGTTTTTAGCAGAGAGATTTATTGCACAGGTTCAGAAGCTGTAGCAACGAGCAATTCTGAATCCCGAGGGCAGGTTCAGACTTCAGTTTTATACTTTCCTTTTTTTCTCAGGAACAAAGGAATACAGATTGAAATACACATTGTAATACATTAGGTCCGTTTCTCACGGGTATACAATGGAGAGTTTGCTACATACACTGTATCCAAGTGCAATGTGCATTAGGTTAGTCACATACTGCTAACACAGCACTATTCCAATAATTTTGCAGACACCTCATTATTCTAGTGATTGTTAACTTTTCCACATTAAGGGCAGTGGTTCTCAAGCTCTGCAACTTTGAACTGGGTGGATTTCAGCTCCCAATAATTCTCCAGCCAGCCTGCTTTAAATTGTGAAAACTATGTGCATGCTGGCTGAGGAATTCTGGGAGCTGAAATCCACATCACTTAAGGTAGTAAAGCTTGAGAAACCCTGGGTTAAATGATGGCTTGGCGACTGGTATCATCAAAGCCACCTGCAAGGAGCTGGACTGGTTGGCCACAAGGGGACCCTCCAACTTTTGGAAAGCGGAGTCACGGACCGGTGTGAATCCTCAGTGCTATTTGAGTTTGGTTGTTTTCTGGCAGATATTTCATCACCAAACTCGATAGCCTCATCAGTGCTAGCACCAGTGGTGATGATAATGCTGAGGGGGAGGGAGAAGAGGCAAGGAAACCCACCAGCAGCTCCTCTTCCTCTCCACAGATCCCCCTCCCTTCTAGCACTGATGATGTTGCCTAGCTGGGTCATGAAACATCTACAACAGTGGTTCTCAACCTTTTTAATGCCGCGACCCCCAACCGGTCGTAAGTCAAGGACTACTCAACTGGTGCAGCACCGTTTGCAGAATGGGACTTTGGGCGGGCTCAGCAGGGCCGAGACAGCCTGGACAATTCCTATTGGCTTTTGAAAGCCAATAGAATTAGACTTTATTCAAGAGAGTCTATTCTATTGGCTTTCAAAAGCCAAGAGAATAAAAGGGAGGAGCACAGCTAAGGAAAAGGGGGGGGGGAAAATGGCGGGCTGCGTTGTTTGGCGACCCCCGTGAAATGGTCGTTCGACCCCAAATGGGGTCCCGACCCACAGGTTCAGAACCACTGATCTACAAGAAAACAACCATGTTCAGAGAGCACCAAGGACCTCACAATCCTTTCTCCTCCTCCTCCTCCTCCTCCTCCTCCTCCTCCCCCATTCCTCCCCCCCATAAACCCCATTCCCTTCTAACACTGAAGATGTTAGCTAATTGGGTCACGAAAGGTCCACAAGAAAACCACGAAGCTCAGAGACTCAGGAGTTCAACCCTGAGCTATAAACATTCCCTTCTATCATAGATTGGTCCTCCCCTTGCTGGGGTCGGAGATGTCAGCTTGCCTTCCTCTTCCTCTCCCAGGTCTGGAGTGGGTGCCCACCAAGTACCGGGCGGTGGTAGTCTCCATCCAGAGCTACTGCAGCACAGCTGGGCAGGTGTTGCTGGGAGGCTTGGCCTACGGCATCCGTGACTGGCGCTGGCTGCAGCTGGCCATCTCCGCCCCCTTCTTCGCCTTCTTCGCCTATTCCTGGTGAGTCCACCAGAACATCACTTCGGTTGCAGGCCTCTGGCTGTGTCCAGATGTTTCTTTAACATCAGCTTCTATTTCCCCAGGAAAGTTCAGCTAGTCTTGACTTATGATCACAGCGGAGATTGGATATTCTGTTGCTAAGTGAGGTGGTCGTTAAGTGAGTGGCCCCTCATTTTAGGATCCTTTTTTGCCACAGCAAGTGTAAAGTGAATCCTGCAGTCATTAAGTGAATTATTTGGTCATTAAACGAATTCAACTATCCCTGTGGACTGTGCTTACAAGAGAAGCGAGCTGGAAAGGTTCCCGCTGATCATCCTGTGACCCCAGGATGTTGCCACCATTGTACATACGTGCCGTTGCCAAGCACCCAAATTTTGAACATGCAAAATTTGAACGGACCGTTATAAGTCAAGGACTACCTGTCTACGCTTTTTAAAACAACAAAGCAGCTCAGCCTGGCCCCTAGGCTTTCCCGCATGGAGAGCAGGATAGGAACAGAGGCATCCCACAGCCCCACAAGCAACTTCAAGTCACCCAATCTGACCTTCTCCACAGGTGGCTTCCAGAATCGGCCCGTTGGCTCCTCATGAACAACGAATGTGAGGCCGCCCTACGCAACCTGAAGCACGTAGCCAGGATCAACGGGAAAGCTGCAGCGGGTGAAGCCGTAGTACTGGAGGTGAGGAGCAACAAGGTTTCCCTGATGTTCAGTGCACGCTCTCTATGGGTTGGACTGGGCCTTCCCGACAGAGAACATTACCCTACTGCAGTGGTTCTCAACCTTTTTAATGCCACGACCCCAACTGGTCGTAAGTCAAGGACTACTCAACCGGTCGTAAGTCGAGGACTACTCAACGGGTGCAGCACCATTTGCAGACTGGGACTTTTGGCGGGCTCAGCAGGGCAGAGACGGCCTGGACAATTCCTATTGGCTTTTGAAAGCCAATAGAATTAGACTCTATTCAAGAGAGTCTATTCGATTGGCTTTCAAAAGCCAATAGAATAAAAGGGAAGAGCACAGCTAAGGAAAAGGGGGGGGGGGAAAGGGCGGACTGCGTTGTTTGGCGACCCCCGTGAAATGGTCGTTCGACCCCAAATGGGGTCCTGACCCACAGGTGGAGAACCACTGCCCTAGTGTTCATCAGCCTCAGCCACTCTAAGATGAGTGGACTTCAAATCCCAGAATTCCCCATCCAGCATGTTGAGAAGCACTGATCTAACTCTATCCATCCATCCATCCATCCATCCATCCATCCATCCATCTATCCTTGTTTCTCAAACTTGACAACTTTAAGATCCGTGGACTTCAACTCCCAGAATTCAATTGCCACATTGGCTAAGGAACTCTGGGAGTTGAAGTCCATACATCTTGAAGTTGGCAAGTTTGAGAAACTCCAATCTAGTGAAAACTATCTATGACAGTGGTTCTCAACCTGTGGGTCGGGACCCCATTTGGGGTCGAATGACCATTTCACGGGGGTCGCCAAACAACGCAGTCTGCCATTTTTCCCTCCCTTTTCCTTAGCTGTGCTACTCCCTTTTATTCTATTGGCTTTCGAAAGCCAATAGAATAGACTCTCTTGAATAGAGTCCAGGCTGTCCAGGCTGTCTCTGCCCTGCTGAGCCCGCCAAAAGGCCCATTCTGCAAACGGTGCTGCACCAGTTGAATAGTCCCCGACTTATGACCGGTTGAGTAGTCCTCGACTCACGACCGGTTGGGGGGTCGCAGCATTAAAAAGGTTGAGAACCACTGATCTATGATGTAACATCTTCTAGAATCCAAGCTGACTCCTGAACACCACAGACCTTCACATCCGGGCAATTTTTTTCCCAACAACAAGACGGAAGCAAGTCACTATTGTCTTTTTCTGAAATAGTTTTCAACCTCCAGTCTAACTACATTCCATGATCCTATGATGGTCTCCTCACTGAGAGCTTGCCAAGTCCAACCTAGCTTGGCAGTGAGGACCAGTCCAGGTCAACTATACTTTAGAGCAGGAGTCTCCAAACTTGGCAGTTTTAAGACTTGTGGCCTTCAACTCCCCATGCTGGCTTGGAAATTCTGGGAGTTGAAGTCCACTTGTCTTTAAGTACTCGAAGTTGAGAAACACTGCTCTACGCAGAAAAACTCTTGCGTTCATCCTTGCATAATCTTTTCTTCTCCCCCTGTAGATGCTGGAGACCCAATCGGGGAGTAATTCTCCAGGACGGGGCAAGCACTCTTGCTTGGACCTCTTCCGCACCCCTGGACTGAGACGCATCAGCTGTTGTCTCATGCTCATCAGGTAAGGCGAAGACCTCACCAAAGGAAAGATGGAGGGTGGACAAAGCAGATCTGTCTTCTCCAAACAGAGGTTCTTCTCAGATTGAGAAGATGGCAACTTCCATCTTCTCCAACCAACGAGGAAACCCTCAACCCAACACCAGCATTTCTAACCAGTTGTGGGTCTCCACCTAGATAACTGCTAACCCAATATTTGTCCTTCTCAGTTTCTCCATAAACATGGCCTATTTTGGGCTCTCCATGGACCTCTCCATGTTTGGCCTGAACGTCTTCCTGGTGCAGCTCTTCTTCGGAGTGATAGACCTGGTGGCCAAGATGGTCTGTGCTCTGCTGCTCAGCTATGTTGGCCGACGCATCATCCAATCCGTTTCCCTCATCCTTGCAGGAATGTTCCTTTTGGTCAGTCTTCCTGTCCCTTCTGGTAAGAAGAAATAAGAAGAAGTATCCACCTTCAGGGGTCTACTGGCAGGTGTAATTTACTCACTTCTAGCTATGTTTGTGGGAAAAGACAGGATCAAGAGCAGTTTCTGGGCAACTTTAAGATGTGTGGACTTCAACTCCCAGAATTCCCCAGCCAGCCATGTCAGCTGGAGGATTCTGGGAGTTGAAGTCCACACCACTTAACGTGGCCAAGGTTGAGAAATATTGACCAAGAGGCTACTGAGTGTTGTCTAATGTTGGGAATAGGCCAGAATTTGGTGCTAGAAACATCAGACCTTCTCCAGTATTGCTTGGCTGGGAGGGAGGGTCCCCCTCTTCTTATCCAAGATGGCTGCCATTTGCGTTGGGATTGCTTTTCCCAAGAGGACCACCTTTGATCCAACTCTGGTTCCATCTGAAATGGAGACCAAGAAGAACAAATGTTGGTGTATCCCGCTGCTTTCTTATACAAGAGAATATTCATCGCATAGGGTTGAATTGTGGGGGTCCATGATGTTCTCTGTTGTCCCGCAGACATTTTATTATCAAACTAGGCAACATCATCAGTGCTAGAAGGGAATGGGGTTTGTGAAGAGGGAGGAGGGTGAGGAGGAAGAAGAAGCATCTGCCCTGCATATCCTGATCTCAGTGGGTACGCGTCTTCACCACCAAACAGCCCAGGTAAATAATCTCTTGAATAATAATTAATCAATGACAAAATAAGAAATAAAAAATAAATGGGGTCCTCGGCGCTCTCTGAACTTGGTTGTTTTCTTGCAGACGTTTCATGACCCAACGAGGTAACATCACAACCATAATCCTAGCACTGATGATGTTACCTCGTTGGGTCATGAAACGTCTGCAAGAAAACAACCAAGCTCAGAGAGCACCAAGGACCCCATCCATTTTTTATGTCTTATTTTGTCATTATTACCTAAGACATCACTTACCTAGGCTGTTTGGTGGTGAGAGCACTCACCCACCGAGATCCGGGCATGAGGGGCAGATGCCATTTTGTTTTGCACAGGGGGTGATCAAAAAAGGCAAGATGGCAGCCAAGAGTATGACACCAGGAGGTTTTTATATGCAATAGGCAGCCAAGAGGATGACACCTGGTTTTTATATGCAATAGGTGCACATGCCACGCGCATCAAAACCAGGTGGAGTTGTGACCCTCCTGTTGTGGTGGCCATCTTGACTTTTGTGACCAGCTCTGCAGGTGTCCCTTGTTCTGCATCAAATATTCTGCATTGATAGCTCATCTAGAACGTATTTTGGGCAGTTACTGAGAGTTTGATGCAGCCTTTCTCAACCTTGGCCACTTTTAAGATGAGTGGACTTCAACTCCCAGAATTCCCTAGCCAATGTGGGAGTTGAATTCTGGAAGTTGAAGTCCACACAGCTTAAAGTTATCAAGTTTGAGAAACAAGTATGGATGGATGGATGGATGGATGGATGGATGGATGGATGGATGGATGGATGGATGGATGATGGAGTGAGTGAGTTAGATCAATGCTTCTCAACATGCTGGCTGGGAGTTGAAGTCCACCCCTCTTGAAGCATGCTGGCTGGGGAATTCTGGGAGTTGAATTCCACACATCCTAAACCAGCCAAGGTTGAGAAACATTGTCTCAGGACCATGTTGGAAGAAAACTAACCAGGTTATGCTCTCAACCCACCTCCATTTCTTCTAGATATGTTGACGGTGCGTCTCGTCTTTGTGGTTCTGGGTAAAGGGTGCTTAGCAGCATCTTCCATGTGCCTCTACCTGTATGGAGGGGAGCTCTTCCCAACGGTGATCAGGTAAGCAAATAGGTGGAAACCATGTTGGGGGGAGGTCATTCCTGGAAATCCAGTTCAGGTTCCCCTTTCCAAGACATCTTGGCTCCCTTTCCAGATTCATCAGCCCTGGATTCTCCTGTTACATTCAGGAGCAAGCAAGCAGGGGATGATAGCAGTTGTGGTTAATCCCCCTGGAGGATACTTGCTTGCTGTGTCCCAAAAAGATCAGTCTAGAACTGAAGAAACCTGGCTTGAATCTCAGCATGCAGTGATTGCATTCAGACAACCTACTAGACCAGTGTGCCTTACCTCAGCAACTTAAGAGATGTGGACTTCAACTCCCAGAATTCCTGGAAGCTGGCCGGGGAATTCTGGGAGTCGAAGTCCACACCTCTTAACGTTGCAGAGGTGGAGAAAGATTGCGTTAAATCGTTTTTGTGGTTCTGGGTGTGGAGGAAACATAGCCTACCTGGCTATGCGTGAACTACGGTTGGTGTGACGCTACAACAGGCTTTCACCCACCTGGTGGAGGACCACGGGCTGGGTGACTCAACCTAGCCTACCTCACAGGGTCGTTGCGCAGGTAAAGAGGACCTGGTAGGGCCAGCGGGGGCTTTCAAGATCTCTGTGGGTTTTCCTTCCCAGGCAAACGGGCAGCAGCTTCACCACCGTGATGGCTCGGCTGGGGGGCATCATAGCCCCCCTGGTGTTGATGGCCGGGGACTACCAACCTTTCCTGCCCCTGGTGCTATTTGGGGTGATGCCCATCGTTTCCGGTGTTTCTGCGGTCTTCCTCCCTGAAATGTTTGATGTCCCTCTGCTGGACACAGTGGAAGAGGTTGAAGAGAGGTGGGTTCCTCTCCCCCTTCTTTTTCTACCCATGTCTTTCTCTGTTCTACTCTCTATTCTGTTCTATTTCTATATTTCTGTTTCTATGCTCCTCTCCTCTTGTTTTCATTCTGTTGTTTTCATTCTCTTCTCTCTCTTCTCTTCCCTTCTCTTCTCTCTCTTCTCCTTCTCTTCTCTTCTCTTCCCTTCTCTCTCCTCTTCTCCTTCTCTTCTCTTCCCATCTCTCTTCTCTCCCCTTCTCTTCTCTTTCCTTCTCTTCCCTTCTCTACTCTTCTCTTCCTTCTCTCTCCTCTTCCCTTCTCTCTTCTCTTCCCTTCTCTCTCCTCTTCTCCTTCTCTTCTCTTCCCTTCTCCTTCTCCTTCTCTTCTCTTCCCTTCTCTCTTCTCTTCTCCTTCTCTTCCCTTCTCTCTTCTCTTCTCCTTCTCTTCTCTTCCCTTCTCTCTTCTCTTCTCCTTCTCTTCTCTTCCCTTCTCTTCTCCTTCTCTTCTCTTCCCTTCTCTCTTCTCTTCTCCTTCTCTTCTCTTCCCTTCTCTTCTCCTTCTCTTCTCTTCTCTTCCCTTCTCTCTTCTCTTCTCCTTCTCTTCCCTTCCCTTCTCCTTCTCTTCTCCTTCTCTTCTCTTCCCTTCTCTTCTCTCTCCTCTTCTCTTTCCCTTCTCTCTCTTCTCTTCTCTTCCTTCTCTTCTCTCTCCTCTTCTCCTTCTCTTCTCTTCCCTTCTCCTTCTCCTTCTCTTCTCTTCCCTTCTCTCTTCTCTTCTCCTTCTCTTCTCTTCTCTTCCCTTCTCTTCTCCTTCTCTTCTCTTCCCTTCTCTCTTCTCTTCTCCTTCTCTTCTCTTCCCTTCTCCTTCTCCTTCTCTTCTCTTCCCTTCTCTCTTCTCTTCTCCTTCTCTTCTCTTCTCTTCCCTTCTCTTCTCCTTCTCTTCTCTTCCCTTCTCTCTCCTCTTCTCCTTCTCTTCTCTTCCCTTCTCCTTCTCCTTCTCTTCTCTTCCCTTCTCTCTTCTCTTCTCCTTCTCTTCTCTTCCCTTCTCTTCTTCTCTTCTCTTCCCTTCTCTCTTCTCTTCTCCTTCTCTTCCCTTCCCTTCTCCTTCTCTTCTCCTTCTCTTCTCCTTCTCTTCTCTTCCCTTCTCTTCTCTCTCCTCTTCTCTTTCCCTTCTCTCTCTTCTCTTCTCTTCCTTCTCTTCTCTCTCCTCTTCTCCTTCTCTTCTCTTTCCTTCTCCTTCTCCTTCTCTTCTCTTCCCTTCTCTCTTCTCCTTCTCTTCTCTTCCCTTCTCTTCTCCTTCTCTTCTCTTCCCTTCTCTCTTCTCTTCTCCTTCTCTTCCCTTCCCTTCTCTTCTCTCTCCTCTTCTCTTTCCCTTCTCTTCTCTTCTCTTCCTTCTCTTCTCTCTCCTCTTCTCCTTCTCTTCTCTTCCCTTCTCTTCTCTCTCCTCTTCTCCTTTTCTTCTCTTCCCTTCTCTTCCCATCTCTTCTCTTCTCCTTCTTCTCTTCCCTTCTCTTCTCTTCTTTTTCTTCTCTCCTCTTCCTTCTCTTCTCTCTCTTCTTTTCCTCTTCTCTCTCCTCTCCTCTTTTCTTCTCTTCCTTCTCTTCTCTTCTTCTCCCCTCCCATCTCCTCTCCTGTTGATTCTATTCTATTCCATTCCATTCCATTCTATACCATACCATTCCATACCATACCATACCATACCATACCATACCATACCATACCATACCATACCATACCATACCATACCATACCATACCATACTACTCTATCCATCTGGTTTGATGCCTTTCCTCATTTTGCAATTCCCTGTTGCCCATGGGTTCCTATCTTTGCAAACATTGATTTTCCGTCTTTCTTTTTTGCCAAGGAGCCTTCTCCCTGCTCAAGTGCAGCCTCTTTTTTCCAATAATGTATCTCACCTCCCCTTTATTCTTCCTGCTCATAATATCTGCAGCTTGTAATGGCCTTTTAACATCTGTCTCCCCAGAGCTAGATGGAAATCCAAAGCCATCCTGGCCGAGGCACCAGAAAAGAGCTCGGCGCCTCCCATCATCCAGTCGACCCGCCTTTGAGCTTCAACTCTGGCATCTCCCACTGGCGTTTGCAGGGTCGTGAACCTGAGGCCAACCATCTGCCATTGGGCCCTTCCAGCAGGCTAGCCGGCTGCCAAGACTGCTACACAGCTACATTTTTGGAAGGAAAAGCAACAGGGACAAGGTTGGCATTTGCAACGGAGAACATTCATGGTCCAAGATATTCTTCTGGCACCTTGAAGCAAATGGACTTTCCTAGTCTCTTGAAGGAAGTCAACTTGGCTTCTGTTTCTGGATGGCAGTGACCCTGAGATAGACATTTTTTGGCCTTAGGGTTCTTCAAAACTATGATTTTGATGCTGCCAGGTGTGTTCTGACACAGACATTGCAGTGTGCGTGATTAAGTGCGGGTCCTAAGACATTCAACAAACTCCTCATCTCTACTTTTGTCCTGGTTAGTGCTCCCTCTCAGTTGCTCCAACGGGATTTTAGCAACCAGGGCTGTCCTCTGACCATGCCTGGACAGAGGGAAGACTGGGAGATGTAGTTTTCAAGAAACAGCAGAGAGGCTGGAACAGAAAAAAAAAAAAACCAGCATTGTGCAAAGACAGAAATGTGGGGTGAATGGTTGAAGGTTTCTTAACAAGCTACGAGATGTTGTGGGTGAAGATACGGAAGGTCTCTTCCCATCTTGCAGGGAGGGGTTCTCAAATGCACAGGGAGCCCTCCGCCCAGCTTGTTTTCAGTGCTATTTATTGATGCCATTCTAGGCAAATGTCAATGAATAAACAGAGTCTTGTGTTTTTTTCTACTAAATGAATATCTGGAATTTTGGGGAAAGCAGTATCCCATTTCAAAAGGGGAATTACTGAGTTCTGGGCTATTTTTAATTTTTATAACACATTTATTATTTTTATAAATCATTCAAGGTAGTGAAGATACCTAATACTCCTTCCTCCTCTTATTTTCCCCACAACAACCCTGCAGGCTCAAAGCCACCCAGCTGGCTTTCATGTCTGACTAGAATTCACCGTCTCCTGGTGACTGGCCTAAAGTCATCCAGCTCACTTTCATGTCTAAGCTGGGACTAGAACTCACCATCTCCTGGTTTCTAACTTGGCGCCTTCATCGCCAGACCAAACATTTTGACCCTGACTGAATCAAAAGGAGATTCAAGCTGGTCTCAAATGGTGTGGAGAAATTCTCCACTCTGTGTATGGGCAGAAAACACGGGTGGGGGGGAGTCAATTCACTTGAGGAAGAAGAAGTTGTCCAGTTGGAAACTAATCAAGGAGAGAGGCAACCTGGAATTAAGGAGAAACTTCCTAACAGTGAGGACAATTAACCAGTGGAACAGCTTGCCACCAAAAGTTGTGGGCGCTCCATCACTCGAGATTTTTAAGAAGAGATTGGACAACAATTTGTCTGAGATGGCATAGGGTCTCCTGCTTGAGCAGGGGGCTGGACTAGAAGACCTCCAAGGTCCCTTCCAGCTCTATTCTATTCTATATAAAGTTAGTTGTCCAGAGCAGATGACTGACCCGGAGAACCACCAGTGCAAATTATTCCTTTCTATCCTATCTTGTAAAAATAAATACAGGTAGTCCTTAACTTATGACTACTTGCTTAATGAATGGAAGTTCCTCCTCTCATGCAGCAATTCCAACTTGAATTGCGCAGCTCAGTTTGAATTCCAGAAAAATCGAAGTGGGATACATATCCCTCATGCATACCCCTCATTCCAAAGGACTACAATTCCCATTGATGTTTATACCTTCCAGGCAGGTTTCATTAGGCCAGTTCTCCCAGTGTGCTTTTATCGATGGTCAGCCACGAATGAGTGGGGCAAACATATGCTAAAAGTCTCCACCCATTGTACGATTCTCAGCAGGCCCCACAAAAGGAATCAACCAGTAGGAAGTCAGGAGGGGTAGAAAAAGAGACATCCATCACTCAATCACCCTGACACTTTTCAGCAAGGACAGGAAACGTGGCTTTTGCACAGGGTTTGAATGTCAAGACGTCGACTCCCCTTCCTTTGTAATCTGTAATCATTTCATAAAGAGCATAAAACTAACAAAAGCCAGGAGAAATTTCCTGACAGTGACAACTATTAATCAGCAGAAGGGTTTGCCTTCAGAAGTGGTGGGTGCTCCATCACTGGCGGTTTTCAAGAAGAGACTGGAAAATCCATTTGTCTGAAATGATATAAGGTCTCCTGCTTGAATAGGGGGTTGGACTAGAAGACCTCCAAGGTCCCTTCCAACCTTATGATTCTATGTGATAGATAAGATAGGTAGATACAAACAATATATGAGAGAGAGGGAATACTCTTCCTCTTTGAGTTATGGGTACTTGATCACTGGCAATTTTTAAGAATAGAATAGAGTAGAAAATTAGAATAGAATAGAAAATTAGAATAGAATAGAATAGAGAATGGAATGGAATTAGAATTAGAATAGAATTAGAATAGAATAGAATAGAATGGAAGAATAGAATAGAATAGAATAGAACAGAACAGAATTACAAAGAATAGAATAGAATAATAGAATAGAATAGAATAGAATAATAGAATAGAATAGAACAGAATTACAAAGAATAGAATAGAATAGAATAGAATAGAATAGAAAACCCCCCAAAGGGGATTAAAAAAAATGAAGAAAAAGAACATTCTGATTTTCTTTGCAGTAAATATAAGTTATATTTCTTACAGCATGATGGACCTCCATTTACAGCTATTCATTTAGTAACTGTTTGAAGTTACAACAGGACCAAAAATATGACTTATGACGAGTCTTCGCAATAATCCTTCACACCCCCCCCCCAATCCACAGGATAAAATTTGGGTGTTTCACAACCATTTGCAGCCTTCCCAGCTGGCTTCCAGCAAGCAAAGCCAATGGACTCGCTTAATGACCACCTGATTCACTTAACCACTGCAGTGTTCTGGTTAACAATGGCGGCAAAAATGGTCATAAAATTGGGTGCAACTCCATTTAACAGCAGCAGTATTTCTCAATCTTGGCCACTTTAAAATAAATGGATTTCAGCTCCCAGCTGGTATGGAAGGACCAACTCCCAGAATTCCTCAGCCAGCATATCTGGCTGGGGAATTCTGGGAGTTGAAGTCCACCCATCTTAAACTAGCCGAGGGTGAGAAATGGTGATCTATACTAGTATGGGATGAAGTGAGCAATTGTGTTATACTGCCCCCTGTGGCCAAGTATTATATTGGAGGGGCAGATTCCTGCAGGGTCTTTTTAAGTTTCATGGAATTGCCCTAGAACAGGGGTAGGCAACCTCTGCTCTTTTATGACTCATGGACTTCAACTACCAGAATTCCTGAGCCCCAGGAAGCCGTTCCCTTCATCCTTGACCATTAGAGCATCTGGTGGTGGTGGTTGTGGTGGGAACTATAATCATAATGCTCTGAAGCAGTGTTTTTCAACCTCAGCAAATTGATGATGAGTGAACTTTAACTCCCAGAATTCCATGTGCTGAGGAATTCTGGGACTTGAAGTCCACCCATCTCCAAGTCACTGAAGTCGAGAGATGCTGGGCTAGTCTTGGAGAAAGTCTATGTGGTTGCTAGGACTAAAAAATAACTGGATGACAGATTAATCAATCATCCATCCATCAACGTCAGTCCAAAAATCAGTTCTTGTGGAAATGCAGAATGATGACCTTTGCATAACAAGCCAGCTTTCCTGGCTGATTTACATTTTTCATGATTTACTCAGACCATTCTCTGGCTGGATTCTAATAAAGCAGACTACAGGCTGACATGAATCTTTATTTACAGGTGGTCCTTGACTTACGACCACACTTGAGCCCAACATTTCTGTTGCTAAATGAGACCGTTGTTTAGTGAGTTTTATGTCCTTTCTTGCCACAGTTGTTAAGTGAATCACTGCGGTTGTTGAGTTAGTAATATGGTTGTTAAGTGAATCTGACTTTGCTTGTCAGAAAGTCACATGACCTTGGGAAACAGGAATGGTCAGAAAAGTGAACCAATTGCCAAGTGTTATGTCCTGGACGTACTGAGTGATTCAACAGGTGCAGGAAGCTGCAGACCACGTGGTTGCCCAAGACCAGACAGGCTGTCTCCAGCCAATTGCGCAGGCGCAAGGCGGGAGAATCCGTTGTATTGATTGGCTGACACTGTCCCTGCAAAGGGGTATATAAAGGAATCTGCGCCGTTTTGTTTTGGTTCTGTTGGAGATTCAATAAAAAAGGATCTGTTGTTCGTCTGTCTTGTCTCAATGCCTTACCAATGCACAGAACAGAACACCAAGCATTTGAATTTTGATCACATGATCACATGGGGATGCTGCAATGGTCTAAATGTGAAAAACGGTCATAGGCTACTTTTTTCAGTGCCCTTGTAACTTCAAATTGTCACTAAACAAACTGTTGTAAGTCGAGGCCTACCTATGTCAAGACCAGGGTCTTGTGGCATACGAAAGGGACTCTTACGAATTCCAGAGGGCTTTTAGCAGAGAGATTTATTGCGCAGGTTCAGAAGCTATAGCAACAAGCAATTCTAAACCCCGGGGGCGGATTAAGCCTTCAGTTTTATACTTTTCCCTTTTTTTCTCAGGAACAAAGGATTACACATTGTAATACATTAGGTTCATTTCTCACGGGTATACAATGGAGAGTTTGCTACATACATTGCATCCAAGTGCAATCCGCATTAGGTTAGTCACATACTGCTAACACAGCACTTTTCCAGTAATTATGCAGACACATCATTATTCTAGTGATTGTTAACTTTTCCACATTAAGGGCTCTCCAAACTTGGCAACTTTAAGACTTATGGACTTCAACTCCCACAATGCTGGCAGGGGAATTTTGGGAGTTGAACTTCACAAGTCTTAAAAGTTTGCAAAGTTTGGAGGCGCCTGATCAAGACTACAGTGGTGGTGGTGGGGGGGGAAGTTTGTGGTAATCAGCACACTGTGTGTATGTGTAAAGCCAGAATCTGGTTTATTATTTCCAGACTGGAGGGTCTGCAATGTTAGCATTGTATTCTGCTAACCTGGGTTTAACCTTTCTTGTGAACTCAGCCACTGAGCAGTTCAGAATCCTAGCAGCTGAAATGAACATCGACCGTCAGTAAATATGCTGGCTACCCCTTGTTCTTCCTAACATTTTCTTTTTAAACTCATTTTTTAAAAAAAAAAACCAGTCAGGGTTGGCTATTTGGATAAATAATTGCATTTTGGGGAAATGGGGGGTTGAGAGTGGATCCCATTTATCCTGCCTTTTGGCAGCCCGGGGCCGGAAGCCTTTATGTTTCCAGAGAAGGATTCCGGTGTTCAAGAAAGGATGAAAGTCAAAATTTCCAAATTGCACCCCTGTTTCTCCCGGCACCCCCCTTTAGAGACGGCAAAACTCAACTTTCTTAGCGAGCCCGGAAGTACGCTCTTCTTACAGGAGTTAGGCGATTCTGCTATTTTTTCTCTCTAGAGGAGAATCAGGGAACTTACTTCACGCCCCGCCCCCGGTGGCGTGTTTTCATCTCCAGGTCTCCGCCCTCTTTTGAACGTCACCCGCGAGGCTTGCCCAACGACCAATCAAAAGAGGGGAAAGGGGAGGCACGGCCAATGAGCGAGCCCGTCGGCCAGCGAAGCGGGCCTGGAGAGCAAAAGAAGCTGGGCGCGGAGCCGGGGAGTCGCGTGATCGGGCTGACCGGGCGAGGTCGCCCGGGTGGCGGCGTCGGCATCGGCGGTCAGGGCGATCCCCTCGGAAGACGACGACAGCCCGCGCCGCCTCTCTCATCATGTCCCGGTGGTTCTTCCCGTGGTCGAGCTCGATCAAGAAGCGAGCCTGCCGCTACTTGCTGCAGCATTACCTGGGCCACTTCCTGGAGGAGCGGCTCGGCCTGGAGCAGCTCAGCCTCGACCTGTACGCGGGCGCCGGACGCCTGACCCGTCTCCACCTCGACGTCTGGGTGAGGTTCTCCGCCGCGGTGGAGCGAAGGGAAGGGAAAGGAGGCGAGAAGGGCCTGGCTGGCTAGCTGGCTTCCTGGGCAGGCAGGCAGGAAACGTACCGGTGCAGCTTCCTCTCTCCTAGCGGCCTGCTGGGCCCTCTCCCTCCCCTCCTCTCCCTCTCCCCGAGTGTCCTTGGGGTCACAAGCCCCATCATCCCCAGCCTCCGAGAGAGAGAGGCAGGCTGGGGTGATGGGTCGTGTAGTTCCAAGTCAATCCCCAGAAGGGATTGGGATGGGCTTCCCCATACCAGCATGGATCCATAGGGAAGGTTTCTCAATCTTGGCTGCTTTCAGATGGGTGGGCTTCAACTCCCAGAGCTGGCTGGCTGGGGGATTCTGGGAGTTGAAGTCCACAAGTCTTAAAGTTGCCAAGGTTGAGAACCCCTGCTCTAAAGTGACATACACCTGTACAAAACATGCAGATTGCTACACACACCTCAAGCCCAACGGAGCTCTGGATCTACAGGCATGTGATAGTATATTCTATGGCAGTTTCTCAGCCTTCACAAATGCCCAAGGGGTGGACTTCAACTCCCAGAATCCCCCAGCCATCCCCAGCCTCCGAGAGAGAGAGAGAGAGAGAGAGAGAGAGAGAGAGAGAGAGAGAGAGAGGGGCAGGCTGGGGTGATGGGTCGTGTAGTTCCAAGTCAATCCCCAGAAGGGATTGGGATGGGCTTCCCCATACCAGCATGGATCCATAGGGAAGGTTTCTCAATCTTGGCTGCTTTCAGATGGGTGGGCTTCAACTCCCAGAGCTGGCTGGGGGATTCTGGGAGTTGAAGTCCACCCCTCGGGCATTTGTGAAGGCTGAGAAACTGCCATAGAATATACTCTCACATGCCTGTAGATCCAGAGCTCTGTTGGGCTTGAGGTGTGTGTAGCAATGTGCATGTTTTGTACAGGTGTATGTCACTTTAGAGCAGGGGTTCTCAACCTTGGCAACTTTAAGACTTGTGGACTTCAACTCCCAGAATCCCCCAGCCAGCTCTGGGAGTTGAAGCCCACCCATCTGAAAGCAGCCAAGATTGAGAAACCTTCCCTATGGATCCATGCTGGTATGGGGAAGCCCATCCCAATCCCTTCTGGGGATTGACTTGGAACTACACGACCCATCACCCCAGCCTGCCCCTCCCCCCCCCTCTCTCTCTCTCTCTCTCTCGGAGGCTGGGGATGGCTGAGGAATTCTGGGAGTTGAAGTCCACAAGTCTTAAAGCTGGCTGAGGAATTCTGGGAGTTGAAGTCCACAAGTCTTAAAGTTCCCAAGGTTGAGAACCCCTGCTTTAGAGATACACACAAATACATAATTTTGTAGGTTTTGGGGGGGTATCTGTACAAACACACCATTCCAAAAATCTATTAGTATACATGTATTATTCTATATATTTAACATGTAATGGTGTGTGTCGATATGTACCGTGGTACATATAAACACACACTGTTTACCAAATACCAGAAAGTGGGAGGCGGTGAGTTCTAGTCCCGCCTTAGCCATGAAAGCCAGCTGGGTGACTTCGGATAAGGCCCTTTCTCTCATTCCAGCTCGCCTCACAGGGTTATTGTGAGGAAAATAGGTGCATTGGGTATGTTTGCCACTTTGAGTTATTTGTAAAAATAATAAAAGCAGGATACAAATATAGTATAAGATTCTATAGCCTTTGTGTGTGTGTGTGTGTATGTATGTGTGTATGTTTGTATATATGTATATGTGTATTATGTTTTCTGAGGTTTTTGCGGGTGTTTGTATGTAGGTCTTTGGTTATTTGGGTCTTCTCCCGTGTAAAATTGGAGGTGTCTTGGCAACGTTTCGACGAAGTCCCATTCGTCATCTTCAGGCTGGTGTTTTCAGCTTCGTGCTTCTAGGAGCTACGATCACACATTGCTCCTAGAAGCACGAAGCCAAAAACACCAGCCTGAAGATGACAAATGGGACTTTGTCGAAACGTCGCCAAGACATTTTCAATTTGACGCGGGAGAAAACCTGAATAACCAAAGACCTACATGTGTGTATATATATATATATGTGTGTGTGTGTGTGTGTGTGTATAAAATAAAGGCAGCTTACAAGTATATAAGTAAAAATATATACATGGAAAGGTATAAAATATTTATATCTAAATGTATTTATATATTTATAAATATCACTATATAAATATTTATAGATGTCTGTCTGTACATATTTACAACATAGAATAACAGAGTTGGAAGGGACTTTGGAGGTCTTCTAGTCCAACCTCTTATTTGAGCATGAGACTCTATACCATTTCAGACCAGTGGCTGTCCAGTGTATATACGTGTCCACATCCACACACAAATATATATTTCTATATATACGTTTTAAACCGAGAGAGCAGCTATAGTCATATCATCATAATCCTAGTGTTTTTCCTGCAAGTGCAGGTCCGCTAGCTATATTTATTTATTTGTTAAATTTATTTGCCTCTTATCTTGCTGAGGGGGTTACTCTAGGGCAAGGCTTTTCAACCAGTGGTACAGATACCACCTGTGGTATATTGGCACCTGGCAGGTGATATGCGACCATCCTAGAAAAGGGGTAGCAGGGGAGGGGAATGAGCTGAACCGGAGGCAGCACCGCACAAGCCTGAGCGAGAGACGGCTGGAGCTGCAGGGCTGTCAGGGCTCAGCGGAAGCACCAGGACCAGTGCTGCTTTCCAGCTGATCGGCGCTTCTTCGGGGCTGTCAGGGCTCAGCAGAAGCACCAGGATCAGTGCCAGGCTCCAGCTGGAGCTCAGCACTGATCCTGGAGCTTCTGCCGAGCCCAGAAGAAGCGCCGATCAGCTGGAATGTTGCAGCATCTCCAGGGTCTTGTGATTTACAATCAGATGCTTGGCAACTGATTCATATTTATGATGGTCACAGTGTCCCACAATCATGTGAAGTGACCAAAACCTGCTGCAACCACCCAGCAGATGGGGGGAGTAAAAACCAAACACCCCCCCACGCCACCCCTGCTGCCAATCCTCAACAGAAATGCTCACAACAATGAAAACCTCGGACAGGAGGAAGAGCACCACCGGGCAGGCAGGCAGGTGTCTTGCTTGGCTGTGGCTTGGGGGGCACTTTTTTCAGTGCCATTGTAACTTCGAACAGTCACTAAGCGAACTGTTGTAAGTCGAGGACTGCCTGTCCTTTATCATTTTTTCCCTTTTTTTGGGGGGTCATCAAGTTTTTGACACCTTGCTAGGCGACTGGTGGTACTCGGATGTTGCCATATCCTAAAAGTGGTACAGTGGGTGAAAAGGTTGAAAAGCCCTGCTGTAAACCACTTAGAAGCGGTGTATAAGTCAAAATGCTGTTGCTCTAAGTCAGGGGTGGGGAAACCATGCCTGCTCGGGAATTCTGGGAGTTGAAGTCCACAAGTCATAAAAGAGCCAAGGTTCCTCACCCCTGACCCAGGTCTTCCTATGACCGGACCTCAAAGCAGGGAAGGTGTTAGAACTTCATGCGAAGGAGTGGAGCGACCTGTGCTTGCGACGCACCCTAAAATATGAGAAGGGACTTGGGAAAGTGTGAATGGAACATCAAGCCTTCCGATGGTGTCCTCGCTTCAGGAGGTCCTGCCCCATTAGAGCTGCTTCTGTATTTTAAGGTTCTTGTGCTTTGGGCGTGGGAGACTCACCTGTGGAATGATGAACCGGATGATTTGCTGTGATTTGCTGTGTCTGAGGTGGAAAGGGAGGTGCCGACACACTCAAAGTTTCCTTGTCTTGCTGTGGAAAGCCTCCCCAAGTAGCATTATCTTGGCGAGTCCTTCTCATTCAATTTTTAGCTTTGGGGTAAAGCAATACGAGCACAGGTGGGTCCTCGACTTTCGACAGTTCGTTTAGTGACTGTTCAAAGTTACGATGGCACTAAAAACAGTGCCTAGGACTGTTTTCACACGACCGTTGCTGCATCCCCTGTGGTTGCATGATCAAAATTCGGATGCTTGGCAACTGGTTCATATTTATGATGGTTGCAGTGTCCCGGGGTCAGTGGACCCCCTTTTTTTGACCTTTGGACAAGCAAATCGGGAAGCTAGATTCACAACCGTGTCCATATTTATGACGGTCACAGTGTCCCGGGGTCAGGTGATCCCCTTTTGCGACCTCACACAAGCAAGTCAAGGGGAAAGCCAGATTCACTTTACAATTGTGTTGCTAACTTAACAACTGCAGCGATTCGCTTAACAGCTGTGGCAAGGAAGGTTGTAAAATGGGACAAAACTCACTGAACAAACTTCTCACCTTAGCCACATAAATTTTGGGCTCACTTGTGGTGGTAAATCGAGGACTACCTGTGGCCTTTGCCTTATGACCACAATTGGAACTGGAGCTTTGCTGCTAAACAAGGCAGTCATTAAGTGAGCCCCGTTTGCAAGCTTTTTTCCCGTGGTGGTTAAGTGAATTCGGTGGTTGTTAAGCAAATCTGGCTTTCCTTGTTAACTCGCTTGTCGGAAGCCCTGTGGGAAGATTGCCTTAGGCATGAAAGTCAAATGGGTGACTTTCGGCCAATCACCAGGTGACAGTGAGTTGTAGTCCTGCCTCGGGCGTGAAAGCCAGCAAGGTGACCGGAAGACAGGGAGTTCTAGTCTTGCTTTAGGCATGAAAGTCAGCTGGGTGATTTTTGGTCAATCGCCAGGTGACGGTGAGTTCTAGTCCCGCCTCAGACACGAAAGCCAGCAGGGTAACTGGGCTAATCATCAGGAGACGGGGAATTCTAGTCTGGCTTTTAGGCATGAAAGTCAGATGGGCGACTTTGGGCCAGTCACCAGGAGACGGTGAGTTCTAGTTCCACCTCAGGCATGGAATCCAGCTGAGCGATTTGGGGGCCAGCCCCTCTCTCTCAGCCCAATCCGGCTCGAAGGGTGGTGATTGTGGGGAAAATAAGGGGATACGATCCTCCGACACGTTCATTGCAAAGTCCGAAGGGCGAGATCAAAACCTCAGCCCCCACCGAGCCACTGGCCGCCTTGCGCAAGAGCAGGTCGGGTGGAGCAAGGGCTCCAGGAAGTGTCAAGTATCTGGAGAGGAATGGGGGATGTTTGTTTTGGTTGAGTTGACTCATGTGCTCTGGCTCCACGTCATGGCTGTTGTCTGGCTGCCTGGGTGTGCACGGATTGCAAAAACAGGAGATGTTGATCTTGTTGTCCTCCAGCCCACACGAGCCTCTCCATGGCCAGGCAAGAAACGGGAGATCTCCCACCGAAAGGAAGCCACAGCTGCAAATGTGGGTCTTTGCTTCTGGGCTTTGATTTATATTTGTAGCTGCCCAGCATGATGGTCATTGTTGCTTTCTCTGCACCAGAGCCCTTCTCTTTTTTTAATAATAATTTTTTTTTCCATTTATCCAGCATAATTATACAACAAAATTCACTTATCAAAATAAAATAGATTCATAATCATAACCAGAACCATAGGTGCCGCTTGCTCCTTCCCCCCAGGCTGCATCCACCCTCCCCAGTACCTTCCCTACTTCCCTCCTCTTTCTCTCCTCCCCTCACTACTCTCTTCCCTTCCCCTTCTCCTCTTATCATCCTACTTCCTCCCTTCACCTTCCTCCCCTCCCTCTCAAATACAGGAATACAGCATAGGGGAAATGCACAAGCAGCACCTCTCCATAAATTATCATATCTATATTATCCTATTCTACCTATTTACCCACCCACTCACCCACCCACCCACCCTCAACCCCCCCCTCACTTCCCAGAGCAGAGTACAGGGTTATTAATAACAAAATTATACAATACAAAAAGAAAAAAAGAAAAAAAAATCATGCTTAGCCCTTAACTCCCCTTAAATTACATCATCATGAACAAATCTCTTATACAACATTTACTATAAAATTTACTCATAAAATAAATGAAACTTTATTAGTCCCATACTTCTTCTGAATATAATCTATCCATCTTCTCCATACAATAATATATCTTTCTTGTGTATGATCCTTTAATCAGAGCCCTTCTCTTATTGCTGAGTTGCAATAAGCTTAACTTGGTTGCAGCACAAGGATTCGTCAACCTGCAACCATTTCTTTAGTGACCATTCAAAATTACAACGGCACTAAAAATGTGACCCATGGCTGTGTTTCACATGACCACTGCAGCATCCCCATGGTCACGGTATCAAAATTCAGCCCCTTAGCACAGGGGTTCTCAACCTTGGCAACTTTAAGACTTATGGACTTAACTCCCAGAATTCCTCAACCTTAGCAGCTGGCATGAGTGGTCTTGATGCATGATGGTCGCGTGTGATCCCCTTTTGCGACCTTCTGACAAAGTCAGTGGGGAAGCCAGCTTCACTTAACGACCATGTGACCAACTGAACAGTTGCAGTGATTCACTTAACAACCAGGGCAAGAAAAGTTGTAAAATGGAGCAAAACCTACTTAACAACTGTCTCGCTGAGCAACAGAAATCTCAGGCTCAGTTGTGGCCGTAAGTTGAGGACTGCCTGTGCTAGGTGTGAAACTATTTTCCGGGCTTATTTTATGACTCATAAACAAATAAGTGGAGTTTACACAATGTGCCGAGCCACACACCACAATCGCACTGCTGAACTTTGTATGTTGCACAAATATTAGCTTGCTGTGTCTTCCACAGAACCGGTTGAGTGTTTGGGCCCAATCTAGGTGCAGGGAATGGAACTGAATTGTGTGTTTTCCTAGTTTTAGCTTTAATGGGTTGTGACATCTCAGCTGTGACAGTTCAAACCAGGATTTATGGGTTGATTTGTTGGATTAACCAAGCTGGTATTTTAACATTCCCCTAACGAACAATAAATGTAAAAGTATTTATGGTCTGCTGCCTATTTAACGGTTAGGTTTAAAAATAATCCGTCAATTTTCTTCTGTGGAATACAGACAATTCAGTACTCAACAGAGTTTAGTGCCCTATTTGCTTCTGTCTGTAGAGCTTCTCCCATCATCCAGGTCCTGGTTATCCCAAAGGGGCATTTTCAACAGCTGGACTTTCTTTGTTTTTCCTTGAAGATGTTTTGCTTCTTCCAGAACTGAAGAAGCTTCTTGGACGAGAAGTGAGATGTCTTCAAGGCAAAAGCAAAGAAAGTCCCGTTGCCTCTTGAAAAAGGACTTTTGGGACACCTATTTGCTCTTGGGACCCTAGGGAAAAACACAAGGGAGCAAAGTCTAGCTTTCTGTGGGGGAATATTTGAAATGTTCCCAAACTTGTTTGATGGACTGTTTGGGGTGATGTTTATTTTATTTCTGGCTATCTGTGCCAGATGCTTAATGGAAAAAAAATGGGTATCGTGTCAAGTTTCAAAGAAGGTGCTACCACCTCACCTTTTCCAAATGTAGAACATAGGATTGTAGGGCAGGATCTTGGAGGTCATCTAGTCCAGCCCCCTGCTCAGGTAGGAAATCCTACGCCATTTCAAACAAATGGTTGTCCACTCTCTTCTTAAACACTTCCAGTGTTGGAGCATTCACAACTTCTGGAGCCAGGTTGTCCCACTGATTAATTGTTCTCACTGTCAGGAAATTTCTCCTTAGTTCCAGAGTTCTCTCTTTGATTAGTTTCTACCTGTTGCTTCTTTTCCTGCCTTTTTGTGCTTTGGATAATAGATTGACCCCTTCTTCTTTGTGGCAGCCCCTGAAATATTGGAAGATGGCTATCATGGGCACCCCTGATCCTTGTTAGGCTAGACCAGGCTAGGCCAGGGACCCCCAACCCCCAGTCCATGGACTGGTACCGGTTGCATGCCAGCAACCGGTCCGCACAAACAAGCAAAGCCCCATCTGCAGGATGTAGGCCACACACAAAACCACACAATCTACAGTCCGTGGAAAAACCTTTCTCCACGGAACTAGTCCCTGGTGGCCAAAAAATTGGGGACCTCTGGGCTAGACATACCCAGTTCCTGCAAATGTTCCTTATATGTTTTAACCTGCAGTTCCTTAATCTTCTTTGTTGCTCTTCTCTGCATCCAGCACATATTCCTATAGTAGCTTCCATTCACTGCTTCAGGGACGGACAATTTTAGGCTGCTACGCCCCACTTTCCAGTTTGTTTTGAAATCCACTGTCCCTTGCTTCCCAATAGTGTGATTTGGGTGTGTTGTTGCTAAAAATGTACAGGTAATCCTCCACTTACGATCACAATTGAGTTCCAAATGTCTGTTGTCCGGGGAGACGCTTGTTAAGTGAGTTTCGCCTCATTTTACGACCTTTTTTGCCAGAGTTGTTAAGTGAATCACTGCAGTGGATAAGTTAGTAACCTGGTTGTTAAGTGAATCTGGGTTCCCCATTGACTTTGCTGGTCAGAAGGTTGTAAAAAGGGGATCACGTGACCTAGGGGCAGAGCAACCATCGTAAGTATGAGTCACTTGCCAAGCAGCTGAATTTTGATCACGTGACCATGGGGGGGGGATGCTGCAATGGTCGTTAAGTGCGAAAAATGGTCATAAGTCACTTTTTTCAGTGCCGTTGCAACTTCAAACGGTCACGAAGCAAACTGTTGTAAGTTGATAACTACGTGTATGGTGAGGACAGTTAACATTCTCCTCGGCCCTCAGGAATTCTGGGAGTTGAAGTCCACAACTCATAAAAGGGCCACGGTTCCTCTCCCCTGGCCTAGCCAATCCATTTTTCCTTGATTTCTGCCCCTTCCTTCTCAAAAGCGGGATTCAGCCTTAGTGATGAGAATGCCACACGCCACATGGCTTTTGGAAGTGAAAAAAAAAATATTACGATTGCTAGTATAATTGGAGGGTCTCTTTTTTTGTGTGCTTTCTCTGGGCTCAGCGTTTGGTTTATAAGATCTGCAGGGCACGAATTATATTCATTTTTTGCTGCTGGACAGGGTGCTGGTGGTGGTGGTGGGGACAGGAAAAGACAGCCCTGCCTGTGACTTCTTTGAGTTCCCCTGTTTCCAAACCTCCTGTATCCCAGTAGCGTGCATTAAATTAATTAATTAATTAATTAAGAAAATTTGTATGGCAGCCCAACTCATTTGCAGTGACTCCAGGCAACTTAGAAAAATAAAATCCCAATAAAGAAGCCAACAACTCTGTCACTTCTTTGTGGCCTGGACTTAAGCCATGGAAAGTTTTGAGGGTGATGACCAGTATCTTGAATTGGGCCTGGAAGGAAATGGGCAGCTCCCACAAGAGAGATGTGACACCTGTGCAAATCTAGGCTTACACAAAACCCATGTCGATTTGCTGCATTTTGAACCGACTGGAGCTTTCCGGATACTTTTCAAGGGCAGCTCCAAGTAGAGCAGCGGTTCTCAACCTTTTTAATGCTGCAACCCCCAACCGGTCGTAAGTCGAGAACTACTCAACCGGTCGTAAGTCGACTACTCCACTGGTGCAGCACCGTTTGCAGAATGGGGCTTTTGGTGGGCTCAGCAGGGCAGAGACAGCCTGGACAATTCCTATTGGCTTTGAAAGTCAATAGAATGAGACTCTATTCAAGAGAGTCTATTCTATTGGCTTTCAAAAGCCAATAGAATAAAAGGGAGTAGCACAGCTAAGGAAAATGGCGGACTGCGTTGTTTGGCGACCCCCGTGAAATGGTCATTCGACCCCAAATGGGGTCCCAACCCACAGGTGGAGAACCACTGAAGTAGAGTGTATTGCAGTAGTCCAGACGGGAGGTGACTTGGGTGCGGGTGACTGTGAGCAGCGATTGTCGATCCAGGATATATTGCTTAGACAAATTGCGCTTTGGACCTCTGGGCTGGCTTTCTGCTCTTTGACGCTGCCTTGTCTTCCCTTGCACAGTCCGTGAATGAGTTCCTGCAGTCCGTGGGCGCCCCGTTGGAGGTCCTGGATGGCTTCATCGACAGCATTGCCGTCACCATCCCCTGGTCTGCCTTGGTCACCGAGAACTGCACTGTGGAAGTCAGCGGGCTGCAGATCACCTGTCGGCCCAAATATCGCCAAGGTGGGAGCCACAGAGGGAGAGGGGGAACAATTGGGGCCTGCTGGCTAGAGCCAAAACCAATCAGAATAGAGGTGGAAGCAACCTTGGATGTCTTCTAGTCCAACCCTCCCCCCCCCAGCTCAAGCAGGAGACCCTCTACCATTTCAAACAGGTGGCAGTCCAATCTCCTCTTTAAAACCTCCAGTGATGGAGCATCCACAACTTCTGGTGGCAAGCTGTTCCACTGGTTAATTGTCCTCACTGTTAGGAAGTTTCTCCTCAATCAAGTTGCTTCTCTCCTTGATTACTTTTCATCCATTGTTCCTTATCTTGCCTTTGGAGAGTAGGTTGACCCCTTCTTCTTCTTCTGTTTGGCGACCCCTGTGAAATGGTTGTTCGACCCCAAATGGGGTCCCGACCCGCAGGTTTGAGAACCGCTGCTTTATATAGTGGTACAAATACTCCATGTTGATTCTGTGCCTCTATTTATACAACCAAGGATTGTATTAGCTCTTTTGGCTGCCGCCGCGCACGGTTTGCTCACCTGTAAGGGAGTGTCTGATGGAAGGGAGCGTATGGCTGCCTTCTCTGCTTCCTTACCTGCATTTCTGACCTCTCCTTTCCACGCTCCCTTCTCCTTCCCAGGTCCTGCAGGCCCAGAGGGCCAAAGCTGGGCTTCCAGCATGACCACCAGCATGCAGTTGGCTCAGGAGTGCTTGAAGGAGCAGACGGAGGAGCCTTCGGACCCCACCCAGCCCCTGGAGGGCTTGGAGATGTTTGCCCAAACCATTGAAACAGGTAGATTGGGGGGGGGGGGGCAAGTGGGAGAGATGGGGAGGGGCTGGGAAAGGGGCAGAAGGGAGAGGAGAGTCGGAGAGGGACTCTGCTCAGCCCAGGTGGCAGAACCCGAGAAGAATATTTCAACCATCAAAACGAGGCTTTGCCTTAATTCAGTGGTTCTCAACCTTTTTAATGCCGCGACCCCCAACTGGTCGTAAGTCGAGGACTACTCAACCGGCCGTAAGTCGAGGACTACTCAACCGGTGCAGCACCGTTTGCAGAATGGGACTTTTGGCGGGCTCAGCAGGGCAGAGACAGCCTGGACATTTCCTATTGGCTTTTGAAAGCCAATAGAATGAGACTCTATTCAAGAGAGTCTATTCTATTGGCTTTCAAAAGCCGATAGAATAAAAGGGAGTAGCACAGCTAAAGAAAAGGGGAAAAAAATGGCGGACTGCGTTGTTTGGCGACCCCCGTGAAATGGTCGTTCGACCCCAAATGGGGTCCCGACCCACAGGTTGAGAACCACTGCCTTAATTTGCTGACTACAGGTATGATCCCCACGCAGCCCAAACTTTCCCTGGCTAAGCCAGACGGCTGTTAAGCGAGCTTTGTCCCCATTTGACGACCTTTGGGGCCACCGTTGTTAAGCGGAGCACTGCAGTCGTTCAATTAGCCACGCGGTGGTTAAGCGAATCCGGCTTCCCCATCGATTTTGCTCGTTAGACCAGTGTTTCTCAACCGTGACCATTTTAAGGCCTGTGGACTTCAACTCCCAGAATTCCCTGCCCACTTCAAGAATCCAGCCTGGGCGGGGGGGGGGGGTTGGCCACATCCCAGAGTAGAAACCCAATGATGGTGCAAGGAACGCCAGGCATTAAATAAACGGGAGCCACGGAGTGAATTGGGGGGTCGATGGGCAGAGAGAAATGGACTTTCTGCAGCCCGTATTTCTCCTTGGCGTCTTCTTTTTTCTCCCAGTTCTGAGAAGGATCGAAGTGACCTTTGTGGACACGGTGATACGTGTGGAGCACACGCCCAGAAGCGGAGAGGCACCCAGTGTGGCCCTGGAAATTCACATCAAAAGGTCAGTTTTATTCCTTCTCCGAATTGGTGTCTTCTGTTAACTCTTTGGGGGGCTCTTTTCTGGGGGGGGGGAGACCATCTCAGAGTGCTCTTTATTTTCAATTCTATCAGGAGAGTCATTGAGTAAGAAGGGAGGGGCACTTCTAGGAGCCATGTTGGCGGGGGGGATTCTGGGAAACAGGTGCCTCAAATCATCTGGAGCAGTGGTTCTCCACCTGTGGGTCGGGACCCCATTTGGGGTCGAACGACCATTTCACGGAGGTCGCCAAACAAGGCTGTCTGCCATTTTTTCCCCCTTTGGCCACGCCCCTGGCACCCGGTGATGTATAAGTGGTTGGGGGTCACCACAACATGGGGAACTGTATTATGGGGTCGCGGCATTAGAAAGGTTGAGAACCACTGATGTGGAGGGCACTATTGGGGGAGAAAGTCACATCTTGGCTACCTGTAGAGCCACAATGGGGGGGGGGGCTCACTGAAAAAAAGGCTATGGGATCAAAGGACACCAAACACTACCAAACACTAAGTGGCACAGTGGTTAGAATACATTGTGGCAGGCTAATTCTGCCCACTGCCAGTGGTTCGATCCTGACCAGGCTCAAGGTTGACTCAGCTTTCCATCCTTCCAAGGTTATTAAAGTGTTGAATAATTATTATTGAACTCTGTTAAAAAAAAAAAACAATAAAACTTTTAAAACATAAAAAAAGTGAGGATCTAGAGCAGTGTTTCCCAACCTTGACCATTTTAAGGCATGTGGACTTCAACTCCCAGAATTCCACAGCCAGCAATGCTGGCTGTGGAATTCTGGGAGTTGAAGTCCACATGCCTTAAAATTGTCAAGGTTGAAAAACACTGATCTAGATTGTTGGGGGCAATAGGCTGACTCTGTAAACCGCTTAGAGAGGGCTGTAAAGCAGTATATAAATCTAAGTGCTAGTGCTATTGCTACTTATCCCCCTTTCTGGCTTGGTTGAAAATAATCTGGTTATCTGTCATCCTAAGCCATTGCTTACCGAAACCATGGCCTGTGAGATGAATGACAACTGGCCAATTTCAGCCAATGGGTTAAATCACAAACCCTGTTTTTTATATTCCCATGTTGAGTTCACACAACACGTTTAACCAGGGCAGTTCACAACTGAGGGGTTGCACTAGCATGCCATGTAAAGCTCGGTTACTTGTCAGCAGCAGTTAGAGTGCAGTACTGCAGGCCACTTTAGCTGACTGTGTTCAGCAGGTCAGCGGTTCAAATCTCACCGGCTCAAGGTTGACTCAGCCTTCCATCCTTCCGGGGTAGGTAAAATGAGGACCCAGACTGTTGGGGGCAATGTAATATCTATCTATCTATCTATCTATCTATCTATCTATCTATCTATCTATCTATCTATCTATCTATCTATCTATATACACATTGCTTACTGGTGTACACCGCTTAGAGAGTGCTTGCACTTAAAGTGGTATATAAGTCTCATAAATAAATAAATCTGAGCGGCATCTAACTCCGATGACAAGTAACCAAGTAATGGAATGGAATGGATGGAAACTAATCAAGGAGAGAAGCAACCTGGAACTAAGGAGAAACTTCCTAACAGTGAGGACAATTAACCCGTGGAACAGCTGGCCTCCAGAAGTCGTAGGGGCCCCATCGCTGGAGGCTTTTAAGGAGAGACTGGACAGCCATTTCTCTGGAATGGTGTAGGTTCTCCTGCTTGAACAGGGGGTTGGACTAGAAGACCACCGAGGTCCCTTCCAGCTCTGTTCTGGTTGATTGGCTATACAGTATCCCATAGATACTTTGCAGGTTGGGGTATATATATACAGTATAATCATATGACAAACGGTGGAGGGAGCTAACTATATCTAGCCAATGGAAGAGAAGGATTGGGGGGGTATGATAGCAGTCTTCCAGTACTTAAGAGGCTGTCACAAAGAAGAGGGGATTGATTTAATCTCCAAAGCACCAGAGGACAGGACAAGAAGTAATAGGTGGAAGCTAGTCAAAGACAAATCCATCCTAGAAGTAAGGAGAAACTTCCTAACAGTGGGAACTATTAACTAGTGCAGGGGTAGGCAACCCAAAACACTCAAAGAGCCACTTGGACCCGTTTCCCACCAAAAACAAAACACTGGGAGCCACAAAACCCTTTTGATGTCTAAAATGAAGATAACACCATATATATCCTTTTTTAACCTTTATTATAGGTGTGTGTGTGTGTGTGTGTGTGTGTGTGTGTATACATATATACATACAAACATACATACATACATACATACATACATACACATACACACATTAAAAATAAAAGTAAAAATATGACTCTTGGGAATATCCATACTATTAAAACAGTGATCACCAAGAGAATGCTTTAAGAGAATAAAATTACATACACACACAGGTAAAAAAAGGATATATGCAGTGTTATCTTCATTTTAGATGTCAAAAGGGTCTCTCTCTGTCTCTCTCTCTCTCCCTCCCTCCCTCTCTGTCTGCCCTTGGTCTGCCACTCCTCTTCCCCCACTCTCTTTCTTTCTCTCTTTCCTCTCTCTCTCTTTCCCCCCCCCTCTCTCTCTCTCTCTCTCTCTCTCTCTCTCTCTCTCTCTCTCTCTCTTTCTCCCCCCCCCTCCTATCTGCTGCTCACCTGGCAAGCTTCAAGCTCTTGTTCAACAAGCTCAGGGGTGGGCAACCTCGTCTCTTTTATGACTCATGTACTTCAACTCCCAGAATTCCTGAGTCAGCCTAGCTGGGCTAGCTAGCTCTCTCCTGCCCTTCCTGCTTCCTGCAGAGACGCAGCAAAGGGAGGAGCTCCGTCCAGAAAGCTTTTCAGCTCCTCGGAGAACACCGTGAGTGCACTCTCTTGTGTATATATACACACACACACACACACACACACAGAGAGAGAGAGAGAGAGAGAGAGAGAGAGAGAGAGAGAGAGAGAGAAAAGCAGGGAAGCGCAATTGCCTCTCTCTGTCTCTGTCTCTCTCTGCAAAGGCAGAGGAGGCTGGGAGCCACAGGGGAAGGCTCAAAGAGCCGCATGTGGCTCCGGAGCCGCAGGTTGCCGACCTGTGGGTTAGGTCAACATGAATTCATGGAGCAAAATGGACTTTGCCAACAAATTCGGAGTGCTTGGGTATGGTTAGGAGGGCACTGACTTTTCTAGCGTACCCTATCTATGTTTCCTGGGAAAATACATGGGAAAATCCCATTGGAGGAAAATTCCACTTAGGGTTAGGGTTAGGTCACTATGAATTCATAGAGTAAAATGGACATTGCCAACAAATTTGGAGTGCTTGGGTATGGTTAGGAGGGCACTGACTTTTCTAGGCTGCCCTATCTATGTTTCCTGGGAAAATACATGGGAAAATCCCATTGGAGGAAAATTCCACTTAGGGTTAGGGTTAGGTCAACATGAATTCATAGAGTAAAATGGATATTGCCAACAAATTCGGGATGCTTGGGTATGGTTAGGAGGGCACTGACTTTTCTAGGCTGCCCTATCTATGTTTCCTGGGAAAATACATGGGAAAATCCCATTGGAGGAAAATTCCACTTAAGGTTAGGGTTAGGTCACCATGAATTCATAGAGTAAAATGGACATTGCCAACAAATTCGGAGTGCTTGGGTATGGTTAGGAGGGCACTGACTTTTCTAGGCTGCCTTATCTATGTTTCCTGGGAAAATACATGGGAAAATCCCATTGGAGGAAAATTCCACTTAGGGTTAGGGTTAGGTCATCATGGACTCATAGAGCAAAATGGACATCTCCAACAAATTTGGAGTGTTTGGGTATGGTTAGGAGGGCACTGACTTTTCTAGCATACCCTATCTATGTTTCCTGGGAAAATATATGGGAAAATCCCATTGGAGGAAAATTCCACTTAGGGTTAGGGTTAGGTCAACATGAATTCATAGAGTAAAATGGACATTGCCAACAAATTCGGAGTGCTTGGGTATGGTTAGGAGGGCACTGACTTTTCTAGGCTGCCCTATCTATGTTTCCTGGGAAAATACATGGGAAAGTCCCATTGGAGAAAAATTCCACTTAGGGTTAGGGTTAGATCACCATGAATTCATAGAGTAAAATGGACATCGCCAACAAATTCGGAGTGCTTGGGTATGGTTAGGAGGGCACTGACTTTTCTAGGCTGCCCTATCTATGTTTCCTGGGAAAATACATGGGGAAATCCCATTGGAGGAAAATTCCACTTTGGGTTAGGGTTAGGTCAGCATGGACTCATAGAGCAAAATGGACATCTCCAACAAATTCGGAGTGTTTGGGTATGATTAGGAGGGCACTGACTTTTCTAGGCTGCCCTGTCTATGTTTCCTGGGAAAATACATGGGGAAATCCCATTGGAGGAAAATTCCACTTAGGGTTAGGGTTAGGTCAGCATGGACTCATAGAGCAAAATGGACATCTCCAACAAATTCGGAGTGTTTGGGTATGATTAGGAGGGCACTGACTTTTCTAGGCTGCCCTGTCTATGTTTCCTGGGAAAATACATGGGGAAATCCCATTGGAGGAAAATTCCACTTAGGGTTAGGGTTAGGTCAACATGAATTCATGGAGCAAAATGGACATTTCCAACAAATTCGGGGTGCTTGGGTATGGTTAGGAGGGCACTGACCTTTCTAGCGTACCCTATCTATGTTTCCTGGGAAAATACATGGGAAAATCCCATTGGAGGAAAATTCCACTTAGGGTTAGGGTTAGGTCACCATGGACTCATAGAGTAAAATGGACATTGCCAACAAATTCGGAGTGCTTGGGTATGGTTAGGAGGGCACTGACTTTTCTAGCATACCCTATCTATGTTTCCTGGGAAAATACATGGGAAAATCCCATTGGAGGAAAATTCCACTTAGGGTTAGGGTTAGGTCAACATGAATTCATGGAGCAAAATGGACATTGCCAACAAATTCGGGATGCTTGAGTATGGTTAGGCGGGCACTGACCTTTCTAGCGTACCCTATCTATGTTTCCTGGGAAAATACATGGGAAAATCCCATTGGAGGAAAATTCCACTTAGGGTTAGGGTTAGGTCACCATGGACTCATAGAGTAAAATGGACATTGCCAACAAATTCGGAGTGCTTGGGTATGGTTAGGAGGGCACTGACTTTTCTAGCATACCCTATCTATGTTTCCTGGGAAAATACATGGGAAAATCCCATTGGAGGAAAATTCCACTTAGGGTTAGGGTTAGGTCAGCATGGACTCATAGAGTAAAATGGACATTGCCAACAAATTCGGAGTGCTTGGGTATGGTTAGGAGGGCACTGACTTTTCTAGGCTGCCCTATCTATGTTTCCTGGGAAAATACATGGGAAAATCCCATTGGAGGAAAATTCCACTTAGGATTAGGGTTAGGTCACCATGAATTCATAGAGTAAAATGGACATTGCCAACAAATTCGGGGTGCTTGGGTATGGTTAGGAGGGCACTGACCTTTCTAGCGTACCCTATCTATGTTTCCTGGGAAAATACATGGGAAAATCCCATTGGAGGAAAATTCCACTTAGAGTTAGGGTTAGGTCACCGTGAATTCATAGAGCAAAATGGACATTGCCAACAAATTCGGAGTGCTTGGGTATGGTTAGGAGGGCACTGACCTTTCTAGCGTACCCTATCTATGTTTCCTGGGAAAATACATGGGAAAATCCTATTGGAGGAAAATTCCACTTAGGGTTAGGGTTAGGTCACCGTGAATTCATAGAGTAAAATGGACATTGCCAACAAATTCGGAGTGCTTGGGTATGGTTAGGAGGGCACTGACCTTTCTAGGCTGCCCTATCTATGTTTCCTGGGAAAATACATGGGAAAATCCCATTGGAGGAAAATTCCACTTAGGGTTAGGGTTAGGTCAACATGAATTCATAGAGTAAAATGGACATTGCCAACAAATTCGGAGTGCTTGGGTATGGTTAGGAGGGCACTGACTTTTCTAGCGTACCCTATCTATGTTTCCTGGGAAAATGCATGGGAAAATCCCATTGGAGGAAAATTCCACTTAGGGTTAGGGTTAGGTCAACATGAATTCATGGAGCAAAATGGACATTGCCAACAAATTCGGGGTGCTTGGGTATGGTTAGGAGGGCACTGACCTTTCTAGCATACCCTATCTATGTTTCCTGGGAAAATACATGGGAAAATCCCATTGGAGGAAAATTCCACTTAGGGTTAGGGTTAGGTCACCATGAACTCATAGAGTAAAATGGACATTGCCAACAAATTCGGAGTGCTTGGGTATGGTTAGGAGGGCACTGACTTTTCTAGGCTGCCCTATCTATGTTTCCTGGGAAAATACATGGGAAAATCCCATTGGAGGAAAATTCCACTTAGGATTAGGGTTAGGTCACCATGAATTCATAGAGTAAAATGGACATTGCCAACAAATTCGGGGTGCTTGGGTATGGTTAGGAGGGCACTGACCTTTCTAGCGTACCCTATCTATGTTTCCTGGGAAAATACATGGGAAAATCCCATTGGAGGAAAATTCCACTTAGAGTTAGGGTTAGGTCACCGTGAATTCATAGAGCAAAATGGACATTGCCAACAAATTCGGAGTGCTTGGGTATGGTTAGGAGGGCACTGACCTTTCTAGCGTACCCTATCTATGTTTCCTGGGAAAATACATGGGAAAATCCTATTGGAGGAAAATTCCACTTAGGGTTAGGGTTAGGTCACCGTGAATTCATAGAGTAAAATGGACATTGCCAACAAATTCGGAGTGCTTGGGTATGGTTAGGAGGGCACTGACTTTCTAGGCTGCCCTATCTATGTTTCCTGGGAAAATACATGGGAAAATCCCATTGGAGGAAAATTCCACTTAGGGTTAGGGTTAGGTCAACATGAATTCATGGAGCAAAATGGACATTGCCAACAAATTCGGGGTGCTTGGGTATGGTTAGGAGGGCACTGACTTTTCTAGGCTGCCCTATCTATGTTTCCTGGGAAAATACATGGGAAAATCCCATTGGAGGAAAATTCCACTTAGGGTTAGGTCACCATGAATTCATAGAGTAAAATGGACATTGCCAACAAATTCGGAGTGCTTGGGTATGGTTAGGGCACTGACTTTTCTAGGCTGCCCTATCTATGTTTCCACATGAAAATCCCATTGGAGGAAAATTCCACTTAGGGTTAGGGTTAGTCACCATGAACTCCCAAAATGGACATCGCCAACAAACTCGGAGTGCTTGGGTATGGTTAGGAGGGCACTGACCTAGGGCCCTATCTATGTTTCCTGGGAAATACATGGGAAAATCCCATTGGAGGAAAATTCCACTTAGGGTTAGGTCACCATGAATTCATAGAGTAAAATGGACATTGCCAACAAATTCGGTGTGCTTGGGTATGGTTAGGAGGGCACTGACTTTTCTAGGCTGCCCTATCTATGTTTCCTGGGAAAATACATGGGAAAATCCCATTGGAGGAAAATTCCACTTAGGGTTAGGGTTAGGTCAGGGGTAGGCAACCCAAAACACTCAGAGAGCCACTTGGACCCGTTTCCAACCATAAACAAAACACTGGGAGCTGCAAAACCCTTTTGATATCTAAAATGAAGATAACACTGTATATATCCTTTTTTTACCTTTATTATAGGTGTGTGTGTGTGTGTGTGTGTGTGTGTGTGTGTGTGTATATACATATATACATACATACATACATACATACATACATACATACATACACATATACACATTAAAAATAAAAGTAAAAATATGACTCTTGGGAATATACATACTATTAAAACAGTGATCACCAAGAGAATGCTTTAAGAGAATAAAATTACATACACAGACAGGTAAAAAAAGGATATATGCAGTGTTATCTTCATTTTAGATGTCAAAAGGGTCTCTCTCTGTCTCTCTCCCTTCCTCCCTCTCTATCTGCCCTTGGTCTGCCACTCCTCTTCCCCCACTCTCTTTCTCTCTCTCTTTCCTCTCTCTTTCCCCCTCCCTCTCTCTCTCTCTCTCTTTCTCTCTCTCTCTCTCTTTCTCCCCCCCCTCTCCTATCTGCTGCTCACCTGGCAAGCTGCAAGCTCTTGTCCAACAAGCTCAGGGGTGGGCAACCTCGTCTCTTTTATGACTCATGGACTTCAACTCCCAGAATTCCTGAGTCAGCCTAGCTGGGCTAGCTAGCTCTCTCCTGCCCTTCCTGCTTCCTGCAGAGACGCAGCAAAGGGAGGAGCTCCGCCCAGTAAGTTTTTCAGCTCCTCGGAGAACACTGTGAGTGCACTCTCTTTTACACATACAGACACACACACACACACACACACAGAGAGAGAGAGAGAGAGAGAGAGAGAGAGAGAGAGAGAGAGAGAGAAGCAGGGAAGTGCAATTGCCTCTCTCTGTGTCTGTCTCTCTCTGCAAAGGCAGAGGAGGCTGGGAGCCACAGGGGGAGGCTCAAAGAGCCGCATGTGGCTCCGGAGCCGCAGGTTGCTGACCTGTGAACTAGTGGAACAGCTTGCCTCCAGAAGTTGTGGCTGCTCTATCACTGGAAGTTTTTAAGAAGAGACTGGACAATCAATTGTCCCAAATAGTATAGGGTCTCCTGCGTGAGCCGAGGGTTGGACTAGAAGACCTCCAAGGTCCCTTCCAACTCTATTCTGATTGATTGATTGGCATGTCGTGTTGGGTGAGCCCAGTTTAATAGTCCTAGGTGGACCCAGGATGTAAGTTAATTCAGGAATTTGGGTAGGTGAGATGGGTGAAGGCAGCCAATACCTGACCCAAACCACGGATGCCTTGAGTTAGCATGGTGGGAAAGGGCTGGGATCTCGTTCTAACTGTCCCCTTCCTCTCTTTGCAGGTTGGAGTACTGCGATGAGGTAGTGCGGGACCCCGGGCAGGCGCTCACTGTGGACATCCATCAGCTTCCACCCTTTGTGCAAAAGATTCTTCAGCTGAGCAACGTCTTGCTTTACTATGAGGAATTTGGTGAGGGCAGTGCCCGGGGCCCGAAGGTATGGCCTTGTGGGAGATTCCCCTCCTGTCTTGGGGGGTGTGTGTGTGTGTGTGTGTGTGTGTGTGTGTGTGTGTGTGTGAGAACTGTCCCACTCAGTCATCTAGCAAAGAAAGCTTCCTGGCTGTTTGCTTTTGCCAAGAGTATACTTTACGGAAGCTTAAATGGTTACAGTAGTGCAGTGGTTCTCAACCTTTTTAATGCCGCGACCCCCAACCGGTCGTAAGTCGAGGACTACTCAACCGGTCGTAAGTCGAGGACTACTCAACTGGTGCAGCACCGTTTGCAGACTGGGACTTTTGGCGGGCTCAGCAGGGCAGAGACAGCCTGGACAATTCCTATTGGCTTTGGAAAGCCAATAGAATTAGACTCTATTCAAGAGAGTCTATTCCATTGGCTTTCAAAAGCCAATAGAATAAAAGGGAGGAGCACAGCTAAGGAAAAGGGGGAAAAAATGGCGGACTGCGTTGTTTGGCGACCCTCGTGAAATGGTCGTTCGACCCCAAATGGGGTCCCGACGCACAGGTGGAGAACCGCTGGTCTAGCCAATCGGTTACACTCGTGTTGTTTGGGGAATGCTCTCTCTGCCTCGGACTTTCTCAGTTGATGACCTTGAGGTGCTGGATCTTGTCCCAGGCTTCAAGCTGGCACACTTGCATTCCTTTACCCTTCCCGATACCTCCCCTGGCATTCCAATGCCTTCCCTCCCTCTTCCCGTTGCTGATGTCTGGTTGCGAGCAGGGTGTGCGCAGCGAGGCCACCATGACAACACTCCAATCGTTCTGTCTCCCTCCTCCATGCTAATGCCAGGCTGTCACCTCCTGAAGCTTGGATAGGAGAGAGGCAGCCATGACAGTGGGGGGGGGGAGTCTACGACAATTCGCCAAGGCCAACTGGCCACAGCCATCTTGCTGCAGGACAACTCGTTGCTGGACAAACGTGACACTCATAACGAAGAAATGGTGGAATAGAATCGTTATAGAAAGGGATGCAAAAGGAGGGACAGGATGAAATGTGATCGACAAACATGAAAATAATGTTTTATTTATTTTAAATAACTTAAATAGAATTGTTGAAAATTGTTCCTCAAGGACAGTGGTTCTCGACCTTTTTAATGCCACGACCCCCCAACCGGTCGTAAGTTGAGGACTACTCAACGGGTCGTAAGTCGAGGACTGGTGCAGCACCGTTTGCAGAATGGGACTTTTGGCGGGCTCAGCAGGGCAGAGACAGCCTGGACAATTCCTATTGGCTTTTGAAAGCCAATAGAATTAGACTCTATTCAAGAGAGTCTATTCTATTGTCTTTCAAAAGCCAATAGAATAAAAAGGAGTAGCACAGCTAAGGAAAAGGGAAAAAAAATGGCGGACTGCATTGTTTGGCGACCCCCGTGAAATGGTCGTTCGACCCCAAATGGGGTCCCGACCCACAGGTTGAGAACCACTGCTCAAGGAGTTGTCCCGCTGCAAGTTGGCCATGGCTGTGGCGAGTTGGCTGTGCAAGATGTCCCCTTGCCGACAGTCGTAGCCTTGGGCTCCGCTGGACCTCTTGGTTGGGTGGCAGCTGCTGTGCTGCAAGTCCTCTGCATTGTTTTTAGGGAAGTTTGGATTTTCTTTTTTCCCCAGGAGACTGAGCCATGCGATTCCGGTGGGGAAGAAGCCAGACCCAGCCCCCTGACTCAGATCGGAAGCTGCTCTGGACACACCGAGATGAGGATTAAGCTCAAGCAGAACGAGGCCTTCCCTGGAGCCAAGGTCATTTGGGGCAATGCTGGCTTGTTGAACGCACGCAGGAAACTTGGGGGAAGCGAAAAACGCGCGTGTTTGTGAACGAGAAGTACTTGAATGATTTCGAAGTTCTCCCTCCTTGATTTTAACAGCCTCGCGAGGCGGGCTAAACTGAGCTAGTGAAAGAGAGATGAGCTTAAGCATACAGGTAGTCCTCGACGTACGACCGTAATTGAGCCCAAAACTTCTGTCAGTAAGCGAGACATTTGTTTTGTCCCCTTTTATGACCTTCCTTGCCACAATTTTTTTTTTAAAATAAAGTTTTTATTGGGTACAAAGAAAAAAAAAGAATTAAAAACATTGAACGTGGTGAATCGTCTTTGACTGACATCTCAGTCCATATTGTACGTTAATTACGTATAACATATCTACATACAACTGTACATTTCTGGTCTGCATCTTAACTTATCTCTTTACTGTGACCTCCATTTTTTCCCCCCTCCATCTATAAAATTTATTCCATATTCGATAAAATTCTGTTTCTTCCTGATTTTTTCATCTTTTAGTTATCCTGTCTAGTTCTGCGCAATACATAATTTTCTTTATTAGTGCTTCTCCACTCGGTACTTCCATTGCTTTCCGCTTTTGAGCAAATAGTATCCTTGCAGCCATAACCACGTGAATAATTAGATATGTGTCATCTTTATTAACATTTTTCTCTAGTATTCCTAATAGTAATGTCTCAGGTTTGTGTTGAATCTTTTGCCTAGTCATTTCTATTGCCCATTCCCAGACCATACACCAGTACATCCTGTGCTTCTCTACATGTCCACCATACATGAAAAAAGTGCCCTTTTCTTTTTTTGCCACAATCGTTAAGTGAATCACTGCAGTTGTGAAGTTAGCAACATGGTATTTCATTTGCCTCTGGCTTCCCCATTGACTTTACTTGTCAGAAGATCGCAAATCACATGACCCCGGCCGGGACACTGGAACCGTCATAAATATGAATCGGTTGCCAAAACTTCTGAATGTTGGTCATGGGATCATAGGAATGCTGCAACGGTTGTAAGTGTGAAAAACGGTTCTAAGTCACTTTTTTCAGGGCCATTGTATGTTCAAATGGTTACGAAACAAACTGTTGTAAGTTAAGGACTACCTGTAATGTAGGAGAAGGACAGGCAAAGCCAAGGGGCAGAGTCAAGAGAGGAATCAGCCCAGAGTTGTTAATTGCTACAAGCCGTCCAACCCTCTTGAATTCTCTTAACCCTTATTTAGCACCAAAATATCACTTGACAGTTAGTTCAGTAGATTCCTATGCATAGACATGAGCAATAAATCAGTTTAACGGAACGTAAGGTGTGTCCCTGATCTTTCCTAACAGACAGAAACAGAGAGAGATCCCTGTGTGAGTGTGGCCTTGATTCCTTGTATAAGTGGAACTGGCTATTATTAGGTTAGGCACCTTGAAATCATATATCGTATATTTTAGACTGGTTCCTTGCAACAAGCCATCATTTGCTTAAACCTGGGTTGTTGATTAAACAGTAGCTCACACAAACAAGCCACCACTAAGGGCAAGGATGGTTCAGAGCAATTTGGAGTTGTCTTTAGGGAAAACATGAAAGATCTATGAAAGAGGAAGTGATTCCCCCCAGTCCAAAAATTTAAGGAAACTAACACCACATTGAAGCTGTTCAGTATAAGAAGGAGGGAAGGAAACTTTCTAGGTAAGCCAGGTCAACAAAGAGATATAGGAATGCTTTTTTTTGTCTGAAATGTTGTCTCAAGTGGTAGAGGATCTCCTGCTTAAGCAACTATTATTATTATTGTTCTGTTTTATGTTTTTTAATCGCGAAAGCATGCAAATCTGTTGATTTTTTTCTCCTGAATGCGTGCTCGGTTTAGCGTCCTGGTCTAGATGGGTCTTCTTTATGGGAATTAGGGGTTAGGGTCCAGGGAGAGAGGGAAACACCTGGATTTTGCCCTTCCCTGAAATGGGCAGAACTTCTTCGTTGACGTGGGACGTGGTTCTTTCCACCTGCAGCTGGAGTTAGATGGGAAGATTGGATCTCTGCACCTGCTGCTGGCTCCTCAACAGATCGTGCACCTGGCGGACCTTCTCTCATCCCTGAACCTGTCTGGTGAGGGGTGGGGGTCCAGCGGGAGGGCTGGAGAAGTGATGATCCAGATCAGCGGTCCCCAGCCTTTGCAGCTTAGCGACCCAGCTGGGGTTAGGGAGAGGGGAACCGGACCGTGCAAATGGTGGATGGGCACACGCATTCGTGCACGCAGCTCGACTTGTGCAAGTTGAGCGCGCAGGTGTGCATATATGCCCGCCCACCTCAACTTGAAGATGCGTGGACTTCAACTCCCAGAATTCCCCAGCCAGCACGCCAAGGTTGAGCAGCACTGCCCTAGGCCAGTGGTTCTCAACCTTTTTAATACCACGGCCCCCCAACCGGTTGTAAGTCGAGGACTACCCAACCGGTCGTAAGTCGAGGACTTTCCCTGCCCGGGAGCGCCGCACATGCGTGGTGCCGCCCCCTGCGCTGGCCGAGGCGTAGCTGGCAAGCGGCAGAGACGGCGCAGGCTGACCACCGGCTGGGCCACCAGCTGGCCCAGCCCAAGGGAGGTAAGGCACCCGCCGGGCCCCACGTGCGCCAGTAGTTGCTCAGCAGGGAGGGGTGGAAGCTTCCAGACAGCTCGACTTCGCTGCAGACAACTTGCAGCACCGTTTGCAGAATGAGACTTTTGGCGGGCTCAGCAGGGCAGAGACAGCCTGGACAATTCCTATTGGCTTTTGAAAGCCAAAGACTCTATTCAAGAGAGTCTATTCTATTGGCTTTCAAAAGCCAATAGAATAAAAGGGAGTAGCACAGCTAAGGAAAAGGGGGGAAAAATGGCGGACTGCGTTGTTTGGCGACCCCCATGAAATGGTCGTTCGACCCCAAATGGGGTCCCGACCAACAGGTTGAGAACCGTTGCCCTAGGCCCTTTTCCATGGAAAAAAGTAACTCTTGGGTGGTTCATCCTGCACACACACAACTCACGAAATCGCCCAAAGAGGCAGTGTATACATTTGCCCTTAGTTTGCTGGTGAATCCAATATCTTTGGTTAACTTGGGACTCCAGGGGTTGTGTGAATCTGGAAAAAGTGAGAATTGTGCTTCTGGGGACTGAACGGGACACCTTGCAGGCTGGGTAAGAGCCAGTTTGGTCTAGTAGCAAAAGTGCCAGGCTGGAAACCAGGAGACGGTGAGTTCTAGCGCCGCCTTAGCCATGAAAGCCAGCTAGATGGCTGTGGGCCAATCACCAGGACACTTGCGAGTTCTAGTGCTGCCTTAGGCCTGAAAGACAGGTGGGAGGCTTTGGGCCAGTTGCTCTTTGTCAGCCCAGCCCACCTCACAGGGTTGTTGCTGTGGGGAGAACAGGAGGAGGAAAGTCTGATGCATCTGTCTGATGGAAAGTCTGAGGGATCTGCCCTGAGTTATTTGTAAAAAAAAAAAAAAAGGCGGGATATAAATAAAAAAAAAACAAAATTAAACGTAGAGTTTTGTGGTCTCGTCCAGCTTCTTTTCTGTCTCTGCAAATACCAAATTACTGATTGTGTGATTTTTTTTTTTTCCCCCTCTTTGGTTTTCCGTAAGCTGCTTAAGACCTGGCTTTTCTGGCAGGCCTGGGGTTTATAAAATCTGACCCCTGGATGACTGTCATTGTATATTGTTGGTTTTGTCATGTTATATGGTGCTTTTTATTGTTAGCCACCCAGAGTCCTGCGGGAATGGGGCGGCTTATAAATTTTAAAAATAAATTTATTTATTTATGAGACTTATATACCGCTTTAAGTGCAAGCACTCTCTAAGCAGTGTACACCAGTAAGCAATGTGTGTATATATATATATATATATATATTTACATTGCCCCCAACAATCTGGGTCCTCATTTTACCTACCCCAGAAGGATGGAAGGCTAAGTCAACCCTGAGCCGGTGAGATTTGAACCGCTGACCTGCTGAACATAGTCAGCTAAAGTGGCCTGCAGTACTGCACTCTAACTGCTGCGCCACCTCGGCTCTTTAAACAAATAAATAAACTTGCCTAACCTTTTCTTCTCCCCTCTTCCCCTGACAAAGAATCCGGCATTCTGCAGGAACAGATGAGCAAAAACCGCCCTCTGGATGCGGAAGATCTGAAGCTGATTGAGCAAGACCTCAGCCAGCAGCTGCATTCAGGGTTGGCATCGGCGCCTGCACATCTGGAGGGAATGGCTGCTGGAGTGGAGAACGGAGGTGATTCTTAGCAAGAGAGCCCTTGAAGGAGACCCATTGCTCCTTTCCTCTCCAGAAGAACGACAGAGTCAATAGATCTCTTTGATGCAGCTGTCATTTCTTGGGTCTCCCTCTGCTGCTAGACTTTTTTTATGGGTTTTTATTATATGGTAGATTAGTCTAGACCAGTGTTTCTCAACCTTGACCATTTTAAGGCATGTGGACTTCAACTCCCAGAATTCCACTGTGGAATTCTGGGAGTTGAAGTCCACATGCCTTAAAATGTGATTTACATTTCGATGCTTGGCAACTGATTCATATTTATGAGGGTCACATTGTTCCAGGGTCACGTGATCGCCTTTTGCAAAAAGCCCTGGTCTTAGGTGACCCCTGTGAAACGGTTGTTCGACTCCCAAAGGGGTCGCGACCCACAGGTTGAGGACCACTGTCCTAGAGCACCAAGCATCTCCCCCCCACCCCCCCACTAGTAAATGTTAAACTTTCCACCCATTTTCCCTCTCTCTTCTCAGAGATGTTCTTCTCCATGGCACCCATGACGAGCAGTGTAACGTCTCTGCGCTCAGTCAGCGACCTCTCGGATCTGGATTCGTCGGTCCACAGTGACATTAGCACCACTCCCTTGCAGCCCCCAACTTTTGTCCCAGGGGTGAGTGCCTTGTTTGACTCTTTTCTTCCCTGTGGCCATCCTGAATTTCTCTCCATTGTTCCTAACTGCTTTGTGAGTCTCAGTGATGCTTTCTTTAGGCACATCTGTGGGGACCAGAATTTGCAGGCCGAGAATGAAGACACTCAAAGCAAGCCCTTTTTCCCAGTTTACTACTATAGTACAATGAAAGAGTTCTATACCAGAATAGTAATTAACACTCCTAGAAGTGGAATAAATAACCCTGGAAAGGCTGCAGAGAAGAGCCATAAAGATGAATAGGGGACGGGAGGCTAAAACATATGAAGGTTGCAGGAATTGGGTATGTCTGGTTGAATGAAAAGAAGGAGTGACATGTTATCAGTGTTTCAATATTTGAGGGGCTGCCATAAAGAAGAGGGGGGGTCAGCTTATTCTCCAGAGCACCTGAGGGCAAGGCAAGAAGCAATAGTTGAAAACTAATCAAGGAGAGAAGCAACCAAGAACTAAGGAGAAACTTCCTGACAGTGAGAACAATTAACCAGTGGAACAACCTGCCTCCAGAAGCTGTGAATGCTCCAACACTGGAAGTTTTCAAGAAGAAACTGGACAGCCACTTGTCCAAAATGGTATAGGGTTTCCTGCCTGAGCAGCGGGTTGGACTAGATGACCTCCAAGGTCCCTTCTAACTCTACTCTATGCTCGAAGTCCTGGAAGTGATCTTTCCTCCATTTATTTATTGGATTTATATGCCACCGATCTCACTTATCAAGTGCCTCTGGGACTCTTACACAGTGTCACAAATGACAATATGGACCCTTAGAAAATTAAAAACATTAAAACAGACTTTCAGATCAAAAGCTTAACACTTACCGCATGAAAATGAACATTTTAAAAAACACATTCATATGAATCTTCCTTCACAGCTGATGCTAGGAAGCCCCCGGCGTTATAGACGACTGCCTTTTGCCTCAACCTTGCCAGGTCTCAATACGGTACCAGGTCAGTTGGTTTTCCTGCAGTTTTACAGGGAGGTTGGGAAAAGATGGGGAGAACGTAGAGGGGTCGGGCGATGATTCTTCGTTGTTTCCTTCTTGCAACCAGTCTGAGCACCTGAACGCTGCATGAAATACAGTTAAATATCCTTTCCTTTTTTAAAAAGATGACATAGGGAGTCCTCAATTTCTATCTAGAGTTGAGCCTAAAATTTGCATTCCTAAGCAAGACAGCTATTAAATGAGTTTTGCCCCACTTTACGGCCTGTCTTGTCACAGTTGTTAAGTGAATCGTTGCAGTTGTTAAGCGAGTAACACAGCTGTTAAGTGATTCAGGCTTCCCCATTGACTTTACTTGTCAGAAGGTCGCAAAAGGGGATGATCACTTGACCCCCGGGATACTGCGACCGTCATAAGTCTGAGTCAGTTGCCAAGCGTCTGAATTTTGATCGCGTGACCGTAGGGAATGCCGCAACGGTCGTAAGTGTGAAAACGTCCATAAGTCATTTCTTTCAGGGCCATTTTAATTTCAAACGGTCACTAAACGAACGTTGTAAGTCAAGGACTACGTGTACTATAGATTAAAGCAGGGCTTTTCAACCTTTCCACAGATTGTACCACTTTTAGGATATGGCAATATTCGAGTACCACCCGTAGCCTAGCAAGGTGTCAAAAACTTGATGACCCCCCCAAAAAAGGAAAAAAGTGATAAAATACAAGTAGTCCTCGACTTACAACAGTTTGCTTAGTGACTGTTCAAAGTTACAACGGCACTGAAAAAAGTGACATGACCATTTTTCACACTTATAACGGTTGCAGCATCCCCAGGGTCAATCTACATTTGGATGCTTGGCAACTGATCCGTATTTATGATGGTCACAGTGTCCCAGGATCATGTGATCCCCTTCTGACAAACAAAGTCGGCGGAGAAACAAGATTCACTCCTCCTTTTATATCATCTCTTTTCTCATCCCTCTTTTATATCCTCTCTTTTCTCCCCCCTTCTTTTATATCCTCTCTTCTCTCCCCTTTTTTATATCCTCTCTTCTCTCCCCCCATCTTATATCTTCCCCCTTCTTTTATCTCCTCTCTTCTCTCCCCTTCTTTTCTCCTCTTCTTTCCTCCCTCTTTTATATCCTTTCTCTCCCCTTCTTCTTTTATCTCCTCTCTTCTCTCCCCTTCTTTTATCTCCTCTCTTCTTTCCTCCCTCTTTTATATCCTTTCTCTCCCCTTCTTCTTTTATATCCTCTCTTCTCTTCCCTTCTTTTATCTCCTCTTCTCTCCTCCCTTTTATATCCTCTTTCCCCGTTCTTTTATATCTTTTCTCTCCCCTGCTTCTTTTATATCCTCTTCTTCCCCCTTCTTATATCCTCTTCTCCCCCCTTCTTTTATAGTCTCTCCTCTCTTCCCCCCTTTTCTCCTCCATGCACCTCCAGTTGATTCTCAGTCTCTTGTTTGCAGTTTCCTTCTCTTTCTCCTCCCCGTGGTCTTTTTTTTCTCTCCCTCTCCTGCCAAAACCTCCTTTTATAGCCTCTCCTCTCCCCCCCTCCTTTTCGTGGCAAGTGCCGATCCTCAGCTTCTGTCTCACCCCTGCAGAAATGCGCTGATCCTGGGCTTCTGCCCAGCCCCCCTAGCCCTGCCGCTGATCAGCTGTAGCTGCTTGCTGAGATCCTGGGCTTTGCTCAATCCCCATAGCCCCGGAGAAGCACTGATCAGCTGTAGCTGCTTGCAGCGAGGGCTTGGCTCAGTCGCAACAGCCCTCCCTCGAACTGGGGCATTTCCAGCCAAGTTCACCTCCAGCTCTCAGAAGCGCTGATCAACTGGAGCCCAGCACTCATCCTGGCACCCCTGCAGCTCCAGCTGTCTCCCTCAGGCTTGTGCGATGCTCAGCTCAATCCTCTCCCCTTCCGCTACCATTTCTAGGATGGTCGCATATCACCTGCCAGGTGCCAAAATACCTCTGGTGGTACGCGTACCCCCAGTTGAAAAGCCCTGGATTAAAGAGTTTTTCAACCTCAGCATCTTTAAGAGACGTGGACTTCAGCTCCCAGACTCCCCCATTGGATCATGGAATCCCAGCTCAGCGTTTCTCAGTCCCCACAGGTGTGGGCTTCAAGTCTCAGCATTCCAATTCTCGTTTCCCTTCTTTCCTTCCAGGCAAGGCAGGCCCCCTGCCGCCCCTCTCCTTGGACAGCCAGCGTCCCGAGATGCTGCTGCGGGTGACCGTCGGGGGGCTGACCTTGACCCTGCTCCATCAGCCACCTGGACTTTTCCCATCGGATGTCCTCTCGCTCGGATTAGCTCAGCGTTTCTTCTCCCAGCTGGGGGGTCTGAAGGACACCGCCTTCGGGGGCCGGGATTTCCATCCCCTGCGCCACTGCTTTGAGGAGGCCATGCCACGCAGCCATGTCAGGTGAGTCCAGGCCAGGGTTTCCCATTCTTAAGAGACTTTAAGATGGGTGGAGTTGAACGCCCAGAATTCCCCAGCCAGCCAGCCACCGTTTCCCACTCTTAGCCACTTTAAAAGCTGTGGACTTCAACTCCCAGAATTCCCCATTCAACCAGTGTTTCCTGCTCTTAGCAACTTTACGATAGGTGGACTTAATTCCCAGATTTTGCCAGTCAGGGTTTCCCAATCTTAGCCACTTTAAAATAGGTGGACTTCAACTCCCAGAATTCCCCAGCCAGCCAGTGTTTCCTAAGCAACTTTTAAGTTGGGTAGACTTCCAATTCCCAGAAATCCCCACCCACTCAGTATTTCCCATCCTTAGCAACTTTAAGAAACACTGGTTGATGGGGAAATCTGGGAGTCGAAGTCCACGTATTTTAGAATGGCTAAGAGTGGGAAACACTGGCCGGCTGGGGAATTCTGGGAGTTGAACTTTTCTTGTTTTAAAGGCTGAATTTCAATCCCCAGGATTCCCCAGCCAGTCCATGTGTCTCAGTCTTAGTAACTTTAAGATGGGTGGACGTCAATCAATTCAGCCTTCCATCCTTCCGGGGTAGGTAAAATGAGGACCCAGATTGTTGGGGGCAATGTAAAATATATATATATACATTGCTTACTGGTGTACACCGCTTAGAGAGTGCTTGCACTTAAAGCGGTATATAAGTCTCATAAATAAATAAATAAATTCCCAGAATTCTGGGAGTTGAAGTCCACCCATCTTTGTCTAGGTTGAAAAACCCTGCCCTAAGGCGAATGGGCAGGGATTTCTCCTGCTCTTAAATTTGCCCACCTAGCCATTGCTCCTTTTTTGAGGTGCCTTTGGGGTGTCTTTCCCTCTTCCAGGCTGACCGGGGCTGCGGTTCAACTCACCTGCGAACGCAGGGCTTCTAAGCAGCTGTGTAGGCTCAACTGGGATGCCTCCTTCGGTCTTCTGGAGATTTTGGAGTGCCTGTGGCCCGCCAGCAGAGGGACAGGAAAACCCGAATATACTCAGGTGTGTGTGTGTGGGGGGGGAGTGTCTTTGGGGAGAGGGCAGCCTCACCAAGGCTGGAGAGGTTAGGACAGTGGTTCTCCACCTGTGGGTCGGGACCCCATTTGGGGTCAAACGACCATTTCACGGGGGTCGCCAAACAAGGCTGTCCGCCATTTTTCCCCCCTGTTCTTTGGCCATGCCCCTGGCACCCAGTGATGTATAAGTGGTTGGGGGTCACCACAACATGGGGAACTGTATTATGGGGTCGCGGCATTAGAAAGGTTGAGAACCACTGGAATAGAGAATGGAATGGAATGGAATAGAATAGAATAGAACAGAACAGAATAGGAACTTGCAAAGGAAAAGGACCCCCAGACTGAAGCCCGGGAAGGCTGGAGAGCTTTGCGCAGGGTCCCGGTTCCCCTTTGCTCCATCACCAGCACCGCCGCCAGACCAGCCAGCTGCTGGGGAGAATTTCCCTTCCCCCCCCCTTCCCTCTCCCTTTTTTTTTTAGTGCAAAAAAAAAAAAAAAAGTCCTAGTCTCTTTTTTTTTCCTTTTCTTTCCCTCTTCTCGGCTTTTTAAAAATAGCAGCCGGGGGATCTTCAAGCCAAGAGTCGTTGCTGGGGCATTTAAAAAAAAAAAAAAGTCCTTCCCAGGGGGGGGGGATCTTTCTGCACTTCTTCAGCTTTTCTGAGCCGGGGGAGGGTAGAGCTGATTGGGGAGGGGTCCTAGGAAGAAGGGAAAGACCCACCAGAGAGATTCAGCTGCTTTTCTGCTCAAGCAGCTGGCGAGGAAAAAACCCCGGAGGGTCGGGTGTCCGCGTTTTTCAACCCCTCATTAAATAGGCCAGTGGTTCTCAACCTTTTTAATGCCGCAACCCCCAACCGGTCGTAAGTCGAGGACTACTCAACCGATCGTAAGTCAAGGATTACTCAACCGGTCGTAAGTCAAGGACTACTCAACTGCTGCAGCACCCTTTGCAGAATGGGACTTTTGGCGGGCTCAGCAGGGCAGAGACAGCCTGGACAATTCCTATTGGCTTTGGAAAGCCAATAGAATTAGACTCTATTCAAGAGAGCCTATTCTATTGGCTTTCGAAATCCAATAGAATAAAAGGGAGGAGCACAGCTAAGGAAAAGGGGGGAAAAAATGGCGGACTGCGTTGTTTGGCGACCCCCGTGAAACGGTCGTTCGACCCCAAATGGGGTCCCGACCCACAGGTGGAGAACCGCTGAAATAGGCGAAGGCTTGGCCGTTTGATAGTTTGCTCAAACTTTTTAACCTCCCGGATGTATTACCTTCAAATATCAACGAATCAATGGCATATTTAAAAAAAAGAAAGAAGGAAATCATAGCAAGAGCCCGTTTAGGAACGCGAGAGAAATAATACATTCTCAGAGTCGATGACCTTGGGTTTTGGATCTGTCTCGGGCTTCCAGGCGTTGCACTCGTGTTCCACGTTTCCCTCCCGGACCACACCCTCGCCATTCCCACGCCATCCCTCCCCTCTCCCATTATTGTTGTCCAGTTGCCAGCAGGCTGTGTAGCGAGTCAACCATGACAAAAAACTGATTTTCTGTTTGTTCTATTCCAGCTGCTGGTCTTTCCCAGCCTGGGCCCCGTTCCTTACAGCCAGGCGCCTCAGCCCTGCGCACGGATCCGGTCCAAGCACTTGGAGAAGCTGCCGTCCTCCAAGGTTTGCAGGCCGGTTGGGTTGGGGGAATCATGGAGTGGGGGTCTTGCTGGGCCTGTCTGAAGTAAAGCTCCTCAGAAGGTCTGCATCATGCAGACCAGAATCAAAGTCAGAATAGAGCTGGAAGGGACCTTGGAGGTCTTCTAGTCCAGCCCCCTGCTCAAGCAGGAGAACCTATACTATTCCAGACATGTGGCTCTCCAGTCTTTTCTTAAAAACCTCCAGCGATGGAGCACCCACGATTTCTGGAGGCAACTTCTGTTCCACTGGTTAATTGTCCTCCCTGTTAGGAAGTTTCTCCTTAGTTCCAGGTTGCTTCTCTCCTTGATTAGTTTCCATCCATTGTTTCTTGTCCTGCCTTCAGGGGCTTTGGAGAACAGGTTGACCCCCTCTTCTTTGGGGCAGCCCCTCAAATACTGCCATGCTGCCATCATGTCGCCCCTCGTCCTTCTTTTGTCTAGACTAGTCATCCCCAATTCCTGCAACCATTCTTCTGATGCTTTTGTCTCCAGGCCTTTAATCGTCTTAGTTGCTCTTCTTTGCACTTTTCCAAAGGCTCAAACATCTTTTTTCTAAGGTGGTGAGCAAAACTGAATGCAGGATTTTGCATTCCGTTTGCAATTGCAGAGAAGGCCCAATGTGTAAAGGAAAAAGCCATAATCGGGCTGAATGGCCTGGCTTGGTTCACAGAACACGCAGACCCTCTAAGTCAGTGGTTCTCAACCTTTTTAATGCCGCGCCCCCCCCCCCAACCGGTCATAAGTCGAGGACTACTCTACTGGTCGTAAGTCGAGGACTACTCAACTGGTGCAGCACCGTTTGCAGAATGGGACTTTTGGCGGGCTCAGCAGGGCAGAGACAGCCTGGACAATTCCTATTGGCTTTTGAAAGCCAATAGAATTAGACTCTATTCAAGAGAGTCTCTTCTATTGGCTTTCAAAAGCCAATAGAATAAAAGGGAGGAGCACAGCTAAGGAAAAGGGGGAAAAAAATGGCGGACTGCGTTGTTTGGCGACCCCCGTGAAATGGTCGTTCGAGCCCAAATGGGGTCCCGACCCACAGGTGGAGAACCGCTGCTCTAAGTTGCCCATCCGTTGGACGTTTAGACTAGCGGTTCTTCACCTGCTATGGCTGGGGAATTCTGGGAGTGGACGTCCATCCACCTTCAAGTTCCCAAGGTTGAGAGATCTGCTGTGGGCTGACCTTTTGTGCCGTCCTTCCAGAGGGGCCTAACCAGAGGAGCCTCGTCCAAGCTCACGGTGGAACTGATGGTGGAGCTGGCTAATTTCCTCTGTGAAGTGGACCTGGGTACGCTGGACCGCCTCTGCTCCCTGTTGCACCCCGCCATGGTGCCACCCCGGCCAGGTGGCTACCCTCCCGAGGAACCCGTGGTAAGGCGGAGGGGAGGTGGCCGGCCGGCTCCAGCAGGTGGCTCCTTCTCCGTCCCCACTGAGGTTGTCTTCTCCTTCTCTTTCCCTTGCTGGTGCCAGCCAGGTTTCCCCCCGGCTGCCCAATGGCAGGCCAACGTCCAGCTGGTGGCCCCCAAAGGTTCCCTCCTTCTCCCGTTCCCTGTCCCGGACCTCCGGGTCTGGGCGGAGAGGCGCGCCTGGGCCGAGAAGGCGGTGCGCAGGGAGCGCTTGCGGCTGGACCTGGCCGGTGTTGAGCTGCACACGGATCTGGAACCGACGGGTCCCGTTCAGTTAGAGGTCACGCTGACCGACTTGCACGGTAAGTGAAGAGATGGATTTGGTGGCTTCCCAAACGCTCTCCTTCCCCTGGAACAGTGGTTCTCAACCTTTTTAATGCCGCGACCCCCAACTGGTCGTAAGTCGAGGACAACTCAACCGGTCGTAAGTTGAGGACTACTCAACTGGTGCAGCACCGTTTGCAGAATGGGACTTTTGGCGGGCTCAGCAGGCAGAGACAGCCTGGACAATTCCTATTGGCTTTTGAAAGCCAATAGAATTAGACTCTATTCAAGAGAGTCTATTCTATTGGCTTTCAAAAGCCAATAGAATAAAAGGGAGGAGCACAGCTAAGGAAAAGGGGGGAAAAATGGCGGACTGCGTTGTTTGGCGACCCCCGTGAAATGGTCGTTCGAGCCCAAATGGGGTCCCGACCCACAGGTTGAGAACCACTGCCCTAGAAGAAGTTGACAAAGGACAGTTAGTACAACTGCCAGGACATCTGGGACTACAAGCCCCCTACAGGTAGTCCTCGACTTACAATCATTCATTTAGTGACTGTTCGAAGTTACAACAGCATTGAAAAGAGTGACCTGTGACCGTTTTTCATACTTATGACCGTTTCAGCAACCCCATGGTCATGCAATCAAAATTCAGATGCTTGGCAACTGGCCTGTCTTTTTGATGGTTGCGGTGTCGCAGGATCACGCGAACCCCTTTGGCGACGTTCTGACAAGCCAAGTCAACGGGCAAAGCGAGATTCACTTAACAACCGTGTGACTAATTTAACAACTGCAGTGATTCACTTAACGAACGGGGGCGAGAAAAGGTGTAAAATGGGGCAAAACTCACTTAACAACTGCCTCCCTTAGCAACATAAATTTGGGGCTCAAGTCTCAGTTGTAAATTGAGGACTACCTATGTTGCTCAAGCCTGTTAGTCAAGTAATCTTCGGTGCTAAATTGGCACTAGATCAGTGGTTCTCAACCTTTTTAATGCCGTGACCCCCAACCGGTCGTAAGTCAGGGACTACTCAACCGGTCGTAAGTCGAGGACTACTCAACTGGTGCAGCACCGTTTGCAGAATGGGACTTTGGGCGGGCTCAGCAGGGCAGAGACAGCCTGGACAATTCCTGTTGACTTTTGAAAGCCAATAGAATTAGACTCTATTCAAGAGAGTCTATTCTATTGGCTTTCGAAAGCCAATAGAAGAAAAGGGAGGAGCACAGCTAAGGAAAAGGGGGGGGGGAAATGGCGGACTGCGTTGTTTGGCGACCCCCGTGAAATGGTCGTTCGACCCACAGGTTGAGAACCACTGCGCTAGATAAAAGCCAACAGAATCCAAGAGGGGTGGGACTTGGAGCCTTTGCGAGAATGTATTGATTCTAGGCTGATGACTTGCTTAATTCCGCCCCCCCGGCTCTTCCTGCTCTTCTTCTACACAGGCATTTATGAAGATGGTGGGACGCTGTCAGTGCCTTGTTTTCGGGTGGGCAAAGCCCCTGACTTACTGGCCAGAGGCATAGGGAAGAAGTATCTCCTCCCTAAGTAAGTTTCTCGTGAGCGGAGAAGAGAGCGCTTTCCTGCTACAAAGAGAAGGGGGCTTTTTGTAGCACCACAACGGAAACTGCAATACAGGGAGGGATGGTGGTGGGGATCCAGTTCTCTCCTCTCCTCTCCTCTCCTTGACAGGCTCATCTTGACCTTCTGCCCAACGCCTACGGATGCCCCTTGGGATTTGGCACTGGCAGCCACCGAAGAGGTGGAGCTGTCAACAGTTGAAAGCCCCTGTGAGCTGAAGCAGCCTGAGCCTTCACCCTTCTCCTCCAAGAGGACGATGTATGAGACGGAGGAGGTGAGCTTTCTGGCTGCCCCATACATTGGGGGGCAGGAAGCAGCATGCTGGACAAGATGGCTTTGGCCCAGAGGCGCCAAAATTGGTGGCTACCAGATCTGAAAGCTTGAGAGAGAGCTCTGGCAAAAAGTATTCAATACAGACCGGTTTGTCAACATTGGTGGCTTTAAGATGGGTGGACTTCAACTCCCAGAATTCCTCAGCCAGCATCCTTTTAAGTGTGACGACTTCAGTTCCTAGGATGCTGGCTGGAGAATTCTGGGCGTTGAAGTTCATACATCTCAAAGTTAGCACAGTTGAGAAATACTGTAACAAAGGTTGGGCTCTAGTAAGAATGGTTTTAATTAAATTTTATTGGAAAGGAAATCCAAGTGAATTCTTGCTTGGGCCCTACTTACTTCTTGGAGAATAGTCCCACCTTCAAACCCCCCTCCCCCTCCCAAAGGTTGTGCCCCTTTGATTTAGCCCTTTTCCCAAGCTGCTTCGAGTACCTTTCCTCTTTATTTCTTTTTTTTTTTTATAAAGATTTTATTGGTTTTTTTCCCATCAACATATGTTCATTTTTCCAATCAACAAGTTGTCTGGAGTTTGCTATGCTAATACAGGTTCAATTCCTAATCCTTCATTCTTTCCTCTAACTAAGAATAAAATAGGTTCCCAATTTGATAGTAGTCTGTATCTTCTTTATCTTTCAACCTCATAGTTAATCTGTCCATCTCTGCACATTCCAATATTTTCCTGATTATTTCTTCTTCTGATGTCAATCCTTCATTCTTCCAGTATTGTGCAAAAATTATTCTCGCTGCTGTAGCGATGTGTAAGATTAGATGTAATTTCTGCTTACTAGTCTTTTCAGGCATAATATCTAGTTAAAAAAAGTTCAGGTTTAAAATCCACGTGTTCACCCAATATTTTTTCTAACCGCGTATGTATCTTTCTCCAATAGGCCTTTGCCTTGCCACCTGTCCACCAAATGTGGTTATTTCTTATCTTCTGTGGTGTCCTGGGTGCTCTCTGAGCTTGGTTGTTTTCTTGCAGACATTTTATTACCCAACAAAGCAACGTCATCAGTGCAAGAAGGGGCTGTTTAACAACACATGCCAACACTGTCAGGAGAAGCCATTCTAGATAAATAAAGATCAATTCCTACCCGTTTCTGGCACTGATGATGTTGCTTAGTTGGGTCATGAAACGTCTGCAAGAAAACAATCAACCTCAGAGAGCACCAAAGACCTCACGCTTCAGCCCTAAGCTACAAATATTCTGTTGGTAATCACCCTTTTCTCTTCAGATGGTCATCCCCGGAGACCGCGAGGAGATGGCCGAGTTCCAGAGCCAGACGCTGGCCGCCTCCCACTACACTCTAGAGCTGACCTTCCCTACTGTTCACATCTACTTGCCGAGCAAGAAGTTCTACGAAAGCATATACAACAGGTCAGAAGGCTTGGAGAACTTGGGATGGGTGTGGAGGACACATCTCTTCTTTTTTTTAAAAAAAAAAATAATTTTTTATTTTTCCAAACTCTCCCCCATGCATATACCGTGATATTTATCAGATGTTAACATACATTCTTTTTACATTCATATATAACAGTGGTTCTCAACCTTTTTAATGCCGCGACCCCCAACCGGTCGTAAGTTGAGGACTACTCAACCGGTCGTAAGTCGAGGACTACTCAACTAGTGCAGCACCGTTTGCAGAATGGGACTTTTGGCGGGCTCAGCAGGGCAGAGACAGCCTGGACAATTCCTATGGGCTTTTGAAAGCCAATAGAATTAGACTCTATTCAAGAGAGTCTATTCTATTGGCTTTCAAAAGCCAAGAGAATAAAAGGGAGTAGCACAGCTAAGGAAAAGGGGGGAAAAAATGGCGGACTGCGTTGTTTGGCGACCCCCGTGAAATGGTCGTTCGACCCCAAATGGGGTCCCGACCCACAGGTTGAGAACCGCTGATTTAGAGCCTTTGCATTCACTCTCTCTTTCTTTCACCCCCCAGGATCAATAATGACCTCCTGATGTGGGAGCCCTTCAGCCCGCCCCCGAGCCCCACGGATCCTCCAGGAGGGGCTGGATCAGCCTCCCCCTTTGCCTCTGATGGGCTCCCACCCGCCCACTGGGAGAACTTCCAGATGTGCAAGTCAGCCTTTAAGCTGGGTGAGAGACGTCATTTGGGGCAGGGGGAGAAGGAGAGCTGATGACTTAGGGGAGCCTTCTAGAGCAGGGCTTTTCAACCTTTTCACCCATTGTACCAGTTTTAGGATATGGCAACATCCGAGGACCACCAGTTGCCTAGCAAGGTGTCAAAAACTTGATGATAAAAAAAAAAGGAAAAAAGTGATAAAGTACAGGTAGTCCTCGACTTACAACAGTTGGCTTAGTGACTGTTCGAAGTTACAATGGCACTGAAAAAAGTGCCCCCAAGCCACAGCCGAGCGAGACACCTGCCTGCCCGCCTGGCGGTGCTCTTCCTCCTGTCCGAGGTTTTCATTGTTGTGAGTATTTCTGTTGAGGATTGGCAGTGGGGGTGGGGTGGGGGGTGTTTGGTTTTTATTCCCCCCGTCTGCTGGCTGGTTGCAGCAGGTTTTGGTCACTTCACATGACCCTGGGACACTGTGACCGTCATAAATATGAATCAGTTGTTAAGCATCTGAATGTAAATCACAAGACCCTGGAGATGCTGCAACATTCCAGCTGATCGGCGCTTCTTCTGGGCTCAGCGGAAGCACCAGGATCAGTGCCAAGCTCCAGCTGGACCCTGGCGCTGATCCTGGTGCTTCCGCTGAGCCCTGACAGCCCTGCAGCTCCAGCCGTCTCTCGCTTAGGCTTGTGTGGTGCTGCCACCGGTTCAGCTCATTCCCCTCTCCCGCTACCACTTTTCTAGGATGCTCGTGTACCACCTGCCAGGTGCCAATGTACCACAGGTGGTACCCGTACCACTGGTTGAAAAGCCCTGTTCTAGAGGAGGAGGGAGGGCTGCTTGCAACCCCCTTGCTATCTGATTGGCTGTGGTCTGGAGGGGAGCTGGATATGGAGGGTTGGCCGTCACTAGACAGAACCGGGGTGGAGAGCTGTAGTCCCTTAATGATTTGGGGACTTCAGCTCCCAAAATTCCTGAGCCAGGGAGCTATGGCCGCTTTATGACTTGTGGACTTCAACTCCCAGAATTCCAGAGCCAAGGAACTATTGGCCCCTTTATGCCTTGTGGACCATGCTGGCCCAGGAATTCTGGGAGCTGAAGTCCACAGGTCAATAAGGGGTCATAGCTCCCCTGGGATAGAAGAAGGTCATTCTCAGTTGCTTGTTCTTGCAGATTCGGACTCCGAGGACGACGATTCCCACTTCTACTCGGCGGACCAGATGGGTGCGCAGCAGAAAAGAGGGGAGCAGAGGAACCCCTTCCCGCTCAGCTGCATCTCGGTCGTGCTCCGGGTGGGCCAGGGACGCATTACGGCGCTCTGCAATGCCAAAGTGAGACACCGCAGTGGCTTCTTCAACTTTTGTAAAAAGTTGTGGGGATCCTTTGCAAAGAAGTCAAGTCACTTCTCCCCCAAATAGTCTCTGTTCTGCACCCTCTTTGCACGTGCTTGTGCAACCAGACCTCACTGTATGTCATTCCGCCCTCCCAGTCTGGCACATTGTTCTGAGGCAATTCATATGAGCACCCTGGGTTTGTGTGTTAGATCAGTGGTTCTCAACCTTTTTAATGCTGCGACCCCCAACTGGTCGTAAGTCGAGGTCTACCCAACCGGTCGTAAGTCGAGGACTACCCAACCGGTTGTAAGTCGAGGACTTTCCCTGCCCGGGAACGCCGCGCATGCGTGGTGCTGCCCACTGTGCCGGCCGAGGCGTAGCTGGCAAGCAGCAGAGATGGCGCAGGCCGACCACCGGCTGGGCCACCAGCTGGCCAGCCCAAGGGAGGTAAGGCACCCGCCAGGCCCCACGCGCGCCAGCAACTCTCCCTGCGCCCGCCGGCCTCCCACCTCCCACCCCTGGCCCTCTTTTCCTTACATTTTTAGTAGTTGCTCAGCAGGGAGGGGTGGAAACTTCCAGACAGCTTGCCTTCGCTGCAGACAACTTGCAGCACCGTTTCCAGAATGGGACCTTTGGCGGGCTCAGCAGGGCAGAGACAGCCTGGACAATTCCTATTGGCTTTGGAAAGCCAATAGAATTAGACTCTATTCAAGAGAGTCTATTCTATTGGCTTTCAAAAGGCAATAGAATAAAAGGGAGGAGCCCAGCTAAGGAAAAGGGGGAAAAAATGGTGGACTGCGTTGTTTGGCGACCCCCGTGAAATGATCGTTCGACCCCAAATGGGGTCCCAACCCACAGGTTGAGAACCACTGTGTTAGATGGCCGTACGCATTGTTGAAATGACATAATGAAACGGGGTCCTCGCCTCGCTCCCATAATCGAACCCCCAAATTCTGTTGCTAAGCAAGACATTTGTTAAGTGAGTTTTGCCCCATTTTATGATCTTTCTTGACACAGTTGTGAAGTGAATCACTGCAGTTGTTAAGCTAGTCACACGGTTGTTAGATGAATCTGGTTCCCCATTGACTTTGTTTGGCAGAAGATTGTAAAAGGGGATCATGTGACCCAGGACACTGCAACCGTCATAAATATGAACCAGTTGCCAAGTTTCTCAGTTTTACTCATGTGGACCCTGGGGATGCTGCAACGGTCGTGAGAAAAACAGTCACGAGTCTCTTTTTTCAGAGCCTTTGTAACTTTGAACGGTCACTAAACGAACTGTTGTAAATTAAGGACTGCCTCTAATGGTAGTAAGTATAAATAAGGGTCAGAAGTCACTTTTTCCAATGCCGTTGTAACTTTGAACGGTCACTAAATGGACTGTCGTAAGTGGAGGTAGTCCTTGACTTACGACTAGAATTTAGTGACCGTTCAGAGTTACAACAGACCCCCACAGGGTTACTTACAACCAAGTTCTGAAGTTCTGTTGGCTGTGCCCCCCCCCATGGCCATGTGACCCTATTACAGGCAGACACTTGGCAACCGGCCCAGTTTGCAGTCACATGATCACATTTTACAATGTTTTTTTCCCCAGTAAGTAAATTGCTGATATTTACTTCTGGTTCTCAGCAAAACTGGCCCAGAGGAAACAATGGGTTCGCTTAGTGACCAAGTTGTTCACTTAATGACTGCTCCAAAAAAGGTAATATAATGCGCAGGCACCCATAAATAAGTCGAGGAGTAGCTGTTTAAAATTAGCCACTTTTTTTTTTTTTTTAATCGTATTAACTTGTACCAAGAAACTCTAGCAGGCTTTCTTGCAGGAACTAGTTGCTCCCAACTCAAAGAGAAAGGAGGGTCGATATTTTAAATTTAAGTCCGCGTTTCCCCGAAAATAAGATTAGGTCTTGTATGAATTTTTGCTCCAAAAGGCACGTTAGGATTTGTTTTTCCGGTTGGGCCTTATTTTCAAGAAAATACTAAATGCGTCTGTGGCTGATGATATTAACAGGGTCTTATTTGGGGGGTAAGGCTGATATTACGAGGAGAGTTCTGAAAAATCATGCTAGAAGCAGTGTTTCTCAACCTTGACAATTTTAAGGCATGTGGACTTCAACTCCCAGAATTCCACAGCCTGCAAAAATAAGTTTTTGCAGCATGGCCGTGGCATCCAGAAGACCACATTTTAAGCCCTTTCAGCCTGGCATGTCTGTTGGGAAAGGAGCTTTTAAAAAAGAGTAGAAATTGTTCCCTTTTAGCAAAAATGTGACTGGATCCCCTTGAGAAAGAGGTGAGAATTATAACACTTTCTAAGCCAGATTCTTACTAGCTTACCGCACCCACCCCATTGCTGGCAATGGCAAAACCGCCCCGATAACGTTGCGCAACGTCACGTGACGTCGTGAGTTTGACATGTCTGGCTTAGATCTTTCCTGGTTCTCAGCTGCCTTCACTTAATCCAAGATTCAGTTCTTCCCTTCGTCTCTGCAGGACGAAGGAGGCAACAAGCTGGAAGCCGCTCACGGGGAACTCGTCCTGGATGTGGAGAATGGAAGCCTCTTCAGTGTTTCTCACTACAAAGGCTGTGAGGACATTGGCTACTTCTGCATCGAAGCCGAGAAGGTGGCACTTTATCACAAAGGTCGGGATCCAGCTGCGGTGCCAGCATGTGTGTATGTGGAGGCAACAGGTTCGGTTGAACTGTCCTGTAGAACAACTATTTAAGAGGGGCAGGCCTTCAATTCCCAGTAATCCCCAGCCAGCATGCGATTTCCTGCTGGCTTCCCCATTGATTTTGGCTGCCAAAACCAGCAAAAGGTTGCCTCGCCTAATTACCGTGGGAACTGGTTAATGACAGCAACTATGATTGCCACGATTGCCATCGTTAAGCGATGCAGTCCTGCTTTGTGAACACATTGCTTATGGATGGAAATTCTGATCCCAGTTTCTGTTGTGCATTGAGGACTGTGCATTTCCTGTGTGGGGAAACGCATCTGACATTTTTGTCCGACTGTACCCTTGTTGCTTCCTCTTCTGCTGATTTTTGGGGTGGGGGGTGGGGACAGAAAATCGGATTGGGAAGGGATGAAGACCACAGCCGGTTACGGACTCTCAGCGTGTTAATCCACGATGCTTTCTCTCTTCTCCCCCCTGCCCCCCCAGCTGTTGTGGAGGACTACCTTACAGCTGAGCACCTGGAGATTCCCAATTTCCTGCCCCCCGAAGGGCTACACCCCACCATCTACGCCTCCCAAGAGGGCTCCATCAACTGGCCTCTGGGGGCCAAGAAGGATGTTGTCAAGATGTTGTCTGTGGCCATCAAGATCAACCTGGATTTGGAGAAGAACATAAAGGTGACTTAGCTAATGGGGGTTGTTGCTGACTGCTGTGGTTCTCAACCTTCCTGAAGATGGATGAGTTGCCCAGAATTCCCCAGCCAGCAAGGCTGCTTCCCCCCTCCATGGTGATACAACTGTATTTTGAGCACTTGGCCAATGGTCTGCCTTTATGGCTGTTTGGACTATCTCATGGTCATGTGACTATGATTTAAAATGTTTTTGTCAGAGACCAGTTTCCACTTCCAGTTTCCTTCAAAAACTGCCCATAGCATGGGTTTGGTTAATGACCGTTGCAAAAATGTCATAAAATCAGGCATGGTTATGTGGGTGACTCATTTTATGACTGTCCTGGTTTACAACTGCAATTGCCAGCCTCAGTTACAATCATAGGTTGCAGACTATCTGCATTTCCATTTTTTTATTTCTTTTCACGGGCTTATTTCTTAAAATCGTCCTTAGAGCAATATTTATTTATTATTTAAATCCCAACTTATTTTTACAAATAATTCAAGGCAGTGAGCATATCCAACACACCTTCCTCCTCCAATTGTCCCCGCAACAACAATCCTGTGAGGTGGGCTGGGCTGAAAGGCAGTGATTGGCCCAAAGTCAGCCAGCCGCTTTCGTACCTAGAACTCAGCATCTCCTGGTGATTGGCCCACAGTCATCCAGCCAGCTTTCATGGCTAAGGTGGGACTAGAATTCTCTGTCTCCTGGTGATTCGCCCAGAGTCACCCAACTGGCTTTCATATGTAAATCAGAATTAGAACTCACAGTCTCCTGGTGATTCGCCCAAAGTCACCTAGCTGGCTTTCGTGGCTAAGATGGGACTAGAACTGTCCATCTTCTGGTGATTGGCCTAAAGCACGGGCGTCAAACTCACAACGTCACGTGTCGTGACGTATCGGGACTTTTTTCCCATTGCCGGCAATGGGGTGGGCGTGGTTTTGGCGTGACGCATCTGGCCCGTGGCCCAGCAGTTTCACACCCCTGGCCTAAAGTCACCCGGCTGGCTTTTATACGTAAGTCAGGGCTAGAACTCACCACCTCCTTGTGACTGGCTCAAAGTCACACCGTTGGCTTTTGGGCCTAACGCAGGACTAGAACTCACCACCTCCTGCTTTTCTAGCTCGGTGCCTTCCCCACTTAGAGCAAACTGGCTCTCCCACAAACCATTTATTTATTTATTTATTTATTTGTTTATGAGACTTATATACCGCTTTAAGTGCAAGCACTCTCTAAGCGGTGTACACCAGTAAGCAATGTGTATATATATATATATATATATATTTACATTGCCCCCAACAATCTGGGTCCTCATTTTACCTACCCCGGAAGGATGGAAGGCTGAGTCAACCTTGAGCCGGTGAGATTTGAACCGCTGACCTGCTGAACATAGTCAGCTAAAGTGGCCTGCAGTACTGCACTCGAACTGCTGCGCCACCTTGGCTCTTATTTATGCAAGGCCCAGGCCCATTTTAACACTTCTCAGTCCCAGAAGACTGAAACCGGCTTCCGTAGACCCAGCAAGATCTCCTGAATCCTACCTTGGGAAGAGGTGATCCCTGAGCAAGATCTCTCTCGAGTCCTGGGCCAGGGAAGGCCCAGCGCCCGGTGAGAAAAAGCATTCAGACGGTGACCTGCATTTTCCTTCCGAATTGCAGGAGTTCCTGGTGACGCTGCGCCTTGAGGGCGCCACCATACGGCACCGCATGGCGCTGGCCCACCAGAGCTGGTACTCGCAGGTGAGGCCGGATCCCCCAGAGAAGGTTGGCTGCTTTCAGGTTAGAGGTGCAGCTGGGGAAGAGCGGGGGGTCCGAGCAGCCCCTGGGAGCAGCCCCTTTCTCTGTCCTCTCTTAGACTGGCCTGAGCTTAATTCCCGGGCACTGGAGAGCCAGCAGGGCTCCGGGGTTCTGGGTTCACGTCTCACGGCCGTGTCTCCTTCTGCCAGTTGATCGACTTCCTGGATGTCCTGGACGACCCCATCCTGGGCTTCGTGCCCCCCGCCATCATCACCGTTTTGCACACCCACCTCTTCAACTGTGCCATGGATTACAGGTGCCGATATTGGAAGTTGGGTTTGTTTGAGCTGGCCATCGGCTGTTTCATTCAGTCCCACCTGGGGAAAGAGGCTGGAGCTGTCTGGTTGTGTTCCCACAACACTTTAAACCAGTGGTTTTCAACCCGTGGGTCGGGACCCCGTTTGGGGTCGAACGACCATTTCACGGGGGTCGCCAAACAACGCAGTCCGCCATTTTTTCCCCTTTTCCTTAGCTGTGCTACTCCCTTTTATTCTATTGGCTTTTGAAAGCCAATAGAATAGACTCTCTTGAATAGAGTCTAGTTCTATTGGCTTTCCAAAGCCAATAGGAATTGTCCAGGCTGTCTCTGCCCTGCTGAGCCCGCCAAAAGTCCCAATCTGCAAACGGTGCTGCACCAGTTGAGTAGTCCTTGACTTACGACCGGTTGAGTAGTCCTCGACTTAACGACTGGTTGGGGGTCGGGGCATTAAAAAGGTTGAGAACCACTGTTTTAAACCCCGGTTAAACAAAGAGCAGAGAACCTACACCAAAGGCCCCACCCTCCTGGCTATGTATGGTTAACAGCCCAGATGGCTTGCTTTCCATGTCCTCCAATTAGATGCAAAATGGGTGATTTTAAAGTGGTTTTTTTTTCAATTGTTTTTAATGTTTTTACTGTTTGAAAGTGTTTTTAGGGTTTTCACTGTGATATCTGTTTTTGAATTGTGAGCCGCCCTGAGTCCTTTGCTGAGATGGACGGCCACAGAAATAAAATAAATCAAACATCCTGTTCTCCACTGGAGAAACTAACTATAGCTAGTCCTTGACTTACAACCATTCATTTAATGACTGAGGTTACAACGGCCCTGAAAGAAGTGACCTATGACCCTTTCCCACATTTACGACCGTTGCAGCATCCTCAGGGGTCACCTGATCAAAATTTGGGCACTTGGCAATTGATTCATACTTACGACGGTCGCAGTGTCTCCTGGGGTCACGTGATCCCCCTTTTGTGACTTTTTGACAAGCAATGTCAGTGGGGGAAGCTAGATTCACTTAACAACCATGTTGTTCACTTAATAACTGCAACGATTCACTTAGCAGGGAAGGTCATAAAATGGGTCAAAACTCACTTAGCAGTTGTCTTGCTTCACAACGGAAATGTTGGGCACAATTGTCGTAAATCGAGGACTACCTGTATTGGTCTGGCTCCTATCAAGTGCCAAGAGAAAAAGACTGGGCTTTTCCCAGTGGAAAATGGGTCCCCAGTGATTCAGATGTCAGTTCAGACGGTGGTGTTGTGAGGATCCAGCTATTATGGATAGATGCACGGGTGGCGCTACAGCAGTGATTCTCAACCTTTCTAATGCCGTGACCCCATAATACAGTTCCCCATGTTGTGGTGACCCCCAAGTGGGTGTGGCCACCAATAAGAGGGAGTAGGACAGCTAGGGAAAAGGGAAAAAAATGGCGGACAGCATGGTTTGGTGACCCCCGTGAAATGGTCATTCGACCCCAAATGGGGTCCCGACCCACAGGTTGAGAACCACTGCGCTATAGGATCATATGGGATTGTCTGAGATGGTCTAGGACAGTGATGGCGAACCTTTTAGAGACCGAGTGCCCAAACTGCAACCCAAAACCCACTTATGCATCGTCGAGTGCCAGGTGGGTGTGGCCCATTGGGTGGGCATGGCTGTGGTGGTAACGGCAGACTGGGTGGGACTAAAAAGTTCAATCAATCAATTCCAACTTTGCAAGATCTTTTTTTTTTCCCGCAAGAAGTTGAAATTGACTGATTGAACCTTTTTTGTTTTTTGCACATGGCGGCAGAGGCCTAAAGCGAAAAGGTTTTATAAAGCCCAGCTGAAGGCTTAGGACTGGGGCGACGGCGCGCGTGCCCACAGAGATGGCTCTGAGTGCCACCTCTGGCACCCGTGCCATAGGTTCGCCACCACTGGTCTAGGAGGTCCCCCTGCTTGAGCTGGGGGCTGGACTAGAAGACCTCCAAGGTCCCTTCCAGCTCTATTCTATTCTGTCAGCTGACTCAGAATGAGGAGAACCCAACCAGGCTAAGGAGAGATGTCCTGGTTTATATAGATAGCCCTCGACTTCCCCGCAGTAGGGACCAGAATTCTGGTCATTGCGGTCGTAAGTTAAGATGCCACTTAAATGGATCTGATTTTTCAACCAGCCGTTAAGCGGATCTCATGGTGGGCAGTCTATCCCAAATGGGCATTTTTTGACTGTAAGTTGAGGGACTACCTGTATTATGGTTTCATTCCAGCCTCTTTCCACCCACCACTGGAGTTTTGGGGTGACCGATAGTGAGGGGGGTGCTGGGCCGTGACCTCCCCATCTCCGCAGTTTCTCAATCTTTGGAACTTGAAGAGGTGTGGACTTCAACTCCTAGCTCAGAATTCTGGGAGTTGAAGTCCACACCTCTTCAAATTCCAAAGATTGAGACACGTTGCAGCAAGGTTGACCTCCATCTTCTCCTTCACAGGCCTCTCTATTTACCCCTCCGGGTTCTCATCATGGCAGAGACCTTCACCCTTTCCAGCAACATCATTGTGGACACCTCGGTCTTCCTCCTCCGGTGGGTTCTGGGGCTGGAGCCCTCCAAATCTCTGGGGGAGAGGGGAACATATGGGCCTCCAGGAAGCCATGCCTGGAAAAACTCCTGCAGAGAGGGAGATTTTTATCCAGGGAGCCATTTGCACCTTTCCGCCCCCTTTGTGGAGAAGTTCAACCTCTGCTTCCATGCCAGGAAAGGTGCATTGGATCCAGAATGGGTGCGCCTGTTGTACCTGTCGGCGTGCTGCACCTGTTGGATTCTGCAGTTATTTCCTTTCCCCCGAGACTTGAGAGATTTATCTTAACTTCCCTTGTTGGATTCTCAACACTCGCCCTGCAAGAGATGGGTGTCGAACAGATTTAACGGATAAATAAAAAGACAGGCGGTGCTCAGCTTAACAACGGTTCATTTAGCGACCATTTCCTTTTAGCAAAAATGTGTTTTGATCTCCTTGAGAAAGAAATGACACTTTCTAAGCCAGATTCTTAATAACCTACAGCCAGTCCTCAACGTATAAGAGCATTGAGCATTCAAAGTTAACAATGACACTGAAAAAAGGGACTTATGGCTGTTTTTCATACTTATGACTGTTGCAGCACTCCCAGGGTCATGTGATCAAAATTCAGACGCTTGGTAGCTGGTTCATATTTATGACGGTCACAGTGTCCCGGGGTCAGGCGATCCCCTTTTACGACCTGACAAGCAAGTCAAGAGGAAAGCCAGATTCACTTTACAATTGTGTTGCTAACTTAACAACTGCAGTGATTCGCTTAACAACTGTGGCAAGGAAGGTCGTAAAATGGGGCAAAACTCACTGAACAACTTGTCTCGCTTAACAAAAAAAACCAGAAGTTTTGGGCTCAATTGTGGTTGTAAGTCAAAGTAAACCTATTTTATTGTAAGGGTAAACTAAGAGAATCTTACAGATCTGAATATATAAACTTCCCACTGTCACTTTTTTTTATATAAAAGGTTTTATTGGTTTTTTTCCATTTTTTACAAAAGCTTAGGACACAACGTGATGGTCAGAGTGTCAAATCATTCAAGAACAAAATCATATACATATAGCTCAAATTAATTATAAACAATTTCCTCTCTACAAGGAATAATATTACTTATTAAAATTAATACAATTTTAGGTAAAGTTCCATCAAACAAAAATCCTCAATCACCTTGCAATTATGATAATCTATATCTTGTTTTAAACTTTACTAATTACAATTGTCATATTCCAGTTACATTTCAATAGACATATAATTGGGATTTCAGGTATCCTTAATATTAGATCACTCATTAAGACTAATTTTTTCCCTATCACAAGTAGCTCTTACAACATATTTTTCATATTTAAAATAACAATATAAATCCAACAAATACAGTTCTATTTTTAAAAATATATTCTATAATTTCATCAATCTACATCTATAAAAAATCTTTTAAGCCCTTTTATGAAGTTTACACCTTCAAATAGTTATCAAGTATAATGTCAAGAAATTCCCAGCCTTCATTCATTATTAAATCAGACAGAAATTCTCTCTCTATTTCAAAATAATTATCATATTTAAAATAATGTAATTCCCAAAAATACATATCTATTTTTAAAAACATGTTCTATCATTTCATCCCTTTACGTCTATAAAATCTTTTTAACCGCTAAACAAGTTTACTCCCTAATAATTATCAACTATAATAACAGTCAATTCTTATCCTTCCTTCGTTATTAAATCAGACAAAATCTCTAAAGCCTTTTTAACCCATCAAGTAGCGTTTTATCTCACATTTAAACCCGACTCTAGCTTTCTTTCTATGCCAAGTTAATTCCCGTATTAAAACTTTTCGATTCTCAAACCTCAAACTTTGATTACAAAAGTTTCTAACCAATTCAAACTGTCACTTTTAACCTAAATCCTTCCTCTGGCATTAAGTCATCCAGGGCTTCTGCTTATCAGTTCATTTTCTAGGCAGCTTCTCTTTCCTTCATTCCCCCCCACCCCATGCCATTACAGGTAGTCCTCAACTTATGACCACAATGGAGTCCAATATATTGTTAGGTTAGACATTTGTTCAATGAGCTTTGCCCCGTTTTAGAAACTTCTCTTGCCACAATTGTTAAGCGAATTGCTCCAGTTGCTAATTTAGTAACATGCTGGTCAGAAAGTCATAAAAGGGGATCACGTGACCCAGGGACTCTGTAACGGTCATAAATATGAGTCAGTTGCCAAGTGCCTAAATTTCGATCATATGATCTTGGGGATGCTGCAACAGTTACAAGTGTGCAAAATGGTCATAAGTCGCTTTTTTCAGTGTCGTAATTTTGAACGGTCACTAAATGAACTGTTATAAGTCGAGGACAACCTGTATAGAGGCTGAGAGATTCGGTCAGTCCAATTCATGGATTCACGCCGTGGATATCTGTTTCCAGCTTTCCTCCTCCCCTGATTTATTGGTGCCATTTCCATCAGCTCCATCCAGCACGGCGGGTGCTGGACAAGCATAGTGGGAGCTTCCACGCAAGATGCTGAGGCCATAAAAAAGAGTGCAGAGAAGAGCAACAAACATGATTAGGGGACTGGAGGCTAAAACATATAAGGAACAGTTGCTGGAATTGGGTATGTCTAGTTTAATGAAGAGAAGGGAGAGGGGGGACAGGATAGCAGTGTTCCAGTATCTCAGAGGCTGCCCCAAAGAAGAGGGAGTCAAGCTATTCTCCAAAGCCCCTGAAGGCAGGACAACAAGCAACGGATGGAAACTAATCAAGGAGAGAAGCAACCTAGAACTAAGGAGAAATATCCTGACAGTTAGAACAATTAATCAGTGGAATGGCTTGCCTTCAGATGTTGTGGGTGCTCCATTACTGGAGGTTTTCAAGAAGAGACTGGACAACCATTTTGCACAGGGTCTCTTGTTTGAGCAGGCATTGGACTAGAAGGGGGGACCTCCAAGATCCCTTCCAACTCTGATTCTGTGATTCTGAGTCTCCCTTTCCCGTTGTCTCCACACCAGCCAGGTAGTGGACCCACCCCTTCTCTCTCCTCCCCAGAACAGATTCCTTCCCACGTTGAGCGATGTGTGGAGAAGGCAATCCTTGTGTCTGTCGGAAGAGTGGATTCTAACCAGCCTGCTTGTTCTCCACCTAGGTTCATTTTGGATAACTCCACTCTGTTCCTCTCCAACAAATGTGAAGCAGAGACTGGTGACCTGAATAAAGGTAACCCCCCCCCTTATCTCCCCCTGCCCCATGCCTGCGATGGGCATTTTCTTGGGCAAACGGGCATCTCGTGAAAAAAGGTTGGTTGCAGTCAGCCTTAAGACAGGGGAGATGGCTCAGCCCAGGCGACTTTGCATTTTGAATATTATTTTTACTCTTGTTAACGTTTTTATTACAGTCCCCAAAGTCTTGGAATTACGATTTTCCCAGTTTCCAGCAAAAAAATGCCCATCGCAGACAAGGAATTTGCTTAAATTCTACAGCAGGGAATGTTCAACCTTGGCAACTTTTAAGATTTGTGGACTTCGACTCCCAGAATTCCCCAGCCGGCATGGCCTGCTGTAGAATTCTGGGAGTTGAAGTCCCCAGGTCTTAAAAGTTGCGAAGGTTAGACCACCACCGATCTACAAAGTTTGCTTAAAAACCACGGCAAAAAGGGTCATAAAATTGGGCGCAATCATGGTGACCTTTTATCGACTGCCACTTAACGATCGTAATGCTGGGCTCACTTTAACTGTCATAAGCCAAGGACTGCCTGTAAACTGGAAATTCCAGGTCTTACAGGTCTTCTTCCATCATGTTTCTTACTTAATAAGTTCCACTTTCATCTTTTCTCTCGGCCTAGATTATGTTTGCGTGGTGGAAATGGATCTCCTGGAACTGGTCATCACCACGTGGAAAGGAGACATAACTGGCAAACTGGTGGGTTCCTCGGGGCTGTATTTCCAAGGCTGGGCTCCAGGGCTCCCCTTGACTCTGTCTCCCTGATGTTTTTCCTTCTTCAGTTCTTTAATTAAAAAAAAAAACGGGAAACTTGCAGATAGCCAGGCAAAGCATTGGCTTCAGGCTTATTATTAAGTCAAGCTTTATTGATTTATTCTCCAAAGCAGTGGTTCTCAACCTTTTTAATGCTGCAACCCCCAACCGGTCGTAAGTCGAGGACTACTCAACCGGTCGTAAGTCGAGGACTACTCAACTGGTGCAGCACCGTTTGCAGAATGGGGCTTTTGGCAGGCTCAGCAGGGCAGAGACAGCCTGGACAATTCCTATTGGCTTTTGAAAGCCAATAGAATTAGACTCTATTCAAGAGAGTGGACTTTGACTCCCAGAATTCCTCAAGCAGCAAGAGGAGTGGACTTCAACTCCCAGAATTCCACAGCCAGCATGCTTTAAGTGTGTGAACTTCGACACCCAGAATTCCCCAGCCAAGCATGCTTTGAAATGAGTGAACTTCAACTCCCAGAATTCCCCAACCAGCATACTTTAGGGTGCCTGGGAATTGAAGTCCAATCTTCAAGTTTCCAGGGACGAGCAACACTGTCTTAGTGTATGATGGAAATCTGGTGGTCCCTGCAGTAAATGTTGGAGGTTTTCTTGACTTGCTCTGTGTGTGTGTGTCTCTCTCTCTCTCCTCCCCATGGTGCAGACCCGGCCCCTCTTTGAGTTACGCTGCTCCAACAACGTGGTCCACATCCACACGTGCGCTGACTCTTGTGCAGCCCTTGCCAACCTCATCCAGTACGTGGTCAACAACGGGGACCTGCACCCGCCACCTCAGCACGACAGCCCCACTGAGAGTGCGGGGCAGAAGGTGCAGGTAAGTCAAGGGGGGGGGCAGGGGGGACTCTGACCCTGACCCTTCCCTCTCTTGGTGGTAGACGTAGTCCTCAACATACGACCGCAATTGGGGCCAGAATTTTTCTTGCTAAGCCACGACGGTTGTTAAGTAAGTTGCGGCCGATCTTACGATCTTTTTTGCCATGATGGTTCAGCAAATCACGGCAGTTGTTAAGTGAATCGTTTAGTCATTAAGTGAACCTGGCTTCTTTCATTGATTTTCCTTGTCCGACGTTGGCTGGGACGGTTGCAAATGGTGATCACGTGACCTTGGATGCTGCCGCCGTCATAATCACATAGCCAGTTGCCAGGCGCCTAACCATGCGGATGCTGCAGTGGTCATAAACGTGAGGCTCCCAAGTCACTTTTTTCACTGCCGTTATAACTTCAAACGGTCACTAAACGATGTAAGTCAAGAACTACCTGTACAGGTAGTCCTCGACTTAACAACAGTTACAACAGCACTGAAAAAAAGTGATTTAGGACCATTTTCCACGCTTACAGTCTCTTGCAGCATCTCCGATCAAAGTTCAGACTCTTGGCAACTGACTCACACTTACAACGGGTCACACGATCCCGTTTTGTGACCTTCTAACAAGCAAAACCAGTGGGGAAGATAGATTCACTTAACAACCATGTTGCTAACTTTAACGGCAGTGATTCGCTTAACAACGATGGTAATAAAGATCGCAAAATGGGGGCAAAACTCACTTAACAACTGTCTCTCACTTAGCAATAGCAATTTTGGGCACCCTTGTGGTCATATGTTGAGGATTACCTGTGTATGTCCAGGGCTGAAGGGAATTCCTGTTGGGTTGAAGGAAACCCATCCCAAAGTATCTTCCTCGTTCCGTGCCACATCCCTTTGCGCACTCTCAGTGTGTGGCTCTTGTGCTCTGCTAGTTGCCCGAGAGCCCAGCTTCTCTGCCCACCTGTCCCCCGGCTGAGACGGCGGCCATCAACCAGCGGGACCTCACAGACGCCCTAATGGATACCGAACGTGGATACCTAGAGATGACCGGTGAGATGGGTGGGGAGCAGGGCAGGGCAGTTCTAGCTTGCCTACGCACAACACCTCACAACACCAGTGGCATTTCCAACTGCCATGGGTTTAACAATTCAGAAATTGGTCCCAAGGGTGCTTTTTCAGGGGGCAACTGGGCTTCCTTTGTTCTCTTTGAAGACGTTTCGCTCCTTGTCCAAGAAGCTTCTTCAGTTCCGACTGGATGGTGGGGAATGGAAGGATTTATACTCCTGGCAGACAGCTGGTCCTTTGCCTCCTTTTAGAGGGTCGTTGAGGTCACTTGGAGATTTATCTGTGTCCTCAGGATCCTCAACCACTTTCTAAAACAGTGGTTCTCAGCCTGTGGGTCGGGACCCCATTTGTGGTCGAACGACCATTTCACGGGGGTCGCCAAACAACGCAGTCCGCCATTTTCTTTTCCCCCTTTTCCTTAGCTGTGCTCCTCCCTTTTATTCTATTGGCTTTTGAAAGCCAATAGAAGAGACTCTCTTGAATAGAGTCTAATTCTATTGGCTTTCCAAAGCCAATAGGAATTGTCCAGGCTGTCTCTGCCCTGCTGAGCCCACCAAAAGTCCCAGTCTGCAAACGGGGCCGCACCCGTTGAGTAGTTCTCGACTTACGACCGGTTGAGTAGTCCTCGACTTACAACCGGTTGGGGGTCGCGCCATTAAAAAGGTTGAGAACCACTGTTCTAAAAGAAGGCAAAGGACCAGCTGTCTGCCAGGAGTATAAATCCTTCCATTCCCCACCATCCAGTCAGAGCTGAAGAAGCTTCTTGGATGAGAAGCGAAATATATTCAAAGAAAAACAGGAAAGTCCAGTTGCCTTCTGAAAAAAAAAAAAAAAACACCTTTGGGACAACCCTGACCTGGATGACTATGAATCTCCCTAGACCAGTGGTTCTCAACCTTTTTAATGCTGCGATCCCCAACCGGTCGTAAGTCGAGGACTACTCAACCAGTCGTAAGTCGAGGACTACTCAACTGGTGCAGCACCGTTTGCAGAATGGGACTTTTGGCGGGCTCAGCAGGGCAGAGACAGCCTGGACAATTCCTATTGGCTTTTGAAAGCCAATAGAATTAGACTCTAGTCAAGAGAGTCTATTCTATTGGCTTTCAAAAGCCAATAGAATAAAAGGGAGGAGCACAGCTAAGGAAAAGGGGGAAAAAATGGCAGACTGCGTTGTTTGGCGACCCCCGTGAAATGGTCGTTCGACCCCAAATGGGGTCCCGACCCACAGGTGGAGAACCACTGCCCTAGACAAATTTAAAGATTTGCAAGTTTTTAATTTCCCAGCCTTAGTTCCCCACTCTGAGATTTTTGGGTGTCTTCTGTCCAAATGACACTGAGGTTTTTTGAATAGGTATGGTGCTACAAGTTAGCCAGGCTTAGCTTTTCTTTTCTGGATCTAATAGAACAAATCCAAGAGGCTGCTTGCATCAGATGCGCAGCTACGTGGAGAGAGTCAATTTTCAGATGACAGGGATTATTGTTTAATACAGGGCTTTTCAACCTTTTCACCCATTGTACCACTTTTAGGATATGGCAACATCCGAGTACCACCAGTCGCCTAGCAAGGTGTCAAAAACTTGATGACACCCCCCCCAAAAGGAAAAAAGTGATAAAGTCCCGGTAGTCCTCAACTTACAACAGTTCACTTAGTGACTGTTCGAAGTTACAATGGCACTGAAAAAAGTGCCCCCCAAGCCACAGCCGAGCAAGACACCTGCCTGCCCACCCGGCTGCACTCTTCCTCCTGTCCGAGGTTTTCATTGTTGTGAGCATTTCTGTGGAGGATTGGCAGAGGGGGTAGGGTGGGGGGGTGTTTGGTTTTTACTCCCCCTGTCTGCTGGGTGGTTGCAGCAGGTTTTGGTCACTTCACATGACCCTGGGACACTGTGACCGTCATAAATACGAATCGGTTGCCAAGCATCTGAATGTAAATCACAAGACGCTGGAGATGCTGCAACATTCTAGCTGATTGGTGCTTCTTCTGGGCTCAGCAGAAGTGCCAGGATCAGTGCTTCTTTCCAGCTGATTGGTGCTTCTTCAGGGCTCAGCAGAAGCACCAGGATCAGCGCCGAGCTCCAGCTGGAGCCTGGCGCTGCTCCTGGCGCTTCTGCTGAGCCCTGACAGCCCCGAAGAAGCGCCAATCAGCTGGAAAATGGGACTGATCCTGGTGCTTCCGCTGAGCCCTGACAGCCCTGCAGCTCCAGCCGTCTCTCGCTCAGGCTTGTGTGGTGCTGCCCCCGGTTCAGCTCATTCCCCTCCCCTGCTACCACTTTTCTAAGATGGTCGCATACCACCTGCCAGGTGCCAATGTACCACAGGTGGTACCCGTACCACTGGTTGAAAAGCCCTGGTCTAACAGACAAACTGACATAAGGGATGTAGCCTTGCAGCTCACTGCAAACGTTGTGTGAAAGCAGCTACTCAATCCTCTTTTAAATGCTCTTTCCCAGGGGACTCCGGGATGAGGCGGCAGCCTTCACCAGTCTCGGTGTATCTCTTCCCCGGTGAGAAAGGAGTGGCAGGCCAGGGCAAAGCCCCCCTGCCCCCAGTGATCCCGGTGGGTGAGGGGCTTGACTTCACCCCTTCGGAGGACAGTGAAGGCGAGAGCGAAGCCACGGATGGTTTCTGCATTTTGGATGCGCCAGGAACGGGCATTCCGGTAAGGATCTGGCCATCTTTGGGTCTCCTTCGAGGGTTGCAATGGGAATGTTCTGAGAAAAGTTACTACAGAGTAAGCACCACAAAGAATGTTCTTTTTTTTTAATGTCCAAGTTTTTTATTTAATTTTCCAGTATTGCATTTACATATTTGAAAAGTAGCGTGGCGGTTGGGCATCGTAATTCCGTTACATTTAAATATCATCAGTACAAATCTCAAAAGTATTACAACAACAAATTCCCTCTCTTTCCCCCATAACAGTGGTTCTCAACCTGTGGGTCGGGATCCCATTTGGGGTCGAACGACCATTTCACGGGGGTCGCCAAACAATGCAGTCCGCCATTTTTTCCCCCTTTTCCTTAGCTGTGCTCCTCCCTTTTATTCTCTTGGTTTTTGAAAGCCAATAGAATTAGACTCTCTTGAATAGAGTCTAATTCTATTGGCTTTCAAAAGCCAATAGGAATTGTCCAGGCTGTCTCTGCCCTGCTGAGCCCGCCAAAAGTCCCATTCTTCAAACGGTGCTGCACCAGTTGAGTAGTCCTCGACTTACGACCGGTTGAGTAGTCCTCGACTTACGTCCGGTTAGGGTCATGGCATTAAAAAGGTTGAGAACCACTGTACTATCGTATTCAGATCAATACAGTTCTTGATCTGTCAATCAAACAAAAAATACCTTTCTAATATTCATCAATAATCTTCAGTCTATACGTATCTTAATTAATTTGACGTTCCATCTTTTAGACAACAACCTAATAAGTTTTTCACAAAGAACGTTCTCCCTGCGTCAACTCAGAAAGCTTCAATTGCCCCAAGGAACTGCTGATCCAGTTCTACAGAGGCATTATTGAGTCTGTCTTTTGTACCTCAATAATGGTCTGATTTGGCACCGCAACCAAACAGGCAGACATAGACGTCAACGGATAGTTAGGACTGCAGGAAGAACAATTACAACCAGCCTGCACGGGTCAGAAAGAGGCCTGAGAAAATATCTACAGCCCCCTCACAGCTTGGACACAAACTGTTTCAGCTGCTCCCCTCAGAGTGCTGCTATAAGGCATTACATGGCAAAACAACTAGACACAAAGACGTTCCCCCTCTCCCCGCCATGCCATCACTGTGCTGAACACCTAATTCCCACAGCACTATCTTAGGTCCAAGGATATTTACCCACGTAGTAGGGCTGTAGTAATATTATTATCCTTCCCATCTTTTTTATTCCCCCCTTTTATTGGTATCATTATTAGGATGATTATTACTCTGTTGCTTTGCATGTACACAGAGAGCTTCTGCACCAGAGAAAAATTGCTTGTGTGTCAAATCACACCTGGCCAATAAAGTGTTCTGTTCTATTCTGTTCCATTCCATATTCTAGTCTAGTCTAGTCTAGTTTAATCTATCCCATCCCATCCCATCTCATTATTTCTATTGCTATTATTTCTATTGTTACTATTTCTAATCCTATCCTATCCAACCCTACCCTACCCTACCCTACCCTACCCTACCCTACCCTACCCTATCCTATCCTATCTTATCCTATCCTATCCTTCCTTTGAGATGCTGGGATTTCTCAGTTTGGGTATTAAGCGGTCCCATTCATCTCAGTGGTTCTTAACCTGGGCGATATTGCCCCCCAGGGGACGATTTCATTTTTCAGGGGGGCGATGGAACAAAACGGGGCGAAGCGGGGGCAAAGGAATGAAAAGGGGGCGATATGGGGGCGATGAAGCGAGAAGTTTTGGGGACACTTTTGAGACTTTTTCGTACAGTGAATCGCTGCATATCTGTCGTACAAAAACATCAGATCGCTCGCTCTTAGTGGATTGAATTGTGTTTTCAAATGTTCCTCCAGCTAGCTTCAGTACAGAATGCCGTACATATGTGAATATGCATCGCTTGTCTTCATGCGCATTGTGCAGCAGCCTCTACCCATACAGTGGCGCGCCATTGGCCAGAATATGGGAGATATGGGGAAAAGACTGGAAATAAATTATTTGCATCGATATGTGCTGATGACAATTTTAAAGAAAACAAAAAAAGGGTTTGCATAAATTGAAGAATTCTTTCCTATGTTGTGATTGAGAGGTGATGTTGGGGGAGGGGGGGGCGATGACAACTCCCTCATTGGCTCAAGGGGGCGATTCGTTCAAAAAGATTAAGAACCACTGATCTAAACCAGTGGTGGCGAACCTATGGCACGCGTGCCGGAGGCGGCACTCAGAGCCCTCTCTGTGGGCACGCGAGCCGTTGCCCCAGTAGAGTTCGCCAGAGTAGCAAGCACGTGGCGTTTGGAAGCGACAGGACAGGAAGTGAGCGAGCAAGTGGCGTTTGCCCCCCCCCGGGGATGCCCCGGAGATGGCGACAGACTGGCCTCGGGCCACGCTCACCCAGTCTGCCATGACCATTGCAGCCACGCCCACCCAGTGCGCCATGCCCCCCCCCGCCTCCCCGAGGGCACCCCAATGCTGATGCAGCCCTGGCACTTTGCGATAAATAAGTGGGTTTGGGGTTGCAGTTTGGGCACTCGGTCTCTAAAAAGGTTCGCCATCCCTGATGTAAAAACTGATTTTTCCCCACGCAAAATGGACTAGATTCTGCAGGGAGTTGAGGTAGTGCCATCTCCATTAAAATAAATAAATAAATAAATTTTCATGTACTCTAGACCAGTGGTTCTCAACCTTTTTAAAGGTTTTAAGGGGTCCCCAGCAGCCCCACCCCACCATCTTTCCAGCGACAATCCCAGGCGTTACATTTCCACCCCCTTTTTCCTCACTGCCGGTGGAAGGGAGACTTCAGAGAGGAGTAGAGCAGTGGTTCTCAACCTTTTTAATGTTGCAACCCCCAACCGGTCGTAAATCGAGGACTACTCAACCGGTCGTAAGTCGAGGACTATTCAACTGGTGCAGCACTGTTTGCAGAATGGGACTTTTGGCGGGCTCAGCAGGGCAGAAACAGCCTGGACAATTCCTATTGGCTTTGGAAAGCCAATAGAATTAGACTCTATTCAAGAGAGTCTATTCTATTGGCTTTCAAAAGCCAATAGAATAAAAGGGAGGAGCACAGCTAAGGAAGAGGGGGAAAAAAATGGCAGACTGCGTTGTTTGGCGACCCCCGTGAAATGGTCGTTCGACCCCAAATGGGGTCCCGACCCACAGGTGGAGAACCACTGCTCTAGACCCTCTTCCAAATTTTGCCTATCGGCCTTCTCTCTCTCTCTCTCTCTCTCTCTCTCTCTGCAGCCGCGGGATGGGGAACCGGTGGTGACAAAGCTCTTGGACGGCCCGGTTCACATCCAGGAGGGCCACTTCTCTCGGCCCCTGGGCAGCACGGATTTATTGAAGGCCCCCTCGCACTTCCCGATGCCGGAGAGCCGAGTCGTGATGCGGGAAATTTCAGTGGTCTGGCATCTCTATGGGGGCAGAGATTTTGGGCCAGGGCGCTCGGCCTCTGGCCACATGCATTCACCCAGGTAACGCTTCCCTTCTGTGATCTGCATTCAGTTTTCATTCAACTTTCTAACCTGGGCTCGCTTTCCTGTTTTGAAGATAAATTGTTTGAGACAAAGATCTCTCTTTCATGTGGATCAGTGTTTCTCGGGTACAGGCAGTCCTCCTCGACTTAACGACAGTTCAAAGTTACAATAGCACTGAAAAAAAGTGACTTTGTCAACGCTGCCAATATTGTATATTCTTGCTTTGACATGGTATTTTTGGGATTAATACAGAGCAGAAGGGGGATGGGGGTACAGCCCGGGAAAGAAAGAGGAAGGAAACCTTTGACCTTCACACTAATTGGATAATGTGGTTTATGACAGCTAATTTAGGGAGGGAACATGATGATAATTTAACTGCTCAGAGGAAGAGAACTCAGATCTTAGCATAAAACTTCGTTATGCCTGTGCCGACATTTTGAAGCAATAAAAGACTTTTAGGGAAATCAATGCCTGGAAGAGAAGGACAAGGGGGGACATGATAGCAGTATTCCAATATCTCAGGGGCTGCTATAAAGAAGAGGGAATCAAGCTATTTTCCAAAGCACCTGAAGGCTGGACAAGAAGCAATGGGTGGAAACTAATCAAGGAGAGAAGCAACCTAGAACTAAGGAGAAACTTCCTGACAGTGAGAACAATTAATCAGTGGAACAGCCTGCCTCCAGAAGCAGTAAATGCTCCAACAATGGAAGTTTTTAAGAAGAGACTGGACAGCCATTTGTCCGAAATGGTGTAGGGTTTCCTGCCTGAGCAGGGGGTTGGACTAGATGACCTCCAAGGTCCCTTCCCACTTTACTACTACTATTATTAAGTTCTTTGAAGTGTTTCATTAGCCGGAACCATAACAGACTTATGACTGTTTTTCACACTTACGACTTTTGCAGTATCCCCGTGGCGACATAATTAAAATTTAGCCACTTGGCAACTGACTCGTTGTTTATGACAGTTACAGTGTCCCTGAGTCCCGCAATCCCGTTTGGCAACCTTCCGACAAGCTAAGTCAATGGGGAAGCCAGATTCACTTAACGACCGTGTTACTAGCTTAAGAACTGCAGTGATTCGCTTAGCGACCGTGACAAGAAAAAATTGTACAATGGGATAACATTTACTTAATAAACGTCTCCCTTAGCCACATACATTTTGGGGTCCGTTGTGGTCATACATCGAGGACTGCCTGTATAAGATGGGTGGGCTTCAATTCCACAGTCAGCAAAGCTGGAGAATTTTGGGAGTTGAAGTCCACCCGTCCTTACCGCGGCCAACTTTGAAAAGGCTGATGTAGGTGAAATTCCCTAATGCTGGCAAGAGATTGGTCAGCTCTTTGGGGAGAATATTAATAACATCCGATACCTGATCACCACTTCTTCCCAATTTCAGGACGAAATCAACCCTTCCCGGCACCCGTTCCTCCCCCTCTCGGTCTTCCGTGCCCGGCCGACCGCAGAGCTCCGGGCGGGCGCAAGGAGGCCCTGGCCGTATCCATGACCTGCTGATGGAGATCCAGCTTACAAAGGTGAGATGGGTAGGGGCCGCTGTGAAGGGGCGGGGCGGGGTGTCTGGTTCCCAAGCAGTTTTGGGGGCGGCCAGAAGAGACAGGCAGGAGCCTACCCACGTGCCAGCAGGGAAGAGGGAAAGGAAGCAAATGGGAAAGGGAAGAGAGAAACAGAGGAGGAGAAAAGGAGAGACAAGACAGAGAAAAGAGAGGAGAAAAGAAGCGAGAGGAGAGAAAAAAGAAAGAAGAGAAAAGGGAGAGAGAAGAGAAGAAAAAAGAGAAAGAGAAGAGAATAGGGAAGAGAAAGGAAGGGAAGGACAGAAAAGAGATGAGAAGAAGAAAAATGAGAGAAGAAAAGAAAGAAGAGAAGACGAGAGGAGAGAATGGAATGGAATGGAAAAGAATTTAATTGAATTGAATATATGGAATGGAATAGAATAGAATAGAATAGAATAGAATAGAATAGAATAATAGAATAGAATATAGAGTAGAGTAGAATATAGAATAGAATAGAATATAGAATGGAATGGAATAGAATATAGAATAGAATGGAATGGAATAGAATAGAATAAAATAATAGAATAGAATATAGAGTAGAGTAGAATATAGAATAGAATAGAATAGAATAGACTATATGGAATGGAATGGAATGGAATGGAATAGAATATAGAATAGAATAGAATATAGAATGGAATGGAATGGAATAGAATATAGAATAGAGGAGAATAGAATAGAATAGAATAGAATAGAATATAGAATAGAATATAGAATAGAATAGAATAGAATAGAATAGAATAGAATAGAATATAGAATAGAATAGAATAGAATAGAATAGAATAGAATAGAATAATAGAATATAGAGTAGAGTAGAATATAGAATAGAATAGAATAGAATAGACTATGGAATGGAATAGAATATAGAATAGAATAGAATATAGAATGGAATGGAATGGAATAGAATAGAATATAGAATAGAATAGAATATAGAATAGAATATAGAATAGAATAGAATAGAATAGAATAGAATAGAATATAGAGTAGAGTAGAATATAGAATAGAATAGAATAGAATAAATAGATTATATGGAATTAGAATAGAAATAAAGAATAGAATAGAATATATGGAATTAGAATAGAAATAAGGAATAGAATAGAATTAGAATTAAAATAGAATAGAATAGAATAGAATAGAATAGAGTCGGAGGGGAGGGGAGAGGAGGGGAGAGGAAAGGAGGGAGAATCCCTGGAAACAGATATATGCAGAGGGGCAATATTAGACAATGGTGGCAAACAAGAAGTATAGGCAGTCCTCACAACCATTCATTTAGCGACCATTGGAAAAAGCTACTTGTGATGGTCCCCACACTTACAACTGCCACAGCATCCCCATGGTTGTGTGTTTCTGATTGGGGGTGACACATGGTACCCCACTTAACAACTGCTCTGCTTAGTAATGAATGTTCTGGTCCCTTTTTGTCGTCATAAGTCGAGGACTACCTGCAGTGCCAGTTGCCAAGAGTCTGGATTTTATCACGTGACCACGTGTGGATGCTGCCGTGGTCATATGCGTGAGGACAGGACCTCTTAAGATATGTTTTTCCGTGCTGTTGTAACTTGGAACAGTCTATAAACAAACGGTCGTAAATTTAGGAGTCGATGTCGTGAAGATGCGCAAAGTAAGCCGGCATACATAGCTCGTATTGGGTCAATGACTCTGCCCTCTTCCTCTTTGATCTCAGGTGAGCTTCCAGCACGAATCCTACTCGGGGGATTCATCCGAGAAGCTGTCCGCGGAATCGGAGGAGCAGCCATTAGCCAGGCAGGTGTTCATTGTCCAGGAGCTGGAGATCCGAGACCGACTGGCCTCCTCGCAGATCAACAAGTTCCTCTACCTGTACAGCAGCGAACTCCTGCCCCGACGTGCCCATTCTAACATGGTAAGGACCGGATCTCCCTTTGGATCAGGGATCTGCCCATGGTAACCAAGGAGTGGTGAAGCTGCTGCCCTGCACCTTTGGTCAGAGCGAAGCAGCCCTGTTGGGGTTGGTGGGCCTGGCGCAGAAGAACGGAATAACTGCAGAATAACTCCATGCTCAAGCAAGAGACGGATGTGTCATTTCAAACGGATGTGTCAGAATCCAATTATATTTCATCTCTAGTTATCGACTATGGAAAACCCCATTTCTGCCCTCTCTGGATTCTGTGATACGATGAAGGGGAAGGGGGGTGAGCAAAGGGGCTTTATGGCCCTCACTTCCTTCATTAAAACTTCAAAAGAGACTGAATGTGGATGCCACCAAAAGGACTAATCATAACAATATGGCCATCGCCTTTCATCTACTCCTCTCTGAAGTCTCCCACTGGCAGTGAGGAAAAAGGCGGTGGAAATGTAATGCCTGGGATTGTCGCTGGAAAGATGGTGGGGTGGGGTGGGGCTGCTGGGGACCCCTTAAAACCTTGAACCGTAGGGCTTGGCCCCCAAGTCCTGTCTAGCACGCCTGCAACCATTTTCTCTTAATAAAGGATGCCTGTTGGAAGAGAGATTCCAAGAGTTCTGTCTTCTTAAGATGCAAAGTGGGGTGGGTCCTTACAGGATGGCTATCCAATCTCTTAAAAACCTCCAGTGATGGAGCATCCACGACTTCTGGAGAGAAGCCATTCCACTGGTTAATTGTTCTCATTGTTAGGAAGTTTCTCCTTAATTCCAGGTTGCTTCTCTCCTTGATTAGTTTCCATCCGTTGCTTCTTGTCCTGCTTTCAGGTGCTTTGGAGGATAGGTTGACCCCCTCCTCTTCTTTGGGGCAGCCCCTCAGATATTGGAAGAAGGCTATCATATCACCTCTAATTCTTCTCTTCATTAGATTATCCATGCCCGGTCCTTCCAACTGTTCTTCGTATGTTTTAGTCCCCAGGCCTTTAATCATCTTTGTTGCTCTTCTCTGCACTTTTTCTGGAGTCTCAACATCTTTTTTATATTATGGCAACCAAAACTGGATGCAGTGGGGAAAGACTCTGCTGGCCACTGTCAAAACACGTTGGCTGGGGCAGGTGGATAAATCACAAAACGGCTTGCCTCAAGGCATATCTATTCTTTTTTATGTATTTGATTTTTATCCCACCTTTATTATTGTTTATAAATAACTCAAGGCAGTGAAGATACCCAATACCCCTTCTTGCCCCTAATTCCCCCCCCCCAACAACTCTGTGAGGTGGGCTAGGCTGGGAGGGTAGCGCTTCTGCAAAAGATTCAAATCCAGAGAATCTGTAGGGCAGGGCTTCTCAACCTCGGCAACTTTCAGATGGGTGGACTTCAACTCCCAAGAACCCTAACCCTTCAAGTTGCTAAGAATGAGAAACACTGACTGGCTGGGGAATTCTGGGAATTGAAGTCCACCCTTTAAAACAGTGGTTCTCAACCTTTCTAATGCCGTGACCCCATAATACAGTTCCCCATGTTGTGGTGACCCCCAAGTGGGTGTGGCCACCAATAAGAGGGAGTAGGACAGCTAGGGAAAAGGGAACAAAATGGTGGACAGCATAGTTTGGCGACTCCCATGAAATGGTCGTTCGACCCCAAATGGGGTCCCGACCCACAGGTTGAGAACCACTGCTTTAAAACAAGAGAACGCCATATTTAAGGGAAAAATTTTTACAAAATGTTTTACAGGTGGCATTTGGATCCTAAAAAGTTGTCTTGTATGTATCCTAATTTACAGCCTAAATGTTGGAGATGTGATAGTTCTGATGCAACTTATTTTCATGTTTGGTGGACTTGTAAAAATATTAAGGCTTTTTGGATTATGATTTGGTGGAACATTCAAAAGATTTTTAAAAGGAAGATAAAGTTTACTCCTCAACTATTCTTATTAGGGATTTTTAAGGATGTTGATGTTAAAGAAACTATTTTAATGTTGAATCTAGTAACAGCAGCAAGGCTATTGATAGGTCAATATTGGAAGAAAGATTCGTTGCCTGCTATAGAAGAATGGACACTTAAGGTTTCTAATTTAGCAGAAATGGCAAAAATTTCTGCTTATTTAAAGGATCATACACAAGAAAGATATATTATGGTATGGAGAAGATGGATAGATTATATTCAGATTAAATATGGAACTAAAAAGTTCCATTTATTCTATGATTAAATTTTAAATAATAATTTAAATATTATTTAAATAATTTAAATAATAATTATTAGTAATTAGTAATTATTAGTAATTCCATTTTATAATGGAAATTATTTAGTTTATTTACTGTTATTATGGTTCTTTATAATAATTGTTTTGAAATGGATTTGTTTATAATATTATGATATTAAGGTTTAAAGGGAGTTAAGGGTTAAGTATGAATTTAGTTATTGTATAGTTTGTTAAATTTAATTAGATTTTGTTTAATATGTTTGTAATAACCCTGTACTCAGCTCTGGGAAGTGGGGGGGGGGAAGGGGGGGTTTGTGGGTTAAATTTTTTTGTTGTTAATTGTCAATAAAACTTTTTCAATAAAAAAAAACAAGAGAACGCCAACTCCCAAAAATTCCCAGCCAGTGTTCCCACTCTTAGCCATTTAAAAGTAGGTGGACTTCAACTCCCAGAATTCCCCAGTCAGCAATTCCAATTCTCTTCCCTCTTTTTTTTCCAGCTTACCATCAAAGCGCTTCACGTCTGCCCTGAAGCTGGTGGGGGGGGTCCCGAGTGCTGCTTGAGGGTCTCCCTGATGCCTCTCCGACTCAACATAGACCAGGTAAATGTTTTTATGGCTTCACAACCTCAGGCAGGTGTGTTGTGAGGCGGTGGATTACCTCTCCTTACCTGAACTGGGCAAAACTAACGTGGGCAAAGGAAAGGTGTCTGGATCCTTCCACTTTGCAGCTCTGAGAGACATTTCCAGCCTTCCTTGGGAAGGATAAGGGTATATGGAAAAGGTCTTGGGAAAATGGGTCGAGAAAGCCTGTCTAGGGAACAACTAGATAAGGGGCAGCTTAGCCGATAACTGTATAACGGGTGAAGAAAAAGACTTAGGAGAAACTCGCCCTAGTTTCTCAGGCTGTAAAAGAGACGGTGGGAGATTTGTATTTTCAGGCTTAACGAGATTCTATTAAGGTAGCTTTAGGGAAGAGTTGGATAAGAGTCTGCTTAGTCCTCAGCTGCATAATGGGAGGAGAAAAGGGCTCTCAGAAGAAACCCTAGTTTCTCAGGCTGTAAAAGAGACGGTGGGAGATTTGTATTTTCAGGCTTAACGAGATTCTATTAAGGTAGCTTTAGGGAAGAGTTGGATAAGAGTCTGCTTAGTCCTCAGCTGCATAATGGGAGGAGAAAAGGGCTCTCAGAAGAAACCCTAGTTTCTCAGGCTGTAAAAGAGATGGGGGGAGATTTGTATTTTTAGACCTACGAGATTCTATTAAGGTAGCTGTCATGGTTCTGACTAATGAAACACTTCAAAGAACTTCCAGGCATTTTATCCCAAAAAAGTCTTTTTATTTATGTGACAGAATGTCGGCCCAGGCATGATAAAAGGAATGCTAGGATCCGAAATCCCCATCCACCGAGCAGTTATTTTTGCTAGCATTTCCACTCCCTATTTTGTTGTCATGATTTCCGTTCCCCAATTAGTGTGAAGGGCAAAGGTTCCCTTCCTTTCCCTTCCCTGGCTTTTCCCTCCTCCCTCCTTCTTCTCTGCATTAACTCTAGAAATACCAGACAGTTCTGCATATTTTGTCAAAGCAAGAATATCCAATATTAGCAGTGTTGACAGTAGCAGTAGGGAAGAGTTGGATAAGAGTCTGCTTAGTCCTCAGCTGCATAATGGGAGGAGAAAAAGGCTCTTAGAAGAAACCCTCCCTAGTTTCCCAGTCTGTAAAAGAGATGGGGGAGATTTGTATTTTCAGACCTACAAGATTCTATTAAGGTAGCTTTAGGGAAGAGTTGGATAAGAGTCTGCTTAGTCCTCAGCTGCATAAAGGGAGGAGAAAAGAGCTCTCAGAAGGGGACCCTCCCTAGTTTCGCAGGCTGTAAAAGAGACGGTGGGAGAATTGTACTTTCAGACTTGAAAGATGCTATTAATGTAAGTACAGGGAGTCCTCTACCTACGACCACAATTGAGTCCAGAATTTATCTTGCTAAGTGAAAAAGTCGTTCAGTGAGTTTTCCCCCATTTGATCGCTTTCCTTGCCACATTTGTGAAGTGAATCGCTGCAGTTGTTCAATTAGTCACACGGTTGTGAAGCGAATCTGGCTTCCCCCATTGACTTTGCTTGTCAGAAGGTCACAAAAGGGGATCACGTGACACACACACACACGGACACTGTGAACTAGTTGTCAACCATCTGAATTTTGATCACGTGCCCATGGGGATGCTGCAAGAGTCATAAGTGTGAAAAAATGGTGATAAGTCACTTCTTTTCAGTGCCACTGTCACTTCGAACGGTCACTAAATGAACGGTTGTAACTTGAGGACTACCCGTAGAGTTAGCTCATTTGGTTGCGTTTCCTTTCTGGTCTACCTCAGAAGGTATCTGAGCTCCTTCCTCTCTTCTCTGCTCTGCTTCTCCTTCCAGGACGCCTTGTTTTTCCTCAAAGACTTTTTCACCAGCGTAGTGGCCAGCATCAATCCTGTCGTGCCCATTGAGGCTGGATCTGAAGGTACGTGGCCTTCATTACGTGGCCTTCTGGGTGAGCTAGGCCGGGGGCCCCCAACCTTTCTGGGTTGGCGGCCCGGAGGTGGGGGCAATAGTAATAGTAGTAAAGTTGGAAGGGACCTTGGAGGTCATCTAGTCCAACCCCCTGCTCAGGCAGGAAACCCTACACCATTTCGGACAAATGGCTGTCCAGTCTCTTCTTAAAAACTTCCAGTGTTGGAGCATTTACTGCTTCTAGAGGCAGGTGGTTCCACTGGTTAATTGTTCTCACTGTCAGGAAGTTTCTCCTTAGTTCTAGGTTGCTTCTCTCCTTGATTAGTTTCCACCCATTGCTTCTTGTCCTGCCTTCAGATACTTTGGAGAATAGCTTGACTCCCTCTTCTTTGGGGCAGCCCCTGGGATACTGGAAGACTGCTATCATGTCCCCCCTGGTCCTTCTCTTTGTTAAACTAGACATACCCAATTCTAGCAACCGTTCCTGGTGGTGGAGGTGCCTTTACGCCCACACACAAACGGGCTACGATTGCGCGCATGCGCAAACAGGGTAACAAGCACGTGCACAGGGCTCAGCTAGCCCTTGCGCGATGCCGTGTGAGGCTAGCAAGAGTGGGGGGGGGAGAGTGCACTTGCTGCACCGCTAGTGCGAGTGGGGTGTGTGCTCATGGCGATGCTAGTGCCTGCGTGATGCTGCAATGCTAGCAGAGGGGGGGGGGTGTGAGTGTGCATACGGGTGGGCACTGTCCAGCCACTCACGTGGCCCAGTGACCAACAGCTCACGTCCTGGTAATGGGCCGCAACGCACAGATTGGGGACCTCTTAGCTAGGCCACCCGGTTGGTAGAAAGGGATACTGGGAATGTAGTTTGGCCCTGGCATGTGCTGGTTTCCCCACCTCCCAGCCTGTTCTCCGCATTTGTCTTTGTCTGGGTGCTTGTCTCCACTCCTGGGTGCACAGAGGAGGGTTGGGAGGACTTTTGTGGGACAAGACGGGCTTTCAAAAACAGATCACCCCCTCCAGGTCCTGCTGAATCCCCCGGGAAGGACTCAGCCGAGAGGATGATGGCGACTTCGGTGGAGACCACGACCAGCGAAAACAGCTCCAGTGCCTCCTCTTCTTCCGAGCAGCCCATTTATTTCCGGTATGGATGCCAGCAGGGATGGGGAGGGGGGAGTGGATGGGAAGGGGATTGTAGGGGTGAGAAAGTGGATGGGACCCCCACGCTGGAACCAACGACACTCCTCCAGAGTTCAGATCTAACGCCTTCTCAATGTGGACGTCAACTCCCGGAATTAAAGCGGATTTTCCATGGAAGTTGGGAGTTGAAAACTTTGATGCACAAAGTGTCCCCTTCTTTCCCGGACTCCCAAAGATGGGAAACACTATCAAATCAGCTATTTTTCTCTCTTTTTCCCCAGAGAGTTCCGGTTCACCTCCGAGGTCCCATTTGGCTGGATTACCACGGAAACACGTCACCGTGGACCAGGTGGTGGGTAGCTAAGCACGCCAAGCCCCTTGCCCCCAAATTAACAAAAAAATAAATAAATGACAGAATAAGAGAATTGGCAGAGGCCTTGGAGGTCATCTAGTCCAACCCTCTGCTCAAGCAGGAGACCCCATGCCATCCCAGACAAATGGCTGTCCAATCTCTTCTTAAAAACCTCCAGGGATGGAGCACCCACAACGTCCGGTGGCAAGCTGTTCCACTGGTTAATTGTCCTCCCTGTTAGGAAGTTTCTTCTTAATTTCAGGTTGCTTCTCTCCTTGGTTAGTTTCCATCCGTTGTTTCTTGTTCTGCCTTCAGGGGCTTTAGAAAATAAGTTGACAGCCCCTCAGGTCACCCCAGTCCTTCTTTTAATTAAACTAGTCCAGTGGGTCTCCACCTGTGGGTCAGGACCCCATTTGGGGTCGAACGACCATTTCACGGGGGTCGCCAAACAACGCAGTCCGCCATTTTTTCCCCCTTTTCCTTAGCTGTGCTACTCCCTTTTATTCTATTGGCTTTTGAAAGCCAATAGAATAGACTCTCTTGAATAGAGTCTAATTCTATTGGCTTTCAAAAACCAATAGGAATTGTCCAGGCTGTCTCTGCCCTGCTGAGCCCGCCAAAAGTCCCATTCTGCAAACGGTGCTGCACCAGTTGAGTAGTCCTCGACTTACGACCGGTTGAGTAGTCCTCGACTTAACGACCGGTTGGGAGTCGCGGCATTAAAAAGGTTATTCATATGAGTTACGTATCACATGCAAACGTTTAACTTATTTAGAATAAGAAGAGAATAGAAGCTGGAAGGGACCTTGGAGATCCTCTAGTCCAGCCCCCTGCTCAAGCAGGAGAACCTATACCATCTCAGATTTATTTTATTCATTTATATTTCACATTGCTCCAGTCTCTCTCAAAACAGGGACTCTGGACGATAGACAAGAAAACATCAAACTCTGAAAAGAGGATATAAAAATAAAAAGGCTGGGAATTAAACGTTTTAAATTTGATAACCAAATTTTACCTTCTGGTGGCTTCTTGTTCCCGCCAGGGCACCTTTGCCGGCATCCTGATCGGATTGGCTCAACTCAACTGCTCCGAGCTGAAACTGAAGAGACTCTGCTGTCGCCACGGGTAGGGACCCTCCTCCATTCCTTAGGGGTCAGGGATATGTGGGGCTGGCTTCCACAAGACATGGCCAGGGAAGAGGGTGGGTTGCAAAGGCAGCAGGCTGTCTGACCCTCTTGTTTTTTTTTACAAATTTTATTTATAATACAGTTAAAAACAAACAAACATTGGATTTGACGTGACATTCCAGTATATACATTCTTATCAGATTATTCCTTCTTGTTTTTTAAGGTGTTTTTTTTTCTTGCTTGATTTATTTCTCTAAAACACACACACACACATACACACAACTGCGAGGTGGCGCAGCAGTTAGAGTGCAGTCCTGCAGGCCACTTTAGCTGACTGTGTTCAGCAGGTCAGCGGTTCAAATCTCACCGGCTCAAGGTTGACTCAGCCTTCCATCCTTCCGGGGTAGGTAAAATGAGGACCCAGATGGTTGGGGGCAACGTAAATATATATATATATATATACATTGCTTACTGGTGTACACCGCTTAGAGAGTGCTTGCCCTTAAAGCAGTATATAAGTCTCATAAATAAATAAATAAATAAACTTGTTTAACCAGGATAGGTTAAACCAGTGATGGCGAACCTTTTAGAGACCGAGTGCCCAAACTGCAACCCAAAACCCACTTATTTATCTCTGGGAGACCAGGTGGACGTGGCCCACTATGTGGGCGTGGCTGTGGTAGTCATGGCAGACTGGGTGGGTGTGGCCAAGGTGGGTGTGATCACCTTGATGTTGCTCGTGGGGAGGGACACCTGTGGGGGCCGGGCAAGGTTGGGGGAGATCCAGGGGGTCTTTGGCAGGTGGGGCGGTGGGCAGGAGGCTCGTCCTGTGGGATGAGGCGAGGCAGGGCAGGGGTGCCATTGTCACAGGGCAAGGCGAGGCAGGGGCACCATCAGCCCCCGCACACAGAGGCCAGCGAGCGCATGGGTGCTGGGATTATCAGGCCACGTGGGACCTCGGCGAGTTAGCAGGCGGCTGGCTGAAGAGGGACAGTAGCCATCTCTGGGGCATGGCGCACGTGCCCACAGAGAGGGCTCTGAGTGCCGCCTCTGGCACCCGTGCCATAGGTTCGCCACCACTGGGTTAAGCACACATACACACAAACAGTGTCATGCGTATTAATTGAGTTCTTTGAAGACCTCAGAGTGTTGGAGGAACATACAACCACACTTTAGCAGCTCTATTCACAACATGTTTACAGTAGAATAGAATAGAATAGAAGAGAAGAGAATAGAAGAGAATAGAACAAATTACAAAGAATAGAATAGAATAGAATAGAATAACAGTAGAATAAACTAGGAATGGAATGGAATAGAATAGAATAGAACAGAACAAATTACAAAGAATAGAATAGAATAGAATAGAATAATAGAATAGAATAGAATAGAATAGAATAGAACAGAACAGATTACATAGAATAGAATAGAACAGAACAGAATTACAAAGAATAGAATAGAACAGAACAGAACAGAATAATAGAATAGAATAGAACAGAACAAATTACAAAGAATAGAATAGAACAGAACAGAATAGAATAGAATAATCTTTTTGTCACTTTGGCATACATTAAAATGAAATGTTGCTGCATACAGCTCTCAAAGGATCACCACCTCCGACATATACTACATAAATATGACAAAAATAAATAATACAGAATTATGCATATACTAAACTCATACAATTATATGATTATTCTCATTGTGGAACAGAATGGTTTTCTGGGCATGACAAAAAGCAGAAATAGAAATAATTTCAGCTTTTTTGTTAAGCCCAGAAAACCATTTTTTGTTCTATAATCACAATAAACATGTTGTGTGAATAGAGTTGCTTGGCTCGGCTGCAGTTCAGACAAGGCTTCTTGCCATGCTATGTTGCTGGCCCTTAGCCAGTTTGGGGCCAGCCCACCCCAAATGCCCCATTTTAACCGATCCGGGAGGCCAATCCGAGTCCACCAGGAAGGCGAGATTAAAATCAGACCGCTGATTTACAGTCACAATTGAGCCCAAATTTTCTGTTGCTAAGTAAGGCGGTTGTTAAGTGAGCTGCGCCCCATTTGACAACATTTAGCCACCATTGTTAAGCAAATCGCAGCTGTTGTTAAGTGACTCCTGCAGTCGTTAAGCAAAGCTGGCTTCCCCCATTGACTTTGCTGGTTGGAAGCTGGCTGGGAACGTTCGCCAAAGGGGATCACGTGACCTTGGGATACGGCAACCATCATAAATATGGGTCAGTTGCACCCAAATTTTGACGCTGTGGCCATGGGGAGGCTGTAACGTTCATAAGGGTGAAAACTCTAGTGCCGTTGTAACTTTGAACGGTCACTAAACAAGTAGCTGTAACTTGAGTACAGGTAGTCCTCAACTTACAACAATTCGTTTAGTGACCATTCAAAGTTACGTCACTAAAAAAAGTGACTTATAACTGTTTTTCACACTTACGATTCTTGCACCTTCCCCAGGTCATGTGATCAAAATTCAGATGCTTGGCAATTGACTCACTTTTATGACGGTCGCATTGTCCCGGGCTCACGCGATCCCCTTTGGCGACTTTCTGACAAGCAAAGTCAATGGGGAAGCAGATTCACTTAACAACCGAGTGACTAAGTCAGTGGTTCTCAACCTTTTTAATGCCGCGACCCCCAACCGGTCGTAAGTCGAGGACTACTGAACCGGTCGTAAGTCGAGGACTACTCAACCGGTCGTAAGTCAAGGACTACTCAACTGGTGCAGCACCGTTTGCAGAATGGGACTTTTGGCGGGCTCAGCAGGGCAGAGACAGCCTGGACAATTCCTATTGGCTTTTGAAAGCCAATGGAATTAGACTCTATTCCAGAGAGTCTATTCTATTGGCTTTCAAAAGCCCATAGAATAAAAGGGAGTAGCACAGCTAAGGAAAAGGGGGAAAAAAATGGCGGACTGCGTTGTTTGGCGACCCCCGTGAAATGATCGTTCGACCCCAAATGGGGTCCCGACCCACAGGTGGAGAACCACTGGACTAAGTGAAGAGCTGCAGTGATTCACTTATCAACGGTGGCAAGAAAAGTCGTAAAATGAGGCAAAACTCAAGTTCACAACTGTTTCACTTAGCAACAGAAATTCCAGGCCCCATTGGGGTCGTAAGTCAAGAACCACCTGTACCACCTGCACATTCCCCCACGTCTCTCTTTCCAGGCTGCTGGGGGTGGAGAAGGTGGTCCACTACGCCCTGACCGAGTGGCTGACCGACATTCGCAAAAACCAGCTGCCGGGCATCCTGGGCGGGGTGGGACCCATGCACTCCTTCGTGCAGTTGTGTAAGTGACCCCTCTGTCCAGCTGTTTGGCAGGGAGTGGAGGGGTGGGTGGGTGGGTGGTACGGCTTTCTTCTCATCCCCCTCTCTTTTCTCTCCTCCTCCCCCCCCAAGTCCACGGCCTGCGGGACCTCTTCTGGCTGCCCATCGAGCAGTACCGCAAGGACGGGCGCATCATCCGTGGTCTGCAACGTGGCGCCGCCTCCTTTGGCACCTCCACCGCCTCGGCGGCCCTGGAACTCAGCAACCGCCTAGTGCAGGCTATTCAGGTTTCTGGGGAGGGGTCTGCGAGGGGAGGGAGGGGTCTGCCAAAGCCCAGCCCAAAATGGTGGGGGTGGCTGAATCTAGACCCAGAGTGGGCAACTACGGTAGCTGTACTACCTGTAGACTTCAACTCCCAGAATTCTGCAAGTTGAAGTCTACAAATCATAAAGGAGCCATAGCTTTTTGGCTCGGGAATTCTGGGAGTTGAAGTCCACGAATCATAAAGGAGCCATAGCTCCTTAGCTCGGGAATTCTGGGAGTTGGAAATCTACAAATCATAAAGGAGCCATAGCTTTTTGGCTGGAGAATTCTGGGAGTTGAAGTCCACAAATCATAAAGGAGCCATAGCTTTTTGGCTCGGGAATTCTGGGAGTTGAAGTCCACAAATCATAAAGGAGCTGTAGCTTTTTGGCTCGGGAATTCTGGGAGTTGAAGTCCACAAATCATAAAGGAACCATAGCTCCTTAGCTCGGGAATTCTGGGAGTTGAAGTCCACAAATCATAAAGGAGCCATAGCTCCTTAGCTCGGGAATTCTGGGAGTTGAAGTCCACAAATCATAAAGGAACCATAGCTCCTTAGCTCGGGAATTCTGGGAGTTGAAGTCCACAAATCATAAAGGAGCCGTAGCTTTTTGGCTCGGGAATTCTGGGAGTTGAAGTCCACAAATCATAAAGGAGCCATAGCTCCTTAGCTCGGGAATTCTGGGAGTTGAAGTCCACAGGTTATATAGTCGCCATAGTTGCCCACCCTTGACCTAAACCCACAGTCTGCCCCTTCTCAGTGGGAAACTTAGCCCTCCCCTCCCTATAGATGGCCGAGCTTCCCCTCTCTCTCTCTTTTCCCCCCCCCCAGGCCACCGCCGAGACCGTCTACGACATCCTGTCCCCCACGGCTCCCCCGTCACGCGCTCTACCAGATAGGAAGTACGCCCGCAAACTACGACGGAGCCATCAGCCGGCAGATCTACGTGAAGGGGTGGCCAAGGCCTACGACACCGTGCGCGAGGTGATGCTCCTTGGGGTGGGGAGGAGAGACTTAGCTCCATTTTGGGCTATGGGGGGTTTGACATCCTCTTTCCATTCCCCCTCCCCTTGTATTCAATTATGTTTGGTTTTCGGAGACCCCCTGGACAAATCCCTGCTGGTTTTGGAGCAAGGTTTTTCAGAAATGGTTTGCCATTGTCTCAGAGACAGTGAGCGGTCCAAGGTCACCCAGCTCAGCTGGACTAGAACTCCCAGGTTTTTAGTTGGGTGCCTTACCAACAATATCTGACTGGTTCTCATCATTTTAAGCGAATCCACACAACCAATAAGTCAGTCTGCCATCGTCGAGCGAGCCTGTTGTTCCCTTAACAAAATCGGCGGGAGATGAGAGTTTTTCGCAAAAAATATTGTGATTTGCAGTCACGGGACTGCCCACTGCTACAACTGGTGTACACACTGGCCAGTTGATAAGCTCCCGAAATGCAGTCATGTCACTGCAGAACTTTGGAACCAAGTAAATAAGAACCTTCCGGGGGTCATTCAAACAGTCTCTAAGTGGCTGGTCATAAGTTGGGGACTGTCATTATGTTTCATGTTTTCCACTGCTGCATATTCTCCAGTTTTAGTCTCTAGGACAGTGGTTCTCAGCCTGTGGATCGGGACCCCATCTGGGGTCGAACGACCATTTCACGGGGGTCGCCAAACAACGCAGTCCGCCATTTCCCCCCCCCCCCCTTTTCCTTAGCTGTGCTCCTCCCTTTTATTCTATTGGCTTTTGAAAGCCAATAGAATAGACTCTCTTGAATAGAGTCTAATTCTGTTGGCTTTCAAAAGCCAGTAGGAATTGTCCAGGCTGTCTCTGCTCTGCCGAGCCCGCCAAAAGTCCCATTCTGCAAACGGTGCTGCACCAGTTGAGTAGTCCTCGACTTACGACTGGTTGAGTAGTCCTCAACTTACAACCGGTTGGGGGTCGCGGTATTAAAAAGGTTGAGAACCACTGCTCTAGGATAATACTTTGCTCTCAATCATAGAACATAGAACTGGTTGGAAAGGACTTTGGGGGTCTCTTACTCCAACCCCCTGCCCAAGCAGGAGACCTAATACAGGTTGTCTTCAACTTAAACCATCTGTTTAGTGACCGTTCAAAGTTACAACAAGCACTGAAAAACGTACCTTAGGACCATTTTTCCTACTTAAGACCGTTGCAGCATCTCCGTGGTCTCCTGATCAAAAATCGGACGCTTGGCAACTGACTCATAGTTATGACGGTCGCAGCGTCCCGGGGTCACACTGTCCCCTTTTGGGACTTCTGATAAGCAAAGTCAATGGGGAAGCTAGATTCATTTAACAACCGGGTTACTAACTTAACGACTGCAGTGATTCACTTAACAACTGGGGCAAGAAAGGGTCATACAATTGCAAAATTCACTGAACAGATTCCTTCGCAACAGAAATTTTCAGCTTGATTGTGGTCGAGGGAAAACCTGTGCCCTCTATCCCAGTGATGGCAAACCTTTTAGGGACCGAGGGTCCAAACTGCAACCCAAAACCCACTTATGCATCGTCGGGTGCTGAGTGGGCGTGGCCCATTGGGTGGGTGTGGTCCACTGGGTGGGCGTGGCTGCGGTGGTAACGGCAGACTGGGTGGGACTAAAAAAGTTCAATCAATTCCAACTTTGCAAGATCTTTTTTTTTTTCCCGCGAGGGGTTGAAATTGATTGATTTAACCCAGTGGTTCTCCACCTGTGGGTCGGGACCCCATTTGGGGTCAAACGACCATTTCACGGGGGTCGCCAAACAACGCAGTCTGCCATTTTCCCCCCCTTTTCCTTAGCTGTGCTCCTCCCTTTTATTCTATTGGCTTTTGAAAGCCAATAGAATAGACTCTCTTGAATAGGAATTGTCCAGGCTGTCTCTGCCCTGCTGAGCCCGCCAAAGGTCCCACTCTGCAAACGGTGCTGCACCGGTTGAGTAGTCCTCGACTTATGACCGGTTGAGTAGTCCTCAACTTATGACCGGTTGGGGGTTGCGGCATTAAAAAGGTTGAGAACCACTTATTTAACCTTTTTTTTGGGGGGCACATGGCGGAGCCCTAAAGCGAAAAAGTTTTATAAAACTCAGCTAAAGGCCTAGGACTGGGGCGACGGCGCGCGTGCCCACAGAGCGGGCTCTGCGTGCCGCCTCTGGCACCCGTGCCATAGGTTCACCACCACTGCTCTACCCCCAACCCAGAGGTCAAACGGAGGGACCCTCCTGTCCATCGCTGCCTCCAATTCCTCTTTCCTGTCTCCCCCCAGGGCGTCATAGACACGGCCCAGGCCATCTGCGATGTGGCTGCCCGTGGGCACGAGCAGAAGGGCATCACGGGGGCCGTGGGCGGCGTCCTGCGGCAGATCCCTCCCACCGTGGTCAAGCCGCTGATCGTGGCGTCCGAGGCCACCTCCAACCTCCTGGGCGGGATGCGCAACCAGATCAAACCCGATGCGCTGAAAGAAGAATCCCTCAAGTGGCGCTTGGAAGAGAGCCAGGATTAGCGGGGTGCTGCTTTGCTCGCCCCGGATCCAAACCGCGTAGCCAGGCCCGCTTCATTTGCACAGCCACAGAGGAGATGGCCACAACTGTGAGAAAAGGGGGCTTCAGTAGGGCCTAAAGATTGGGGACATGAGCCCACCTACCCACCCACCGGATCCCGCCGTCCGTGAGGGGTCTGCAGCCAACTCCTCCCGCCTCGCCCTTGTTTCTGTACTTTTGGGGGTCTTCCGCTGTCCCCCGTTTGTTGCATGGTCTGCAGCTGCGTTCTCTCTCCCCAAAAACACTGGGGGGAGAGGAGCAGGAGGGCAGAGAAAAATAACTGAGATTAAAGAATGTGACTTGTTTTCACCTCTCGCTTGCTTGGATGGGCCGGCCAGGATGCCAGATCCTGGTTTAAGGGTTCTCTGGATTAGGGCCAGCCCAGCGTTTGCACTCACCCCTGATCTTTTGGGATCTGTGTGAAAGGAAGAGGAACAGCTGGGTAGGTCAGGCCAGCACCCTGCGCGCCATTGCTCTTGGGTAACAAGTGTTGTGGCCGTTCTTTTCGCAAAGGACTTGAGTTCGAAAGAGTTGAGCCGACAATCCTGCAGTTGCCTAAATACCATCTGACTTTTGGGACCTTCCAGGTATTCGCACCCGCTTAGCATATCCTGAGATCCAGCTCACAAAATCAAGGCAAAAGATGGTTTATTGTTGGAGGGCAAATGTGTGACGTATCCAATTAAGGTTGTTTTTTTTAAAACTGAGTTTCTTTAACCCTAGCTTTGCTTAAAATCCAATCCATGGTGAGTTAATTTTGACATGGTTAGCTTAGCCAAATTTCCTGGATTTTGAGGATCTTTCGATTTGTATGGTGCTGACCTGAAGTGGACACTTTATTCCACGTCTCACTAGTGCGGTGTAAAGCAGTACAGGTAGTCCTCGACTTACAACACAGTTCATTTACTGACCGTTCAAAGTTATGACAGCACTGGAAAATGTGACTTAACAATCGTTTCCCACACTCACAACCGCTGCAGTATCTCCATGGTCAGATGATCAAAATCCAGATGCTTAGCAACTGATTCATATTTATGATGGTTGCATTTACCGGGGGTCACCCCTTTTGTCAATGGGAAAGCCAGATTCACTTGGCGACCGTGTTACTAATTTAACAAATGCAATGATTCACTTAACCACCGGGGCAAGAAAAGTCGTCGTCCCCCCCCCGTTCTGTACCTATGAATTTGGTTTTTCCTACCTAGGTGCAGAATCTCACTTTTCTCACCAATGAACTGCACATTTTTGGACAGGACCCGGTGCTCAAATCTGTCAAGATCTTTCTTGGATCTTCATCCCAACTTCCAAAGTGTTAGCAAAGTTGCAGCTTGTCTGCAAATTGGATGGTTTCCCTTTCTCTCCGCTAGATCATTTACAGCAGTGGTTCTCAACCTGTGGGTCGGGACCCCATTTGGGGTCGAACGACCATTTCACGGGGGTCGCCAAACAAGGCTGTCCGCCATTTTTTTCCCCTTTTCCTTAGCTGTGCTCCTCCCTTTTATTCTATTGGCCTTTGAAAGCCAATAGAATAGACTCTCTTGAATAGAGTCTAATTCTATTGGCTTTCAAAAGCCAATAGGAATTGTCCAGGCTGTCTCTGCCCTGCGGAGCCCGCCAAAAGTCCCAGTCTGCAAACGGTGCTGCACCAGTTGAGTAGTCCTCGACTTACGACCGGTTGAGTAGTCCTCGACTTACGACCAGTTGGAGGTCGCGGCATTAAAAAGGTTGAGAACCACTGATTTACAGGCTAGGTCAGGTGAAAATGTGGTTTGCTTGACGATTGTAAGGACCCACCCCACTTTGCATCTTAAGAAGGCAGAACTCTTGGAATATTTCTTCCAACAGGCATCTTTATTAAGAGAAGATGGTTGCAGGCGTTCTAGACAGGACCTGAGGGGCCAAGCCCTACAGTTCAAGGTTTTAAGAGTTCCCAAGCAGCCCCCACCCCACCATCCTTCCAGTGACAATCCCAGGCGTTACACATTTCCACCCCTTTTTCCTCACGGCCGGCGGGAGACTTCAGAGAGTAGTAGATGAAAGCTGATGGCCATATTGTTATGGTCAGTCCTCTTGGTGAGATCCACATTCAGTCCCTTTGAAGTTGTAATGAAGGAAGTGAGGGCTACAAAGCCCCTTTGTTCACCCCCCTTCCCCTTCATCGTACGACAGAATCCAGAGGGGGCAGAAATGGGGTTTTCCATAGTCGATAAAGCAGAGACATCACCCTGCCAACAAAAGTGCGTGTAGTCCAGGCCATGGTTTTCCCAGTTGCAATGTATGGCTGTGAAAGTTGGACCCTAAGAAAGGCTGAGCGCCAAAGAATGGAGGCCTTTGAACTCTGGTGCTGGAGAAGACTCCTGCGAGTCCCTTGGACTGCAAGGCGTTCAAACCGGTCAGTCCTAGAGGAGATCAGCCCTGACTGCTCTTTAGAAGGCCAGATCCTGAAGTTGAAACTCAAGGACTTTGGCCACCTAATGAGAAGGAAGGACTCCCTGGAGAAGGGCCTGATGCTGGGAAAGATGGAGGGCAATAGAAGAAGGGGACGACAGAGAATGAGATGGCTGGATGGAGTCACTGAAGCAGTAGGTGTGAATTTAAATGGACTCCAGAAGATGGTAGAGGACAGGAAGACCTGGAGGAACATTGTCCATGGGGTCGCGATGGGTGGGACACGACTTCGCAATTAACAACAACGAGAAAAAAGGACTCACTGGAGAAGAACCTAATGCTGGGAAAGGTGGAGGGCAAGAGAAGAATGGAATGACAGAGAATGAGATGGCTGGATGGAGTCACTGAAGCAGGAGGTGTGAACTTAAATGGACTCCAGAAGATGGTAGAGGACAGGAAGACCTGGAGGAACGTTGTCCATGGGGTCGCGATGGGTGGGACACGACTTCGCAATTAACAACAACGAGAAAAAAGGACTCACTGGAGAAGAACCTAATGCTGGGAAAGGTGGAGGGCAAGAGAAGAATGGAATGACAGAGAATGAGATGGCTGGCTGGAGTCACTGAAGCAGTAGGTGTGAACTTAAATGGACTCCAGAAGATGGTAGAGGACAGGAAGACCTGGAGGAACGTTGTCCATGGGGTCGCGATGGGTCGGACACAACTTCGCAATTAACAACAACAACAACAAATAGTCGGTAACTAGAGATGAAATATAATTGGATTCTGACAACGATGGTGTTTACACAATGTCCCAAACCCACTTCCTGAATGGACCCCGAGGCCAACAGAAGGCCCTGGTCATTCAGCAGGCAAAGCTAAACCCAAGCTAACCAGACTTGGCCAGCTTTGCAGAGGCAGCTGCTAGCCCAGGATTGGCAACCTTGGCTCTTTTATGACTCGTGGACTTTAACTCCCAGAATTCCTGAGCCAGCTCAGGAATTCTGAGAGTTGAAGTCCACAGAGTCATAAAAGAGCCAAGGTTGCCTATCCCTGTAGCCAGACCTTGCATCTGACCTTGTTAAGCTGTTGCACAGACGTAACCGGACTTGAGTCAGATGTAGGAAAGGGTTAGTGAAGGGAGGGGGTGGTACAAATAGTCCTCAACTTACAACTGTTTGTTTAACGTCAGTTTGAAATTACAGTACTTGCAACCAGTCCTCACACTTATAACCACCGTTTTATCCCCAGTCACGTGATCCGAATTTGGGCTCTTGGCAACCGGCGTGTATTTGCACCGGTTGCAGCATCCTGGGGTCGCCATTTGCCATCTTCCCAGCCAGCTTCCAACAAGCAAAGTCGGGGAAGCCAGATTCACTTAGCGACCATGTGATTCACTTAATGACTGCAGTGGTTTTCTTAACAACTGCAAAAAAAAAAAAAAGAAGTCAGGTCACAGGATGGCTTACTTAACATGGCTTACCGAGGGATGTCCCAGTCCCAGTTGTGAACATAATTTGAGGACTCTTTGCAAACTTATTCAAAGTTTCTACAGATGGTCTGACTTACAATAGTTCATTTAGTGAGCGTCGGAAGTAACGACGACAATGAAAAAAAATGACCATTTGTCACACGACCGTTGCCGCATCTCCGTGGTCACGTGAACAAAATGCAGGTGTTTGGCCGCTGACTCGTATTTATGACGGTCGCAGTGTCCCAGAGTCACGGGATCCCCTTTTGCGACCCGCCTAGAAAAGTCAACGGGGAAGCCAGATTTTACTTCACAACCCAGTGGTAACAGCTGTTAACGATTCACTTAACGACTCTGGCAAGAAAGGTTGTAAACTGGGAGAAAACTCAACGCGTGCCTCACTTAGGAGCAGAAACGGGCTCCATTGTGGTCGTAACTGGAGGACTACCTGTATGATGGTAAAGGTTCTGCTTCTGGAGCAGGGGGCTGGACTAGAAGACCTCCAAGTCCCTTCCAGCTGCTGTTCTACTCTACGCAACGTGAGCGCTGAGACTGGCCGGCAGAGGGCAGCCTGGCGCCATCCTAAAGGCATCTGAGAAAGAAGCTTCTGGTTTTTGGAGATTCCCTCCCACCCCCCCCACCCCTCCTCCATGCAGTCGCTCAGCCCCTTTCCTGTTAACAGTAGAAACCCAGAAGGCTGTTCCTCCTTGCTGCTCCCCTCCCTGCTCAGCCAGCACAAGCCATCCATGCTGTAGTTTTGCACTTTTCTTGCCTGCCTGGGCAACCCTTGCAGGAACTGGCTATGTCTGGTCTGGTGAAAAGAAGGACCAGGTGTGATAGGACAGCCTCTTCCAATATTTCAGGGGCTGCCACAGAGAAGAGGGGTCAAGCACCAAGAAGGACAAGAAACAATGGTTGGAAACTGATCAAGGAGAGACGCAACCTGGAATTAAGGAAGACTTTCCTGACAGCGAGGACAATTAACCAGTGGAACAGCTTGCCACCAGAAGTCCCCCCAAGGTTCTTTTCATCCCTACAATTCTATGATTCTACGGGGGTGGGGTGGACTAGAACAGTGGTTCTTAACCTTTTTGAACGAATCTCCCCCTTGAGCCAATGAGGAAGCTGTCATCGCCCCCCCTCTTCCCCAACACAACCTCTCAATCACAACATAAGGAAAAAATTCTTCAATTTATGCAAACGCTTTTTTTGTTTTCTTTAAAATTGTCATCAGGACATATCGATGCAAATAGTTTATTTCCAGTCTTTTCCCCATATCTCCCATATTCTGGCCAATGGCGCGCCCCTGTATGGGTAGAGGCTGCTGCGCAACGCGCACGAAGATCAGCGGTGCGTCTTCACATATGTACGGCGTTCTGTACTGAAGCTAGCTGGAGGAACATTTGAAAACACAATTCAATCCACTAATAGCGATCATCTGATGTTTTTGTACAACAAGATATACAGCGATTCACTGTACGAAAAAGTCTCAAGTGTCCCCAAAACTTTTCGCTTCATCGCCCCCTTTTCGTTCCGTCGCCCCCCTGAAAAATGAAATCGCCCCCTGGGGGGCAATATCACCCAGGTTAAGAACCACTGGACTAGATGACCTCCAAGTTCCCTTTTTACTGTTATTCTGACCCTGCTGCTTTCAAAGCTCACGCCCTCCTAGTCTAGGTTTGCATGCAGACCTTGCACCCCTGCACCTTGAGCCCATCCGAGCCCTCTGCCACCTGGCCAGGTCTGCATTGAGCAGCTTCCCTGGCCCATCTCTGCTGCCCAGCCCACGAAGCCTCCGAGACCCCCATCTCAGATTGCAACGGGCGGTTTGCAATCTGGGTTTGCAGATGGCCAGTATTGCCTGGCCTTGTGAATGTAGCCCTGGGTTCCTCCAACGAATCCTCTCTCCCAAGACTGCTTATTCTGCCTCCCTTTCTCTCTCTCTCTCTCTCTCTCCCTGGCTGCCAGCCTTCCCCACACCCTGGCTCTCCTTAAGAGAAAGGCCCCGCACATTCAAGGCTGGCCAAGCTGCAGAACGGAGAGAAAAACCCAGTTCCTTCAGCCAACTGGCCCCAGATTGCGCAATGGGGAGGGGGGGCCCACCCTGTCCCTGCCAGCCCCCTTGCAAAGGGAGGCAGGAATCCTGGCAGAATAAGGATCCTTCCGTGCCCCACTGCAGCCATGGTATTGCCAAACCTTTCCCTCCCCCCCGATAATTTTTTTTTCATGAGGACTAGAAACTTGGCTTTTGGCAACAGGACATCCTCCATAAGGCCTGAACTTGGAGACTGGGCCTGCACGAGTGTTTTTGGGTGGGACAGGGATTTGCCTGTGGCCAGAGAGTTTCTGCAAAAGCTGCCCCATTTGTGTGGGTCTTCGGAGGGGCAGGCCGGGGTTGTGTTGCAGAGAACAAAGCCAGCATTATGCCGTGGGATTTGAAGCCAGAATTGTGAGCTGAGCTTGGAGGGGAGGAAAAAAACGGAATCGATTGTCTAAGTCAGGGGTCTCCAACTGGGCTACTTCAAGACTTATGGACTTCAGCATGCTGGCTAGGGAATTCTGGGAGATGAAGTCCACTAGTCTTAAAAGTAGCTAGGTTTGGAGATCCTGGGCCTAAGTTAATGTCCTTTGAAAGAGACAGACCAAAAAAAAAAAAAATAGTGGGATTTCTTCCAAATAAGCACTGAAAAAGGCACCCCTGCCTGGGTTTTAATTTATCTAAATCCAACATCCCAAGAGGAGGTCACACAGCTTTGCAAACGTTAAGTTTCCCACTGGAACGGGGCCGTGCAGTTGCGCAGACTCTGCAGCCTGCATTGGCTTGAACACTAACTCGCAAACCATCGTGTCCTGCGAAAGCCCGGCCCTTGCAATCAGCTTACGCTCCAGCACGTTGCTCAAAACTGGAAAGTCAGGCTGACAGAGTAAACCACGGTTTGGTTCGCCGCAGATAAACTTAGGCAATCCCAGTCTGAATTTCCCCTTCTGAAAGTCACGTTTGAGCTACTCCGCACAATCTCTTGCAGACTTGTTTTAGTTTTGATTCTATTCATCTCCTGGCGGCAGCAGCAAGGGGGAGGCGGGGTGGGGGCAGCCCCACCACGGAGGGGCCTGAAAACGGCCACGGGAAAAGAGAGGCTCCTTTGGAGAGCAATGAGGAGGTGGGGGGGGGGTCAGGAAAAGGAATTCGAAAGGTAGAGAGGAAACGCCATTACATTCATTAGCCATGGCTGCAAACTCCTTGCGTTGTGTTTCTGGTGTGTTTCTCCTCCAAACAGTTGGAGAGTCACTGCTTGTTTTTCGGCAAGACCTGGGATTTTGCAAGAGGTCCTGGCTCCCTCCACGGTTTGGCAAAGGGGTGCATCCAGGAGGCTCCCAGCTGCCCCCTCCCCAAAGAGCGGGGCTGCCTTGCCCGGGGATGTCGTCCTTTTCCGCTGCTCTCGGCTGTGTCCTGGGGGCTGCGGGCTCAGGAGAGCCCCAGGACGGGCTCCTGACTCTGCTCAGCTCTGGCCAGGGTCACCTGGATGGTGTGGGCCAGGTGCTGCAGGCCGATCAGGTAGCCGTCCTCGTGGCTTCCGGGAGTCCAGGCCACGTTGTGGCGAAGGTGGATGTGGGCTGGGGCGGGGAGAGTCTTGCCAAAGTCAATCATCCAGATGCTGGCCTGGCCTTTCTGGCCGTGGAGGAAGAGCAGAGAGCTTCCAATCACCTGGGAGCGAGCAGGGTGGGTAAAAGGGGAAGGAAGGAAGGAAGGAAGGAAGGAAGGAAGGAAGGAAGGAAGGAAGGAAGGAAGGAAAAGGAAGGAAGGAAGGAAGGAAGGTTGGGGAAAAGGGAAGGAAGGAAGGAAGGAAGGAAGGAAGGAAGGAAGGAAGGAAGGAAGGAAAAGGAAGGAAGGAAGCAAGGAAGGAAGGTTGGGGAAAAGGGAAGGAAGGAAGGAAGGAAGGAAGGAAGGAAAAGGAAGGAAGGAAGGTTGGGGAAAAGGGAAGGAGGGAAAGTTGGGGAAAAGGAAGGAGGAAGGATGGGAAGAAGATGGATGGATGGGTGGAAGGGAGACGGAAAGGAGAGACAGGTTGCAAAACAGGAAGGAAGGAAGATGGAAAGGAGGTCAATGGATGGGAGGGAGGGAGGAAAGAAAGGTTGGAAAAAAGGGAGGATGGAAGGGAATGGAAGGATTGGAAAAAAGGCGGGATGGAGGAAGGAGAGAAAGAGGGAAGGAAAGAAGGAGAGAGAGGACGAAGGGAAAGGAAAGAAGGTCAAAAACAGTTCCCCAAGTTAGAAGAATTTGTATGGCTAACTTTGCAGGCCTCAGAATAATGTTCTAGGCCAGTGGTTCTCAACCTTTTTAATACCGCGACCCCCAACCGGTCGTAAGTCGAGGACTACTCAACCGGTCGTAAGTCGAGGACTACTCAACTGGTGCAGCACCGTTTGCAGAATGGGACTTTTGGCGGGCTCAGCAGGGCAGAGACAGCCTGGACAATTCCTATTGGCTTTTGAAAGCCAATAGAATTAGACTCTATCCAAGAGAGACTATTCTATTGGCTTTCAAAAGCCAATAGAATAAAAGGGAGGAGCACAGCTAAGGAAAAGGGGGAAAAAAATGGCGGACTGCATTGTTTGGCGACCCCCGTGAAATGGTCGTTCGACCCCAAATGGGGTCCCGACCCACAGGTGGAGAACCGCTGTTCTAGGACTTGGATCAAGCTCCTGAAATGCCATCCACCCTGGAACAAGCTGAGCAAATATTTTGGGGAAGCCAAATGTAAATACTTGACATAGTACGGCAAATAAAGCAGGGACACACACACACACACCCTACTGCAAACGATATAAATAGAAAAGGGTGGTCTGCCCTGCAATTTTTGTTTTTGTTTTAAATGCTCTTGTTTGTAAACACTTGTTTGTAAATCCACTTCTATATGGATGTGCTTTAAACAGGGAGGAGCTGCCCTGAGCATGCACAAAGTTCTTTCATCAGCCAGAACTGCTGGATGCAAAAATCTGCTGCTTTCCAGCATTCCTCTAACCCAAGGGTCAACAACTATGGCAACTTTAAGACCTGTGGACTTCAACTCCCAGAATTCCTGAGCCAGGAATAGAAGTCTACAGGTTGTAAAGTTGCCCATAGTTGCCCACCCGCTCTAACCCAGTATTTTTCAAATACTGCTAGCTGGGGAATTCTGGGAGTTGAACTCCAGACAACCTAAATTTAAGAAGAACTGCCACAAAGGAATTGGACTCCTTCTGTTGTTTTGCAAATTAAGCTTATATGTGCCCAGTTAAGAAATAAGTTCTACTGGCTGCATTCCCACAACCCGCTTAATCTGATTAATAATAATAATAATAATAATTATTATTATTATTATTATTATCGATCATCGCACAGTCAGCCAGATGTTCAGACTGGATTTGGCATTTTGTCTACCTATCGAGTCCTTACCCAGGACCTGGGATAGGCAGATGTGGATGTTTGATGGTATTACAGATATCGTCGCAGGATGGAAGCAGTTCCTAATAAGGCTGCCTTTTGCAATTGACTAATAGCAAATTTGTCAATGCCAATGGTGTTCAAGTGGTGCTCCAGTTGTTTTGGGATTGCACCCAAGGCGCCTATGACTATTGGTACTACCCTTGCTGGCTTTTGCCACAGTCTTTCTATTTCTATTTGTAGGTCTTTGTAGTTTGTTATCTTCTCCAGTTCTTTCTCGTCTATTCTGCTGTCTCCAGGCACTGCCACGTCCACTCTCCAGACTTTTTTGTCTTTCTTATGGACAATTGTTAAGTCCGGGGTGTTATGTTGCAAGTGCTTGTCTATTTGCCAACATAACATAATTATAACTTATTATTAAAATAAAACATAACATTATTATATTAATTATCTTAAATATTATTATTATTATTTATGGACTTATATAAACCGCTTTAAGTTGCAAGCACTCTCTAACGCGGTGTTACACAGTAAGGCAATGTAATATGTGTTGTATATATATATATAATATATATATAATATATAATATATATATATATATATATATAATTTACATTGCACCCCAAAACAATCTGGGTCCTCATTTTACCTACCTCGGAAGGATGGAAGGCTGAGTCAACCTTGAGCCGGTGAGATTTGAACCGCTGACCTGCTCAACACAGTCAGCTAAAGTGGCCTGCAGTACTGCACTCTAACTGCTGCGCCACCTCGGCTCTTTTTATATTGAATATAACCTTTTGCCTGGATTATGTGCTCAACTGTAAACCGAGTCATCAAGCATGGAAACAAAGCTATTAAAAGCCACCCAGGACCCAAATTAAACAAGCTTGGGGGCTGTGCGAACGCACCTGCGAGATCTCAAACAGACCCAGTGTTTTGTGTGAACGCAGCCCTTGGGTTGCAGGAGATTTCCTGGCGAGTAAAATACCAAACACCCCCCCCCCTGACCATCTCCAACCCAGGCCCTCTTCCTAACGGAACTGCAAGTCCCACAATCCCCTCAGCAAACCGCTTGGAATTATGGGAGTTGAAAACTCATCTGGATAAAACTCATCCCCTTAAATGGCTCCAGATGCTTTCAGCTCCCAGTCATTTAAGCAGGGAGGAATCCAAACCCAGAGCTAATTTCCTTGTGTTTCCCAATACCCTCCAGTCCAACCTGGGTGGGTCAATTCTTACAATTAGGGTTGGGGGAAGCACGTCCCCAGATTATTTTTCATAGATGGGGTGGTGAGACAGGACAATTTTGTCTCACGGCCCTTTTGAGAGCTCAAAAACACTCGCATTTCCACCTTTTGGGGGGAGGGAGTTGGGGGGGTTCCCCAGCCAATTACCTCGTGCCTCTTGAAGAAGTTGGACTTGTCCAAGGCTTGGCGCAAATTCTCCAGGCGTGCCAAGTAGGTCTTCTGCAACATTAATATTAAATATTATATTAATATTAAAACAGGAAGAGTTGGGGGCCAGTGTTCCCCCCACCCTTACACCTGTCTCTTCTTAGAAGCATTCTTTGCCAAGAAAAAAAAAATCAAATATAAGAGCGACTTTAATACAGTGAGGATGATTTAGCAATAGCACTTAGACTTATATACCGCTTCTCAGTGCTTTACAGCTCTCTCTAAGTAGTTTACAGAGTCAGCATCTTGGCCCCAACCATCTGGGTCCTGGGAAGGCCGAGTCTTCCTAGAGCCGGTCAGGAATGAAGGGGTGGGGTGGGGTGGGGTGGAATGGAACGGAATGGAATAGAATAGAATAATAGAATGAAGAACAGAACAGAACAGAACAGAATAGAATAGAATAGAATAGAATACAATACAATACAATACAATACAATAATATAGAATAGAACAGAACAGAACAGAATAGAATAATGGAATGAAGAATAGAATAGAATAGAATAGAATAGAATAGAAATAGAATAGTGGAATGAAGAATAGAATGGAATGGAATGGAATAGAATAGAATAGAATAGAATAGAATAGAATAGAATAGAATGGAATTGTAAGGACCCACCCCACTTTGCATCTTAAGAAGACAGAACTCTTGGAATAGTTCTTCCAACAGGAATCCTTTATTAAGAGAAAATGGTTGCAGGCATGCTAGACAGGACTTGGGGTCCAAGCTCTCCCATTCAAGGTTTTAAGGGGTTCCCCAGTAGTCCCACCCAATCAACCCCCCTTCCAGTGATAGTTTCAAGTATCACAATTCCACCTCCTTTCTTCTTTCTTCCGTCTGGATGGAGACTTCAGATACTACATGAAAGGCAATTACCCTTCTTTGATATGTTAACGCTTAGAGGTTACAATAAACACACATTCAGCTCTTTGAAGTGTAAAGAAGGAAGTGAGGGCCATAAAGCCCCTTTGCTCTCCCCCTTCTCTCCCTCTTATGGCAGAATCCAGAGAAGGCAGAATTGGGAGTTTCTATATTTGATAATTTAAAGATGAAATATAATTGGATTCTGACATCCGGCCCCTCTTAACAATAAGAGAGATCCACCTGAAAGAAAACGCAAGTAAAAATTTTAGTTAGGCTTGTTAGGATACTCTGTGTGAAACTTCTTCAATAGCTTCGGGGCTCTGACATGACGTTTATGGACCCACTCATTTTGTGAGGGAGGGAGGTGTTTCCAGGCAACTAGGTACTGAGTTGCTCCATGATATCTCCTAGAGTCAAGGACTTCCTTTATTTCGAAGTGTTGTTCACCCTCCACCATGATTGGAGGTGGGGGGGGGGGATTTTTGGCCGTAGAGGTGACTGATGCTCTCTTTTCAGCAAGCTGCAATGAAAAATTGGGTGTATTTGCCTGAGATTTTTGGGTAACTCTAATTCTACTGTTACTGGATTTATGATTCTTTTAATTGGAAAAGGTCCTATGTATTTTGGTCCAAGTTTTTTACAGGGCTGTAGGGACTTTAGGTATTTTGTAGATAAGTACACCATCTCTCCTATAATGAATGGTGTAGGCTCAACCCTTTTTTTATCGGCTTGTGTTTTGTAAGCCTGCCTAGCTTCATCTAGTGCTTTTCTGACTATTGGCCAGGTGTTTTGTAATTTTTCCATCCATTCTTTCAGCGAGGGGATCGTTGGTTCGTTTGGGGTTAATTCTGGCATGGGGTTGAAACTTTGACCGGTGGCTATTTGAAAAGGAGTGTAACCTGTGCTGGAGTGGACTGCATTATTGTAGGCAACTTCTGCAAAGGGGAGTAAGTCCGCCCACTCGGTCTGCTGGAAACTAAGAAAACATCTTAAATATTGCTTAAGTACTGAGTTCATTTTTTCAGCCCCCCCATTTCCTTGAGGGTGGTGGCTAGATGTCAGTCCCTGAGTGGTTCCTAAGAGGGATAAAAATTCCTTCCAAAATGCAGACGTAAATTGCACCCCCCTGTCAGAGATGATGCGTTGGGGTGCCCCATGCAATCTGTAAATGTGTTGGATGAAAAGTTTTGCTAAGGCTTTTGCAGTGGGAATCTTTTGGCAAGGGATAAAGTGCACCTGTTTGGAAAACAAGTCCGTGACCGTCCAGACCACAGTATTCCCATTGCTTTCTGGCAATTCCACTATAAAATCCATGGCTATTTCTCTCCAGGGGGCTGAGGGACTTGCCACTGTTTGCAATAGTCCTGGCACTTTCCCTTGCAACCTCTTTGCCGTGGCACATTTTGGACAACTGGCTATATAACTTTCAATGTCCTTTTTCATGGATGGCCACCAAAATTGCCGTTTAATTAAATGTAAAGTTTTTACAAATCCAAAATGCCCTGCTGATTTTGTGTCATGGCAAAGGTGCATGAAAGTTACTCTTTGAGTTGTTGGTATATATAACTTTTCCCCTATCCAAGGCAACCCGTCTTTCATTGTGCACACATTTTTGTTTTTCTGGAACCAATCATCTGTTTCCAAACTTTTTCTGAATTCAATTCCAGTTTGGCTGTCCAGTTGTGGTTTTAATTTGGCTTGGGTTCTTGTGGTTACTGGTGCTGCCAGTTGTGACTCTGCCATTATTGGTCTAGAGTCTGTGGTTCGTGCGCTGTTATATTGGGGCATGCGAGATAGTGCATCTGCCAGGAAGTTCTTTCTTCCTGGTAAATGTTTGAGCTTAAATTGGAATTGGTGAAAATGCTGGGACCAGCGGGCTTGTTTGGGATTGAGTTTCCTGGAAGTTTTCAGGGCTTCTAAATTTTTGTGATCAGTCCACACCTGGAAGGGGATTTTGTTGCCTTCCAGGAACTGTCGCCATGTGAGTAATGCCCAACGTATCCCATAAGCCTCCTTCTCCCATACGGGCCAGCGCTGTTCTGTTTCCGTGAGTTTCTTGGATGTATATGCACAGGGTTGCAATACTGCATCATCATTTTCTTGTAATAGCACAGCCCCCACTGCCACATCACTTGCATCTGCCTGTATTATGAAGGGTTTGTCCATGTCTGGGTGCCTTAGTACTGGTTCGGCAGAAAAAAGTCTCTTTAGTCTCTCAAACGCTGCTTGGCACTCCATTGTCCATGTTAGTGGCTGGCTAGGTTTTACTGAGGATGTTCCCTTCGTTTTTAGTAAGTTAGTGAGGGGCAAGGCTATCTGTGCAAATGAGGGGATGAATTGGCGGTAAAAGTTTGCAAAGCCCAGGAAACTTTGTAGTTGCTTTCTTGTGCGGGGTGGTGCCCATTCTAATACTGCTCTGACCTTCTCTGGGTCCATTTCAATGCCCTGGGGGGATATGCGATAACCTAGGTAGTCTATCCTTTCCTGGTGGAATTCGCATTTTGAGAGTTTGGCATATAGGTGGGCGGCTCGCAGCTTCTTTAAAACCGCTCTGACAAGGTTGACGTGTTCCTCTTTTGTTTCGGTAAAGATAAGAATGTCGTCCAAGTAAACAAGGACCCCCTTAAACAGGTGCTCCCTTAGAACGTCATTGATTAATTGCATAAAGACTGCAGGGCCCCCTTGTAATCCAAATGGCAAGACTTTGAATTGATAGCACCCCATGGGGCAGTTAAATGCAGTCTTCCATTCGTCCCCTTCCTTGATTCTCACTCGATAGTAAGCTTCCCTTAAGTCTAGTTTAGAAAAAATTTTCCCTTTCGATAGGTGTGACAGCATGTCTTTCATGAGGGGCAGCGGGTATAGGTTGCTTTCACTGATTGTATTCAGGGCCCTATAATCCACGCATAAACGTAAAGAGCCATCCTTCTTCTCTCTAAAAAGGACCGGGGCAGCCACTTTAGGCTTGGCTGGCTCAATGAAACCTCTCTCCAGGTTTTTTTTTATAAATCTTTCCATTTCCTCCTTCTCCTTTGGGCTCATGGAGTATAATCTGGGCTTCGGGAGTTTTGCCCCAGGCTTGAATTCAATGGTACAGTCTGTGGGTCGGTGGGGGGGAAGCTCATTCGCCCTCTCCTCACTGAAGACTTCAGCAAGGTCCCTATATTCCTCTGGTATTTCTGTTAATCTTTTTTCCTCTCCTATGGATGCTTTTTCTATTCTTGATTCTGGTAGCCTCTCTTGGGGTTTTAAGTCCATAGGGTCCCCCTTCGGGAATTTGATTTCTGTCGTCCTCCAATTTACCCAGGGGTTCCATTTTTTCAACCATTCCATCCCTAGAATCATTGGGCATTCCATACCTGGGGTCACCACAAACGTTAAGTCCTCTTCATGGTTGCCCAGGGAGAGGTGTATTGGCAGAGTGGCTAGGGTAGCTGGCACCCCCCCTGCTATGGATCCATCTAGCTGGCCAAATGAGATTGGTTGTTCCAGTCTCCTGGATGGGATGCCCAGATTCCCCACTAGTGTTGGGCTAATGAGGCAGCGGGTGCAGCCAGAGTCTATTAAGGCTTTCACCTTCACAGCTTCGGGCATGGGGGGGATTAATATAGTCACTGTTTTGAAGATGGGTGTGATGCGTCCACTTACCAGGGGTTCGCCTTCCGAGCTGTCATCTGAGGCATCCACCGTCCCTGTGGTGTAGGCTGGAGTTCTTTCCCCTTGGTGAGCAGAGGTGGGGTTTTCTGCAATTTCCATCATTTTCATGGCTGTTTCTTTTGGCTTAGCTGAATACCCTCTGGGTTTGTTGATTGGGGATCTGTCTGGGTTGTGCTGGGGGGCCTTTGAGCGGCATTCTACAGCTCGATGCCCTTCTCTTCCGCACTTGAAACACCCCATCTGCTTCTTGGCTGTATCCGATGATTTCACCGGTTGGTGTGTCAGCTCAGGCGGGGGGCGGCTCCATTGTTTTCCTCGGCGATGCCTCTTCAATATGTCGATCTCTGCTTCCTCTGCCAAGACGTACCATTCCTCAAGTCGATGTGGGTCTCCTCGGGGCAGGCAAGCATCATATAGATCATAGTTTAGTCCGTCTTTGAAACGGCCAAGGAGGATGTCTTCTGGCCAATTCAGTTTGCTGGCAATGGCTCGGAATTCTTGTGTATACTCAGCCACTGGGCGTTTGCCCTGCCTCATCGTTGTTATTCTTTCACGGGCTTTGCGATCAGCCAGGGGGTCTTCAAATCGTCTTCTCAACGAGGACATGAAACGGTTGAAGTTACTGAGTTCTGGGGCATTGGAGTCATGCAGGTTCACCACCCAATCTGCAGCTGGTCCATCCAGGGCAGATTGCACGATCCGGATGCGGGCTTTGTCGCTGGGGATGTCCTGCCCATATTCCTCCATGTAGCTGAGGACTTGGGTTAGGAAAAACCCCAAGCGTGTTGGCTCCCCTTTGAATTTCACCTCCAACGGTGGACGTCTTGGAATGGATCGGTGCCTCCATTGTGGGTGGTAGTGTCTTCCGTCCAGATTTCCATCTGTGGTCCGGTAGGGGGTGGGAGCTCCTGGATCAGTAAATGTCCCTGGGGTTGCAGGTTCCACGTCCCCCTCGGTGTCTCTCCCTTTGTGGCTCCAGGAACTGGGGCGGGCGTAGGGCTCAGGAATCTCCTCTCCTAGGGAGCTGAGAGTTCTCTTCATCAGGTCAATAGCTCTCTCTAGGATCCAGTCTGAGTACGGCATACAGCTTCCTCCCTCTTCACTTGCGTGCAGGGATTTCTCCATCTCCTGCTTCCATTCTGGTTGCTTGGTCCCCCGTCTCAGGGTCACTTTTCTTGATTCCTTTCCCCACTCGCTTTTCTTTCCAACGCCCATCGACCAGCGAGGCTTGTGGTCCTGTGTCTCCACCACTTCTTCTTCTGAGAAATCTGGCCTCTCGGATCCCAACATCTGGCAAGGTTCCAACTGGGTCAGCGGCTCTCTTTCCAGGGAGTTTTCTCCCTCTCTTGCTTCGTTGTCTGACATGGTAAATTTTTGCAAAATCCCCCGGCAAGGGTCTACCTTCCAGGTGGATTAATTTTGCAAGTCCTGTCTAATGTAAGGACCCACCCCACTTTGCATCTTAAGAAGACAGAACTCTTGGAATAGTTCTTCCAACAGGAATCCTTTATTAAGAGAAAATGGTTGCAGGCATGCTAGACAGGACTTGGGGTCCAAGCTCTCCCATTCAAGGTTTTAAGGGGTTCCCCAGTAGTCCCACCCAATCAACCCCCCTTCCAGTGATAGTTTCAAGTATCACAATTCCACCTCCTTTCTTCTTTCTTCCGTCTGGATGGAGACTTCAGATACTACATGAAAGGCAATTACCCTTCTTTGATATGTTAACGCTTAGAGGTTACAATAAACACACATTCAGCTCTTTGAAGTGTAAAGAAGGAAGTGAGGGCCATAAAGCCCCTTTGCTCTCCCCCTTCTCTCCCTCTTATGGCAGAATCCAGAGAAGGCAGAATTGGGAGTTTCTATATTTGATAATTTAAAGATGAAATATAATTGGATTCTGACAGGAATGGTGGAATGAAGAATAGAATAGAATAGAATAGAAATAGAAATAGAATAGTGGAATGAAGAATAGAATAGAATAGAATAGAACAGAACAGAACAGAACAGAATAGAATAATGGAATGAAGAATAGAATAGAATAGAATAGAAATAGAAATAGAATAGTGGAATGAAGAATAGAATGGAATGGAATAGAATAGAATAGAATAGAATAGAATAGAATAGAATAGAATAGAAATAGAATAGTGGAATGAAGAATAGAATAGAATAGAATAGAATGGAATAGAATAGAATAATGGAATATAGAATAGAATAGAATAGAATAGAATAGAATAGAATAGAATAGAATAGAATAGAATAGAATAGAATAGAATAGAATAGCATTTAGACTTACTGTATATCCTACTTCATGGTGCTTTATAGCCCTTTCTAAGCGGTTTACGCCTCTTGCCCCCAACAATCTGTGTCCTCATTTTACTGACCTCGGAAGGATGGACCTCAGCTCTGCCACTGATCAAAAGCGTGGTCCCACTTTTCAGCAAGCAATTCTGCCTCCCCCCCCCCTCCTCGGTCAAGAACTCACGAGCACATCCACACGATTCTTCACAAATTGCAAGAAGATCTCTATAATTTGATCCTGGCTCCGCATCTGCTTGAAATCCCGTTGCACAGCTCCTCCCTCGATCTGTAGAGAGGGAAAAAGAGAGAGCAATAGCACCTAGACCAGTGGTTCTCAACCTTCCTAATGCCGCGACCCCATAATACAGTTCCCCATATTGTGGTGACCCCCAACCACTTATACATCATCGGGTGCCAGGGGCGTGGCCAAAGAAAAGGGGAAAAAAATGGCGGACAGCCTTGTTTGGCGACCCCCGTGAAATGGTCGTTCGACCCCAAAATGGGGTCTTGACCCACAGGTTGAGAACCACTGACCTAGATGTATATACCGCTTCGCTGTGCTTCGAGCCCTCTCTAAGAGGTTTACAGAATCAGCCTCTTGCCCCCTCCCAACAATCTGAGTCCTCATTTTACCGACCTCGGAAGGACGGAAGGCGGAGTCAACCTTGAGCTGGTCAAGATCAAACTCCTGGCAGTGGGCAGAGTTTAGCCTGCAATACTTCATTCTAATCACCACAGCTCAGTGACAGTTTGGAAAGTGGGTATTCTGACCTGTTGATGGAAGACTTGCTTCTCCAGCACAGGCACACAGACACATGTGCAAACACATACACACATACACACGCTCTCTCTCTACTTCAGCTGCTCACCGTCACCCCCTCAATCCGGAACCCCAGAGACGTGCTGGAACTGGTATTTTCCCTCCACTGCATGTAACGGGGCTTGGTGATAGCCCCTTGGCTGTGCTCCTCTGGCGTGGGGGCCCAGGGGTCAATCTTCACCATCTTTTGGTAGAGGTCTCGCCGGGGGGATGACCGGGGATGACTCTTGCCCACTTCGTCCTCCAAGTACGTTCTGGACAACCGCGGTGAAAGGGAAGCACAGTTACTTGGAGAGTTTGATTCTCCCTCCAATTAACTCAAAAATACCCCATTTACTAGCGGAGGGGGGAATGGTGGTGGCACTTTGCATGGTTGTCTTGTCCAGCAACCAGGGAGGGGTCAGTTTTCCCAGGAGAACCGGGCAGGAAACAGACTAAATGGGCTAATTTTACTTTATTGTAATGCTACATTACAGTTGTCCTCGATTTACAATCATTCGTTTAGTGACTTATGATTTATGACCATTTTCACACTTAGGACCGTTGCAGCATCCCCATAATCAAAATTCAGGCACTTGGCCACTGACTCAGATTTATGATGGTTGCAGTATCCCGCGGGGGGGGTCATGTGATCCCCTTTTGCGACCTGGGGAAGTCAGATTCACTTAGCCAAGTAACTCACTTAACGGAAGTGAGTCACTTAACAACGGTGGCAAATAAAATGGGGCAAAAACTTACTTAACAACCGTCTTGCTCAGCAAGAAAAAAAATTGGGCTCAATTGAGGTCGTAAGGCAGGTAGGAAAGGACAAACCTCCATCTCTTTTTATGGCCAGATAAGTTATGTTTTCTTTCTCTGTCCATTAGGCCAGGGCTTTTCAACTTTTTCACCCATTGTACCACTTTTAGGATATGGCAATATCCGAGTACTTCCAGTCGCCTAGCAAGGTGTTCAAAACTTGATGACACCCCCCCAAAAAAGAGGAAAAAAGTGATAAAGTACAGGTAGTCCTCGACTTACAACATTTTGCTTAGTGACTGCTTGAAGTTACAATGGCACTGAAAAAAGTGCGTCCCAAGCCACAGCTGAGCGAGACACCTGCCTGCCCGCCTGGCCGCGCTCTTCCTCCTGTCCGAGGTTTTCATTATTGTGAGTATTTCTGTTGAGGATTGGCAGCGGAAGTGGGCTGGGGGGGGTTGTTTGGTTTTTATTCCCCCCCATCTGCTGGGTGGTTGCAGCAGGTTTTGGTCACTTCACATGACCCTGGGACACTGTGAGTGTCATAAATAGGAATCAGTTGCCAAGTATCTGAATGTAAATCAGAAGACCCTGGAGATGCTGCAACATTCCAGCGGATTGGTGCTTCTTCTGGGCTCAGCAGAAGTACCAGGATCAGCACCGAGCTCCAGCTGAAGTCTGGTGCTGATCCTGGCGCTTCCACTGAGCCCTGACAGCCCCGAAGAAGCGCCGATCAGCTGGAAAGCGGTACTGATCCTGGCGCTTCCGCTGAGCCCCGACAGCCCTGCAGCTCCAGCCGTCTCTCGCTCAGGCTTGTGCGGTGCTGCCACCGGTTCAGCTCATTCCCCTCCCCTGCTACCACTTTTCTAGGATGGTCGCGTACCCCCTGCCAGGTGCCAATGTACCACAGGTGGTACCCGTACCACTGGTCGAAAAGCCCTGCATTAGGCAGCTGAGGGCCTCCCACTCTCTTATCCGGTCGTTCGCTAGGGATCATTATTACAAGATCATTCCCACACAGATGCGTTTGGATCCAGGAAGATTTGGAAGAGGAATTTGTAAATTAAAGATGGGCCCAATCCCCTTCTTCCCACCCACCCTGTGAGGAAGGCCGCTCTGACCTGGTGCCCATCTTGCAGTCCATGATGCTGGGATTCTGGAGTCCGAGCAGAAGGTCGTCCATCTGGATGTAGCGCTGTTCGCCCACCTCAGCCACCCCGTGGTAGGCAGGCACGAAAGGGCGCAGGACGTCCGTCATCAGCTCAGACAGACACGCCGCCTCCACAGCGCTGAACTTCTTCAGGATCAGGCCCCCTTCGCTGGGTTTGAAGTTCCCTGAAAGGAGAAGGGAGGGGAACACCTGGAAGCCAAGAGCAAAACTTAGCTCTGCCTTAAAAAATGGCTTTTTCTGCATGAATGGCTAGAGAATTCTGAGAATTGAAGTCTACCCATCTTAAAGGATGCTGGCTGGGGAATTCTGGGAGTTAGTCCATCCATCTTAAAGCTTGCTGGCTAGAGAATTGGACTAGAAAACCTCCATGGTCTCTTCCAACTCTGTTATTCACCTTGAAACATACTGGCTGGGGAATTCTGGGAATTGAAGTCTACCCCTCTTAAAGCATGCTGGCTGGGGAATTCTGGGAGCTGTAATCCACCCCTCTTAAAGCATGCTGGCTAGAGAATTCTGGGAGTTGAAGTCCACCCCCTCAAAGCATGCTGGCTAGGGGATTCTGGGAGTTGAAGTCCACATATCTTAATGCATACTGGCTGGGGAATTCTGGGAGCTGTAGTCCACCCCTCTTAAAGCATGCTAGCTGGGGAATTCTGGGAGTTGAAATCCACCTACCTTAAAGTTGCCATGGTCGAGAAACACTAACCCCTCTTGCCTGTTTGGTCTCCAATTTGGCCTTGGCTCCTGACCCCCCTCCCCACACCTTCTGCTGGGCACCCCACAGATCCTTGTGGGACTCATACCTTCGTGTCCAGCCAGCTGCACCCAGGAGCTGCGTCTTCGCAAGGACCAGTGGACCATGGTGAAAAACGTCTTCCAGGATTTTGTCTAGAGAAGAAAGCCAAAAAATAAGTGGTTGAAAACGTGGAAACTCCGTGTATATGCGTAGGGTGAAACCAGAAACCCTGGTGGGGTGGCCTGCAGCAAGGATATATCCATGGATGGTGTTCACACAACCTGACTGGCCGGGCTCAACAACAAATATTTGAGCTTGACACATCAAAAGAACACAAGACATTGTTTCTTTGACAGCTCACTTTTTTTTCAAGCTGCATTTAACCCAATACAGGAAGTCTTTGACTTATGACCATAATCTAGGCCATAATTCTGGTTGTAAGTCCAGCCGGATCACCCATATGACTGAAGCCGATTTTATGATTTTTTTTGTGGCGGTCATTAAGCAAAATTGCACATAACTAATTACATGTAATAATTGCACTATTCTAGTATTGGAGGGGCTGCCCCAAAGAAGAGGAGGGGGTCAATTTATTTTTCCAGAGCGCCAGAGGGCAGGACAAGAAACAACGGATGGAAACTAATCAAGGAGAGAAGCAACCTGGAATTAAGGAGAAACTTCCTAACAGGGAAGACAATTAACCAGTGGAACAGCTTGCCACCAGAAACTGAGGATACTCCATCCCTAGTGGCTTTTAAGAAAAGATTGGATGGCCATTTGTCTGGAATGGCATAGGGCAGGGCTCTTCAAACTTGGCAATTTGAATACTTGTGGACTTTAACTCCTAGCATAGGGTCTCCTGCTTGAGCAGGGGGCTGGACTAGAAGACCTCCAAGGTCCCTTCCAGCTCTACTCTGATTGATAATTGACTGGTAAGTATGGGATGCTGCAAACAGTCATCAGTGCAGACTGGCTGCCAGCTGCCCAAAATGCAATCATGTGATTGTGTGTACGTGTGTTTGTGTGGTTGTCAGAACCTCAAACTGAGATGTAAGTAGCTCTGGGGAGGTCTGTCATAACTTTGAACATTTGCTAAGTGACCTGTTGTAAGTTGAGGACTATCAATATTAGGATGCTGACAAGACACCTTAATCCCAATAGCAGCAACATGGGACCTTCCTCATCGTCAAGCGGTTAAGGAACCAGGCTAAAAAGCAGGAGGTTGTAAGTTCAAGTCCTACCTTAAGCATGAAAGCAGGCTGGGTGACTTTGGGCCAATCACCAGGAGACGGTGAGTTCTAGTCCCGCCTTAGGCATGAAAGCCAGATGGGTGACCTTGGAATGGCATATCTTGGGCAGGGGTTTGCTCTCTTCCAACCCTATGATTCTAAGATCCTATGGGCCAGTCCCTCTCTCTCGGCCCATCCCGCCTCACAGGGTTGTTGTTACGGGAGAAAGATTGTGCATATAAATCCCTATGCATATGAGACCCCACCTGGAATACTGCAACCAATTTTGGTCACCATACTACAAAAAGGATGTTGAGGCTTCGGAAAAAGTTCAGAGAAGAGCAACTAAGATGATCCAAAGCCTGGAGACTAAAACATACGAAGAACGACTGTTGGATTTGGGGATGGCCAGTCTAGAAAAAAGAAGAAACAAGGGAGACATGATAGTATTTGAGGGGCTACCACAAAGAAGGGGAGGGTCACATTATCCACCAAAGCACCAGAGGGCAGGACAAGAAACAATGGTTGGAAACTGAACAAAGAGAGAAGCAACCTGGAACTAAGGAGAAACTTCCTGACAGTGAGGACAATTAATCAGTGGAACAACTTGCCAACAGAAATTGTGGGTGCTCCATCACTGGAGGTTTTTAAGAAGAGACTGGACAGTCACCTGTCTGAGATGGTATAGGTTTTCCTGCTTGAGCAGGGGGCTGGACTAGAAGACCTTCAAGGTCCCTTCCAGCTCTATTCTATTCTATTGGACATATTTTTCACCTTGACTTATTTGTCAAAATAATAAAGGCGGGATACACCTAAATAAGTAAATAAGCAGAAAAAAACCCTATTGTTCTAAACACACAAAAAACCCCAGGAACTAGAATAGAATAGAATAGAATAGAATAGAATAGAATAGAATAGAATAGAATAGAATAGAATAGAATAGAATAGAATAGAATAGAATAGAATAGAATAGAAAATATGGAATGGAATGGAATGGAATAGAATGGAATAGAACAGAATAGAACAGAACACAATAGAATAGAATAGAATAGAATAGAATAGAATAATGGAATATAGAATAGAATAGAATAATGGAATGAAGAATAGAATAGAAATAGAATAGAATAATGGAATGAAGAATAGAATAGAATAGAATAGAATAGAATAGAATAGAATAGAATAGAATAGAATAGAATAGAATAGCAGAGTTCGAAGAGAACTTGCGGATCATCTAATCCACCCCTTGACCAAGAAGGAGACCGTACACCATTTCTGACAAGTGGCTGTCCAGTCTCTTCTTAAAAACCTCCAACAATGAAGCACCCATAACTTCTGGTGGCAAGCTGTTCCACTGGTTAATTGTTCTAACTGTCAGGAAGTTTCTCCTTAATTTCTGGTTGCTTCTCTCCTTGATTAGTTTCCATCTGTGGTTTGTTGTCCTGCCTTCTGATGATTTGGAAAATAGGTTGACCCCCCTCCCTCTTCTTTGTGGGAGCCCCTCAAATACTGGAAGGCTGCTATCATAGCACCCCTGTCCTTATTTTCACTAGATTAGTCCAGTCTCTTTTTGGAAACCTGCTTCTACAAAGAGGGAAATTCCTAAAAAAAACCTGCAAGCTGGGCCCTGCATTACAGCCGCCTCTTGCAAGGATGTGCAAAGGATGTGCAAAACAGCCAACTGATCTTTGTCCACGCAACGCCAGGCACAATCGCTGGGGCCCTCCAGGCTTCCCCAACAGAAGAGGAAGCAGGAACCAACGTGCATCACTGTGGGCAGGAAATCTCAGCCTGGCTTGGCCCAGAGACCACTTCCTCCCACACAGCTGAGCTGGGAGGCCCTTGAGCAGCTCCGCCACGTTCACCACCCGAAAACTAGCCAGCTAGCACAGCCACACCTGGAATGCACAAGTCACGAGGGCCCCGGGAGTGACACCAGCTCTGCAACGGGCCAGGAAACCCCCTGCAGTCTGTGCAAAGGCTCGCCTGCAAGCATGCAGAGTCCTTTTGCACCCACCCTTTTGCACGCCAGCTGGGCGTGGGGCTTTGGGTCACGTGGTCCAGGCGCCACGGGGTTGACTCTTCTCTCTGTTGTGGCAACGCGGCAGCTTTGCAACACAGCCTGGAGACTTTGCTGAGCATCTTCTGGGAGCAGCACATTGGAGGGGGTTAATGGTTCCTCGCACCCAGAACCAACCGAGCGGCATTCCAAAGGATGTACGCCACTCTGATGGGTCCAGAGTCAAAAATTTACACTTGTCTGGGTTCCAGTCCACAAACCACGGAGATCAAAGGCAGCAGCGATGAAAGGCACTTTATTTATTGCAGAGTTTTCTGCACAGTCCTCTTAAAACCACCCATTGGGAGGTTTTGCAGGGTTCAACTCCATCTGATTCATAACAACACAGTGCTTAGCAAAATAAATAAAAAGTTTTGGCATCAAAATGTTGTGTAGCTGACTTTGGCAAAAAAACAAACAAACAAAAAAACAAAACAAACCAGCAGTCGGGTAGCCCCGTTTCTAATCAAGAAATGTTATTAAGAGGCAGAAGATTATTTTAATGAAAACAAAACACAAAGCTTTTTTTTAAAAAAAGGGAGTTTGAGAAGGTTTTGCCCTTTACTAAAATTAGTAAAGTTTAATCAGGAAATAGACTTCTCAACTTCTAATCCAGTGGTTCTCCACCTGTGGGTCGGGACCCCATTTGGGGTCGAACGACCATTTCACTGGGGGTCACCAAACAACGCAGTCCGCCATTTTTTCCCCCCTTTTCCTTAGCTGTGCTCCTCCCTTTTATTCTATTGGCTTTTGAAAGCCAATAGAATAGACTCTCTTGAATAGAGTCTAATTCTATTGGCTTTCAAAAGCCAATAGGAATTGTCCAGGTTGTCTCTTCCCTGCTGAGCCCGCCAAAAGTCCCATTCTGCAAACGGTGCTGCACCAGTTGAGTAATCCTCGACTTATGACCGGTTGAGTAGTCCTCGACTTACGACCGGTTGGGGGTCGCAGCATTAAAAAGGTTGAGAACCACTGGTCTAATCAGATGCTCAGAAATTTTTAAAAAATGCAATGAGAGATTTAATCTTTTGAGCTGGACACTCAAATGTTTGATTCCCCCAATTAATACAAGTAGTCCCGACTTACAACTATTTGTTTAGTGACCGAAGTTACAACATCCCTGAAAAAAGTGACTTGTGAACGGTTCTTACAACCACTGCAGCATCCCCCTTTTGGTCATGTGATCAAAATTCAGACGCTTGGCAACTGACTCATATTTATGACGGTCGCAGTGTCCCGAGTCACGTGATCCCCTTTTGCGAACTTCCAACAAGCAAAGTCAACGAGGAAGCCAGATTCACTTAACAACTGGGTGATTCACTTAACATCTGGGGTGGGAAAGGTCATAAAATGGGGCAAAACTCACTGAACAACAGTCTTGCTCAGCAACAGAAATTCTGGGCTCAGTTTTGGTCATATATTGAGAACTACCTGTATGTGCGGAAGGATACAGACAGTCCTTGACTTACGTTCATTTAGTGACTGTTCAAAGTTGCAATGGCACTGAAAAAAGTGACTTATGACCATTTTTCACAGTTACGACCATTGCAGCATCCCCCCCCCCATGGTCACGTGATCAAAATTCGGATGCTTGGTAACTGGTTCATACTTATGACCGTTGCTATGTCCCAAAATCACGTGATCCCTTTTTGCAACCTTCACACAAGTAAAGTCAATGGGGGAAGGCGGATCCACTTAAGAACCATGTGACTAACTTAACAACTGCAGTGATTCACATAACAACTGTGGTCGTAAAATGGGGCAAAACTCCCTCAACAAATGTCTCACTTAACGACAGAAATTTGGGGCTCAATTGTGGTCGTAGGTTGAGGACTTCCTATATATGCAGAAGGATATTTATCAGCCTGCCTAAAAAAGTAAGGTTTTAAAGAATAACCAGGTTGTTATCCAGAGCCTTAAAAACCCACCCAAAATATCAAATTTTCTGATTTGCTGTTGTGCAGAAGCAAAAGTCTAGCTCAGCTTCTACGACGGGTATGGAATTTAACTGCCATAATCCCCATCCTGGATGATTGGGGATGAGGGGCCCTCCTCACATTCTTGGGGAGGGGGTCCCAAATCCCCTATTTTAAGCCTTCCAGACTCCCCCATTGGACTGACAGTCCGTTGCTCAGTTCCATTATTCACTTTTGCACAACTGATAATGTAAAAAAAAATATTTTTTGCTAATCTTGCAAAAATCTCTATTTTGCAAACAACAGCTTTGAATCCTGGCGTTGCACTTTCCTTCCTATTTTAAGCAAAACTTTTCACCACCCATTCAAGTTGTGCTTCCCCAAAAAATTTCCTACAATAACTAAAACTTTTCTGGAAAGTTTTGATTTAAAACTTTGTTGTGACTTGGTAACAATTCTGGGAGTTGAAGTCCACAAGTCTTAAAGATGCTGTCAGAAACCAATTATATTTCATCTCTAGTTATCGACTATGGAAAAACCCCATTTCTGCCCTCTCTGGATTCTGTCATACGATGAAGGGGAAGGGGGGTGAGCAAAGGGGCTTTATGGCCCTCACTTCCTTCGTTAAAATTTCAAAGGGACTGAATGTGGATCTCACCAAGAGGACTGACCATAACAATATGGCCATTGCCTTTCATCTACTCCTCTCTGAAGTCTCCCTTCTGCCGGCCGTGAGGAAAAGGGGGTTGGAAATGTAATGCCTGGGATTGTCGCTGGAAAGATGGTGGGGTGGGGTGGGGCTGCTGAGGACCCCTTAAAACAGTGGTTCTCAACCTGTGGGTCGGGACCCCATTTGGGGTCGAACGACCATTTCACGGGGGTCGCCAAACAAGGCTGTCCGCCATTTTTTCCCCCTTTTCTTTGGCCATGCCCCTGGCACCCAGTGATGTATAAGTGGTTGGGGGTCACCACAACATGGGGAACTGTATTATGGGGTCGCGGCATTAGAAAGGTTGAGAACCACTGCCTTAAAACCTTGAACCGTAGGGCTTGGGCCCCAGGTCCTATCTAGAACGCCTGCAACCATCTTCTCTTAATAAAGGATGCCTGTTGGAAGAAAGATTCCAAGAGTTCTGTCTTCTTAAGATGCAAAGTGGGGTGGGTCCTTACAGATGCCAAGGTTAGGGACCCCTGTTCTGGCCCTCCGGCCCCCATCTCACCTTTCTCAGCACCCGTTTCTTTGCCGTGACCGACTTTCCTTCGGCGTCGCTGAAGACGTCATCTGACTCTTGGGAGGAGCTGGCCAGGGATGAGCAGGTGGACGAGCCTGAGACGGACCGGTCGAAAGGCAGCCCGGGGGCTTGGCTTACGCAGGAGGGAGATGGCCCTGGGGGCTCCCCAGAGGTCATCTGGCCCAGCAGGCAGGGCGGAGGCCCCTGGCATGTTTGCAAGCCATTGCTGGAAAAGGCCCCACGGCACAACTGGGCCCCTCCCGCCGTTGCCTCGGTGGTCCTTGCTGGGTCAGAGGGGGGCTCTGCCGCCTCCCACCCCTCAGCCTCCGTTGGCTGAAGGAGAGATCCAGAGGAGGCTGGAATCCATTCCATGAGGGCTCCGAAGGACAGATCACCGGATCCCAGGCCGGAGGACTCTCGTGGTTGCAATGGCTCCAAGTTCGGATTCCACCAGGCTTGTCTAAACAGGGAAACCCAAACAAGGCGCAAAGATATCAAAACATTTATAATCTGTTTGCTTAATTATTTATAGCAGTGTTTCTCAACCTTGACCATTTTAAGGCATGTGGACTTCAACTCCCAGAATTCCACAGCCAGCAATGCTGGCTGTGGAATTCTGGGAGTTGAAGTCCACATGCCTTAAAATGGTCAAGGCTGAGAAACACTGGTTTATAGCATTGTTGTTGTTTTTTTTTTTAAAAAAATCCATGCTTTCACTACAAAGGCCCATAAATTAAGTAATACTACCTATATTTTCCCCCAAATAACTCAGGGAATTATATGAATTTTTGCTCCCAAAAATGCATTAGGGCTTATTTTTCCGTAATGTCTTATTTTGGGGGAAATACAGTACTAAATGCCTCTGGCTGGCTGGCCATCTTAACTGGGGCTTATTTCTGAGGTAGGGTTTATATTACGAGCATCCTGAAAAATCATGCTAGGGTTAGGTCCCATTTTGGGGGGAACAGGGCATTAGCCATCTGAGAAAGAGTGGTGGCAAAGGTAGTCCTCAACTTACAACAATTTGTTTACTAACTTTTCGAAGTGACAACAGCGATTTATGACCGTTTTTCATACCTATGACTGTTGTAGCATCCCCACGGTCACATGATCCAAATTCGGACAACTGGTTCATATTTATGACGGTCACAGTGTCCCGGGGTCATGTGATCAACTTTTGTGACTTTTGTGACAAACAAAGTCAATGGGGAAGCCAGATTAAAGACCCTGTTACTAAACAACTGCAGTCGTGCAACTTTTCTGGCACGAAAAGTTGTAAAATGGGACAAAACTCACTTAACAACTGTCTTGCTTAGCAATGGAAATGTTGTAAGTCGAGGACTAAATGTATAGGATCTCCAAGATGAGCATGCAGAGAAAAAGGAATGGGAAGAAGGGAAAAAGGAAGGAAAGAAGGGAAACAGATGCTTCACTCCCCATGGCTGCCTTCTGCTCTAACCTTGTCTCTAAAGTAGTTTTTAATCACGGCAAAACAGGCCCAGAAACATTTTTTCAAAGCTTCATTTTATCTGATAAGTCTGAACTCAGGAACGTCAAAAAAAAATTGCATTTCAAGATTGTAAAGGGAAAGATGAAGCAAAAAAATAAAAATAAAAATCAGAAGTCCAGAGGCAGATTTTTCCACTCTGACAAAATTTGCAGAACTCATGAACTTTTTAAAACATAATTTAAGGAAAGGATCTCCCTGTGTTATTTTGCAAAAGGCACTGCCAGACTCCAGATTTTTTTTTCACTTCGTGGTATTTGAATGGTCTGTTTCCTGTCCTGGCCCAGCCAGGAACGCAATTACTCGAGAAATGATTAATGGAACAATGGCAACAGGAGGAGCCGGAATTCCACTGAATAGAGAGGTTGGCAGTCTGACTGTGTTTGTTTCAAATGACCTGAAAGGGCTCCGAACGGGCTTAAAGGGGCAGGCAGTCCTCAAACCCTGGCCCTGGAAGCCAGGGTTATTTCCTGCAACTATTCAGCCACTTTGCTTCCTTGTTTTTAAGAAGTTGTGAAAATGGATAATAAAAAAAAAAAAATTAAGATCAGGCAGTCCTTGACTTACAACTGTTCGTCTAGTGACCGTTCAAAGTTACAACAGCACTGACAAATGTGACTTATGACAGTTTTTCATAGTTACGACGTTTGCAGCATCTCCCCCCATGGTCACGTGATCAAAATTCAGAGGCTTGGAAATTGGTTCGTACTTATGACCGTCACTGTGTCCCAAGGTCATGCGAAACCCTCCCCCCCTTTTATGACTTTTTGGGGAAGCCAGATTCACTTAACAACTTATCAACTGCCGTGACTCGCTTAACAACTGTGGCAAGAAAAGTAAAATGGGGCAAAACTCATTTAACAAATGTCTCACTTAACGGTGGAAGATTGGGGCTCAATTGGTCATGACCTCCTGTAATTAGTAATAGTAGTAAAGTTGGAAGGGACCTTGGAGGTCATCTAGTCCAACCCCCTGCTCAGGCAGGAAACCCTACATCATTTCGGACAAATGGCTGTCCAGTCTCTTCTTAAAAACTTCCAGTGTTGGAGCATTCACCACTTCTGGAGGCAGGTCGTTCCACTGGTTAATTGTTCTCACTGTCAGGAAGTTTCTCCTTAGTTCTAGGTTGCTTCTCTCCTTGGTTAGTTTCCACCCGTTGCTTCTTGTCCTGCCTTCAGGTGCTTTGGAGAATAGCTTGACTCCCTCTTTTTTGGGGCAGCCCCTGAGATATTGGAATACTGCTATCATGTCTCCCCTCGTCCTTCTCTTCATTAAACTAGATATACCAAATTCTAGATTTGCTCAAGACCCAACTGAGATTGGCTCTTTGATGCTTCTTTGGACTCTTGGAGTAAAATGTTTTATATGCCGGCTGTCACCCAGCCCTAAAATGGAAATAATTAGTATTTAAAGGCAAAATTCCCCCTCAAGAAGGAAGAGAAAGAGGATCAGATTCACCTTCTAACTTCTAATTTTACAGAACTGGAACAGATGCAGAGTCATAAAATCAAAATCCTTTTTTCCTCTTTGGATTTTTTTTTTTTTTTGCAGGGCAGTTGCTGGTGTGCAACTCAACAACCAAAGTAGGGCCTCCTGCCAGCTGCTCCCCCCCACACACCCCCGTGTTCAATTCCCCCCCCCCTGCATGGGGGCAACAGGCAGACCTAGTAGCTGAATGCACCCGTGTTCAAGGTTTACCCAAGACAAGCAAAACCAAAGCAAAGAGAAACAAACCCAGTTTATTCTGGAGGTGAATACAAGTGGTAGTTTTGGCATGGGGTTCCCCCCCCAATCCTTAAAAGGAGCATATTTGTTGCACACCAAGTAAAGATAGGTCCTTGACTTGAAACAGTTCATTTAGTGACTGGTCAAAGTTACAACGGCACTGAAAAAAGCGACTTATGACCATGTTTCACACTTATGACCATTGCAGCAGCATCGTGGTCACGCCATCAAAATTCAGATGCTGGGCTACTGACTCATATTTATGATGGTCGCGAAGTCCCGGGGTCACGAAATCCCCTTTTGCGGCCTTCTGACAAAGCCAAGTCAGTGGGAAAGCCAGATTCACTTAACAACCATGTGACTTACTTAACAACTGCAGTGATTCCCTTAACAAGAACAGTCATAAAGTGGGGCAAACATTTACTTAACTGTCCTACTTAGCAACAGACATTTTGGGCTCAATTGTGATCCTAAGTCGAAAACTGCCTGTACTCAGCTGGGTGGCTGGAAGACCCCAGTGGCTGCATTCACACAACCCACTTGGTGTGACTCAGTTGTGCGTGTTGTGTGTGGGGGGGCTTGAGTGGGCTTTGGGGCGTCAATTTAAGGGGCTCAGGTGGGATCGCTCTTCCTTCTGCTTCCAACAGTAATCAAACAAGGAGGGGATGCACTCTGCCCATGCACAGAGGAGCTCTCTTTGCGGCTACCCGCGCAGAGATTCCTTTCCTTTGGAAAGCTGGATGGAAATCAGGAAAGAAAGCAAAGAAAGGCCATCCAAACTGGGATGGGGAGGAAGACCCCTCCCCAGCTCTCCGCTCCTACCCCCCCCCCCATCAAGCAGGAGCTTCTGTGCGACCCGCATCTGGGTCCGGATGCGTCTCCCTCGACGCGTGTCTTGCTGCTTTGCACGGAAAGAGCAGTTGCATCGGGAAGATCCCCCTCCCCATTCTTTTTTGCACCCCTCCCCCCCCCAAAGAATCCTCCAGTGATCTCCCCGGGAGCCCCCTCCCGTTTCAACCCTGCCCTCCCCTTCCCTCTTGGCTTCCGCCTCTCCAGCGCCCGCCCCCGAAGCCCCCTCTTCAATTCCTCACCTGCAAAAGACGCAACTACGGGGGATCCATCCCGTCCCCGCGTCTCCGGCTTGCAGAGCACGTCAGAAAGGCGGGGACAGAACCCGTGCAGAGAGACGGCGGGGGGAGGGGGAGAAAACGCAGCGGAGGAAGGGGGACCGCGAGGAAAGGCTGGTCTCGGTCTGCCCTCTGCTGGCCGCGGGTGAGAGCGCAGCCTCTGTCCAAAGTGCAAAAAAACGATTCACATTTGTATGAGTGTTGCTCAAGTCGGTGATCTTCTATCCCTGGTGGCAAGCTAATTTTACTGAGATATTTTTAAACCCCAAATGAAGAAAAAAAGCTATTTTTATTACTTTTGCATGTGTTGATCAGCCACCTCATCCCTTTTCATGCAACGCAGGGACCCTCCCAAAAAAAACGGTCACGAACCTAGCTTGTGCTGCATAAAATTTCACAAATGCCATCTCCTGGTTATCGTCCCAAAGTCAAAAAGCTGGGTGTGCTGTATAAAATTCCACAAACACACACCACACCATTTATTTTCCGGATCCGAACTCTTCCACAGGAGTTAGGCCAGGGTGTATCTCGCATTTGTTGGCAATAATCCAATTAAGCATGAAAAGTCAAAATGTGAAGGAAAAAAAAGCACTGGAAGCAAGAATACTTGTCTACCCTCAGGATTGACGCAAGTGGAAGACCAAAGAGCCCAACCTACAAGAAAGAAACCTTGTCTTGCTCTTGGCTCATGGGACTTGTGCATCGGGCCCCACCCAGTTCTGATGGACTAGTTCGCCAAGTTGAGGTCCAGATCGTGAAGCCACATGACTCAGATTGTGACTCAAAGACTCTCATGAAAAGGCTTTACACCAGACCAATCACCGACCTGGTCCTGTTGCTGAAGTAGACCGAATTGGAAGATTGATCCTCTAATGATGTATTTGTGTTCATCTCATAATTGCATTGTTTGATGTAACCCTTGTTTATCTCTGTTGTAGTTGTGTATGTTTTGTATTTACTTTATAGTTATGCATGTTTGATACCATGTTTTGCCTATTTTAGTTAATAGTCAGCAATGAAAATTGCATGCTTGATGCTATGTTTTTTGCTTATTTTAGTTAGTTAGTGATGGAAATTTATATTTCCAAGCGGGGAGTGTGCTGGACCAGTTATGTAACCATCTGGCCAGAGTATATACTTGAGAACTGTGTTATTGTGTTTAGCATTTACAGGGTTAATGTTGTATCATTAAGAGAACTGTATGATGGAACGTTTAGCATTTATAGGGTTAAGCGCTGTCTTCTTAAGAAATGGCTTATGAGTAATGTAGTTTAGCTGTTCAGTGAATCCTATATTCATCAAGTCAGTGGGAGGAGCCGCTAAGTTCATCACAGCATATCCTGGCTATGTGCTAGCTTGTAAAGGAATGTCTTTGTCTAAATCAGCAATGGGAAGCAAGCAGCGATATTGTCTGCAACCACGCTAAAGCAGATATGAAGGAATTACTGTTTTTACCTACGTAAATTGACAAATGTACACATCTGGACACATCTTCAGAATCGTAAGTTCTGCTAAGAATTCCTGGAATAAATATTTGTTTTACAACCATTTTCGTTGAGTTGACTTTGCCTGGACTTGAATGATAAAGCATCTTAGTTCAGGTTCTGGAACACCCAGGATGCCCTGCTGATTGCGTACCTCGCTCAGGAAGTGCTCCAATTCGTGCTCCATGAGGGCTGGATCCAAACTTGGGCTGGGCCGGGATGAAGACCTCAGACTGGTAGCCACATGACAGGTCCCCGTCTTTTTCTGGATATGACATCCGGGCCAATTAATTAATGACAACTCATAATTTCTTCATTAATTAGTGACCACTCACAGTGTCTTAATTAATGACCAGTTGTAGTTTCTTCATTGATATATTACTGACCTGTCATAGTTTCTTTGTTAATTAATGACCAATTTATTAACTGATTACTACTTGTAATTTCTTAATCACATTTCTGATCTATCATATGTTCATCTACCTTGCTTTTGTTCCTGACTGGACCTCAAACTGCCATAAAAATGTGTTTGCACCACATTAGAAGCCCCCCAAACAGCTTACCACAAACCTGTTTTATTAATTTATTAATTAAAATTTAATGACATCCATCTCATTGATACAGTGACTCTGGGTGGATTACCATAGAATAAAAAGTAAAAGAAAAAGATAACATACATGAAGAAGGTTAAAGAGAAAGCTATTTATTTGAGCCTATTGCATGGTGGCTGTGGCTATGTCTTCCCTGACTTGACTAAGTAGGTTGTGTGAATTCAGCTGTTGGGGGACTCTTTGTCATCTCATTGAATCATAGAATCCTAGTCACCTTAAGGCCATTGTCTTTCAAGCTGGGCCACTTGAAGATGGGTGGAGTTCAACTCCCAGAATTCCCCAGCCAGCACGCTTTAAGATGGATGGATTTCAGCTCCCAGAATTCCCCCAGTCAGCATGCTTTAAACGAGGTGGACATCAACTCCCAGAATTCCCCAGCCAGCATGCTTTAAAATGGACGGACTTCAACTCCCAGAATTTCCCAGCCAGCCCCCATGGTGGCTGGAGGGATTCTGGGAGTTGAAGTCCACCCACCTTCAAATGGCCAAGTTTGAGAAACACGTCTTGTAGGACACACAAGCTGGAATCTTGTGACATTAGCCACAACTCCACAAGAGGGCACTGGCTGCCTTGCTGAGCTATCAGCAACCTTCCACTCCAGTTGAATTACAGCCAGGTGCCACTACCTGTTGAGCTGCTGCCAAAATCCAGGAAGCAGCAGAAAGATTTACACTCTCACAATTCCTTTTAAAACAGCCCCTTTTGAGAAATGCCAGAATAAGTGGTTAGTCTTTAAGGAGCTACCTGATGCTTTACTTCTCTTTTCCTTTTCCTGTTTCTGCCCATCTCCTGCGTTGGCCAAATCTCATCTGAGCATTGGTGGTTTCCTCTAAAAGGGAAGACAACCTTGCTGTCACTACAGACCTTCAGGAGTTATTTATTGTTATTTATCAAATTTATTGGCTGTCCATCTTGTCCCAGGGTAACTGGTTATTTTTAGCCTGGGGACAGGCCCCAAGTAGCTTTCCCTGGATCAAAACAAGCCTTGTGTAGAGTTGTAGAAGCCCTTAATGCGGGATTGGAGCAGGAAATGCAAGCCAGCATGGACAAATTCGCAGCCGCTTGTGACAACTTTGGCCTCTTCATCAACACGAAGAAAACTGAAGTGATGTACCAGCCAGCTCCCAAATCCCAATATCAAGAGCCTACCATCACAGTAAAAGGACAAAAGCTGCAAGCAGTGGACCAATTTACGTATCTTGGTAGTACCCTCTCCCGTGCAGTGACAATTGACATCGAGGTCAACTGTAGAATTGCCAAGGCAAGTTCTGCATTTGGCAGATTGCGGACTAACGTGTGGGACCGCCGTGGAATAAGTCTTGCTACCAAGCTTAAAGTTTACCAGGCAGCAGTGCTAACTACCCTATTGTATGCTAGTGAGACCTGGACAGTGTACAGGAGGCATGTTAGGCAACTGAACTACTTCCACATGACTTGCCTTCATAGAATTCTGAGGATCCGGTGGCAGGATAAGATACCAGACACAGATGTCCTCTCCAGAGCAGGCCTACCATCAGTTTACACTCTGTTGATGAAAGCCCAGATGCGCTGGGCAGGCCATGTTGTAAGGATGCTAGATCATCGCATCCCTAAACAGCTCTTCTATGGTGAGCTGTCTCAAGGAAAGCGATCGCACGGGGGACAAAAGAAGCGATACAAAGACATGTTAAAAGCTTCTCTTAAGTCCCTGGATATTAACACCATCTCTTGGGAACTTCTGGCCCATGATCGACTGACATGGCGCACCTTGGTGTACCAGGGTTGCCAGACATATGAACACAGAAGGACAATTTTGGCACAGGAAAAGCGAGCACTCCGCAAAGCCAGAGCTGCAAATGCTGAATTAACAGTGTCTACATTTCTTTGTTCAGTATGTGGCAAAACATTCCGTGCTAACATCGGTCTTATTAGCCACCTACGGGCACATTGTTGATGGCCCTAACCCACAAGATGTCAAGGTCTTCATCGAAATGGATGGACGAACAACAACACACAGAAGTGAATAAATAGGACGTTCGGCCTGGAGCTGCCTTCCAGCAGTTGGATTTCAGCTTCCAAAAGCCTAGAGAAGGTTGACCCCAAATGTTGGTGGAGACCAAATTGCTTACGTCTGCTTAAAACAGAATGGAAGAGATCTCGAAGTTCTTCTAGTCCAGCCCCCAGTGAAGCCAGAGACCCTATACCAAATTCAGACAAGTGGCTGTCCAGTCTCTTTTTGAAAACCTCTAGTGATGGAGCGCCCACAAATTCTGGAAGCAAGCTGTTGCATTCATTAATTGAACAAGCCAGATTTGGCTTGCTCTCAAGGTGACCCAGAGCCTGAAGGGAAGTGAGATCTGGGGACTTCCTGGACCCTTCAGCCCCCATCAGCCCCCCCCCAGTTGAGTTGCCCAAGAGTTTCAAGGATGGGTCTCTTCTTGCAGGAAGCCTTCTGCCTATCTAGAAATCCACCCCAACGTCCGGCTGGAGGGGTGAGTCGAAGGCCCCACTCCTTTCCTTCTTAGTCATCTCTGGAGAACTCTGTGGGTCACTTGGGCCTCGGGGACTCACCTCATGACCTTCTTGGCTTGGTATGTGAAGGATCTGGCAAGACTTCCTGGGTGGTGAAGTCAGCCCTGGGATTCAAAAGCTTCCATGCCGGGATGTGCCATTGACTCAACCCTGTGCTGAATCACCTTGGATTGACACGCCGGGAATGAGGTCAGGAAGGTAGCCCATGGGAGGGGCACAGCCCACGCCCACACGTCACACGGGGCAAGGTGGTAAGCAAGGAAGGAGCAGAAGGCTGGAGGTTTTCACAGCGGGTCTAGGACATTTAGGAGTCAACCCTTGGCCGTGCCCGCTTTGCCCCCCGTCACCCGCCTTCCTCCTCTGTTGGCCTTCCACTGGCGATTCTCTATGGTCAATGACCCCCTAGCCCTCCACCCCCAGGCACTGTTTGATCCGGGCCTCTCACTACACAGGA